CAGGCTCTTGATCTGGGCGTCGGACATACCAAGCTCCTTTGCGAATGCCTCGATGTCTCTTTTTGAGGTGTCTTTGGCCGCCTCGACAAGAGCGAGGGCGGAGAGGAGGGCAGCGGCAATTTTGGAGGTCTTCATCTTCATGATTTGCGTGTGGTGTGAGCACTGCCAAATCAAAATCGGAGAGAGAGAGGGAGGAGGGAAAGACCGGTTTATAAGTTCTCACCATCTATGCACTTCTCATGTCATGCCCCCGCCCCCCCCCCCCCCCCCCCAGCCGGAAGTTCCTTCTCCCTCTGTTGTTCTTCCTCCTCCGGTGAGAATAAGCTAGCCCCCCTGCAGCATAGGGCTGGCTGTCTTCATGTTAGGCGCAATTCTCTTTCTTTCTTTTTTTCTTTTTCTTTCTTCCGCCCAGCCATGTTGGTTGTCTCTCCGAAGTCCGACTGTCCGAGAGTGTAGAAGTCATGCAGCACGGGCCAAGAGAAGAAGGGAGCACAGGCCAGGGATGGTTAAGCGTGAGTGTTTGTTGGTTAACTAAGGTGTCCAAGGGATGCATCTTACCCCTTTTCACCCACCACGTACTCTACTGGATTAGTACGGGATGTCGTATTCGCTTGAATCCTAGCACTAGGTGTACTCTATCTTACGTTAAAGGCGATTCTTTGAGACAAGTTTGCAGGGGGTGATGGTTGCTGGGCCGCATACATAACATTCCAATCCACGGTAGAGTAGTGGTAGAACAGGTAGATGAATTGAATTATGGACACGCGATGCTGTACTCTAGGTAGAGCATAGAAAAGATTGGAAACGGCTAACTACTCGGGCTTGATAATTAGCGGGGCGACCTGGTAGGGGGCCACAGGACCAAGCTTTGCGTCGTTGGTGATGGTTTAGTCAGCCTTTGGTTCGATGTTTAAGTTCAACTAATGCTCATGATTCCACGCTGATGAAAGGGAGGGGGGGGGGGGGGGGAACAGGCGGGCGGGTGATCGATGAGAGAACTCAGAGACGTGTATTCGGCGACCAGGTGATAACCTGTGATTCAATACCATCAAAGGTTCAACTCTTACGGTAGTTGTTGGTGGTGGTTGTCTTCCCTCGCTGATCTACTGACATGATGTGGTGGGACTACATAGTAGCTCAATGCGTTTGATTGGTGCATTTAGATGCGCTTGTATTACTCGTCCGAATTCGGATTGGATTGTTTACCCTAGACTCGCAGTGGTGCTAGCACATCATACTTGGTGATATTATATATATATGTGATCTACAAACACAATCAATATTTCAATATTACCCGTAGCTATCATACTATACTCCAGAATATAATTTCATTTCTATTGGCGCCGGTGGGACTATGAGAACGTGGGCACATATAAATCTCATCCCTGGATATTAGGTTAACCGAAGCCAGCAATTTCGACCCCACGTCCCTACTAAATGGATTTGTCAACTGGAATGCCTGATATCGATATTTGTCGCGCGTAAGCTGACAACCGCTCCCGGTTAGAAATTCCCGCATTATTCCTTAATGTACCTGCATGTATCTGGTGCAGAAGTACTTTATTTCTTTGGTAGCACGGGGAAGTACTCTAGCCATGTACCCGTTTACCACGAAAAGAACCAGAAAATGCAGTTGCTCAGGGCAAGGATTATTTGTATGGAGTGGCGGTGATCTCTCATACAAACTATCCCTGTTTCCGCCACTTGCATTTTCTGGTTCTTTTCGTGTAAACGAGTACCTACATAGGTACATGTATAATGCATGGTTACGGTTATTAAGGTTACATTATGTATATGTAAAGTACATATATGCACCTTAACGTGCAAGGCGAGTACGACTCGCTCGCTCCCTACCGACTCGGGGCTCCAGCATGGTGCAAATACCCATACTCTACTCGGAGTCTGGGCCATCACTGGTATCTAAGCCAGACCCCAGGCATACTCCCGCAACTCCGAGTCGGCACAATCTCGGATGTTTACCTATGCATGGCCCCTCCAGCCCCCGTTTAAGTTTCCGAGCCCTCCCAATCAATTCCTCTCTGTGCCACGATACAAGCTTTAAATTGAGTTTCAGGTTGCGGGAATGTCACGGCGTAACGGACAAATAAGTCAACCAGTTAATCGTGGGGATGTCAGACGATGATCGGATGCAACCCTAACGTCGTCGCTTCCCCGCGAGAATGTTACTAGCTTACTGTTGACTGTTTAAAACCTAAGACATTGCGAAGGTGGGGTTGGAAAGAGAGAGTAGTCTGTTTGGATGGCTGACAAGGGGACGTGCTAGTAGCTTGCTAATGTCTTGCATATAAAAGGACTGTGTCAGTCATATACATAACGGTGGGCGTCTTCCCCACCTTCAGAATTAGCACTACCAGATCCCATCGTGAACTCTTCTATAGCTATAGCCAGTATATAACGGCCCAACTGTAGAATATAGTGGTTTACGAGGACACGCAAAGCAAGATGATCTCAAGACACCCTCAAACTGCACACGTTCGCTGACCATCTACCTTGTCTTAGATGAAAACATCAGCAGTTTGGCCTCAATTTGCCCTTCTCTCACCGATAATTGCACTTGCCTTAAGCTTGAGTCGGAGAGTATCGGGGGCTCGACCTCGTGGTGCTCACTATCCCTCAAGATCATAACCTCAGGATAAGGACAGAAGACCCCTTGTCCTCGTGAACCGACTATCAGAGTCTAGAACGTCACAGTAATAGTGTGTTGTGATGTCGAATGATCTGAGACGCTGTCCAGTAAGAGATCACCCGCCGATCAGGTGCTCCCAAAATCACTCGGCTCTCCATTATGGTTCTTCTAGAGCGCGCACAGAGGCATGTCGCTTGATATTCTGCACCCCACACCCGACAGGGCCGACACTCTAGTCGCGGTATTGCTACAACCTGCTATTTTATGTGAGTCTTCGATAGGTGTACCGATGCCGAAGCACGATCTTAGCTCCCACAGCTACACTGAATTTTCAACGGCGCTCGCGCAGGTGACAGTTAAGGGTGAGACTCCAGCAGCTAGATGCAGAACTAGGATATTAGTGTGACCCCGAGGAAAGGCCACCTACCCTGAGGAAAGGATAGGATTCTCTGGTGACAGTAGGAAGTCCTATCAGCTGTCATTTACCCGTGACAATCCATTCGTAGTAGCTGACAAAAGGTCGCGGTATCTGAAAAAAGGTTCTTGTGTTTCTGGTTATTAAGCGCCACGCAGTCGTGTTACTCAGAGATCCTGTTCCAAAGACTCAAGTCCTACAAGACTAGGCCTGGAGAAGGCCTCGTGTTTATCTAGCTTACGCACAAATCTTGCTTAGTCTCCCAAGCATAGTAACTACCGTTTGCATGACGGTGAACGAGATTATGGTGGTAATCCAGGGGTGTTGGATAAAGAAAATACTTATCAAATTGAATAGAGTCTAAAATACGGTATATTTCTGAATATATGGAAGGGTGAACACTTTACGAAAATATATCCTGGATCATAACTCATCACTCGCGTCAGCAACACCTCTCAACTATTCCCCTGTCAAATAATAGCGAATGTAGTTAAGGACATCTTTCCTCTGAGGGGCGAAGACTGCTTGGCTTATAAATTTGGTATTTCTGAACATCGCACTGTCGGATTAACCTCTCAAGTACTATCCACATTCTAGTCAACTATCCGCAATCAAACTTGAAGGGTTGCATTTTATAGAGTTTACTCAACTTGGAGGAACGCCGGAGTGCAGAGATACACCCCTCTGGTACTCGTAATCGTAGCTGTGTATGTCTTCTATCGAGTTTCCTCTAGCAAAGAAGCTGGCCTCACCGCTGATTGTGGACGTCGAGTGATTATCCGTGATTGGCGATGAGTTCTTTGGTATTACTATATTCCTAGATAAATACTTCCGTTCAACAACTGTTGAACCTCTATTACGACACCGCATGGCTGCGCGACGATAATTATTTCCCCTTATTTCCCTATCCAAGGGTCCCGGCTTTGGTGCATCAGTGTGACTCGCGTATGTAGGCCTGTGCATCCCCGAATTCTTAGGTCCTCAAGGTACCGATAGATTGGCCATAATGCGTCTTGAGTTTTTTCAGCCTCCCAAAACCTCCCTTTAGACTTTCTCTGGTTGCGTTGCCATTCATCGTTGTTAGATATAGTACGGCTTTGATCCTTCCCAGGCCTCAGAATAACTCGAAGAGCTGATGTTCTATATTAGAACTCATCAGCAAAAGTTTAATCGGTGGGGTTCATACCTGACCTCAATGAGTGCTTAGAATCTAAATATCCCTTACGCGCAGTAAGCCTCTCCCAATATATCCGAGTCAGGAATTCAGGGAACCGTAACTTTTTCATGGAGATAGACGAGACATACAGTTATTATTCGGTGATAGGCACGGGTGCAAGTGTATGAATGCAGCGTCGCGAAGAGAATGTGTAGCTGCAATATAAAGAGACTGATAAACTGAAGAGATGGATTAATTGGATGGGTGCATGGGTGAGTGTAGGTAAGGTGGGATGATACCACCCGGCCGTTAATGTCGTCGCCCATTAATACCCTCGTCTATTACGACGTTACCACATTACACATGTGTACACATATGTACACATATGTACACATATACCAGCGACGACAGGCCTCCATGTACCATCGGTGGCCTCTCAATAAGCCGCTTATACATCTAACTTATGTACATATACGTATCACCCACGGAGGGCTGCGGGCTGCCGTTCGGGGGAGGGGATGAGAGCAATTCAATGAAACTTGCTAGCATCCCAACAACACAATAGGATAAGACGATTGAAATATAACTTCAAGGCTCGGGTGATACAATTCAATTGCATCTAACTATTTACTACATGTAGGTTTGATCGAGAGAATAATTGCCATAGAGAATGAACTATATCGATCCTTTGTTTTCCTTTAACATACATCCCCATGCACCAACCTCTCTACTCCATTCCTCCTTCTCCTTCCACTTCAACCTCACCCCGAATATCAAGAGACCTAACCAGACCAAACCTGCACACCCAGAATTAGCAACCATCGACTCACATATACCAACAGGAGACTCACAGCAGGGCCTGGCATAGGATAACTCGTCATTGGTGGGTAGTAGATGTTCAACGCAATCCCCGGATCCGTCGCCGAGTACCCACTCGGGAACGAGATACCACTCGGCACCGCCGACCCTCCACCCGTCACCTTGAGCTGCGCACACGAGATATAGAACTGCGCGGGCATGCTGTGCAACGCAATCTGCTCAATCCTGACCAAGTACTCACCCGCCGCCAGCGAGCTCGGCAGCTTAAACGTGAACGTGTCCGACACTGTGCCCCAGTCGATGTTTCCGCCGCTGATTGTAGGCGCAATCTGGTAGATCTTGGCCCATGACCCGGAGCCGTCGTAGGCAGCGGCGGTGCTGGGCGCTTTGGAGATGTACACGAGCACGGGGCCGGCGTGGTAGATGGGTTGGTCCATCTTGAAGCCGATGGTGGAGCCCGCGGCAACGGTGTAAGTGCTGGTGGAGGCGCCGCTGCCGCCGCCTGTGTTGCAGCGGAGGTCGGTGGAGCCTGCGAAGACGGGTGAGTTGTAGTTAGTATTTTGGCGGACGTATTGGTATTCGGCAGTTGTGGTGCCATCGGCGATAAGGCTGGTGAAGCGGTCTGTGATATACATCGTAAGTTAATGGGCTGTATTAATTGCGGGTATGGGATGCACTAACAGTGCGCCTGGGCAGAGCCGATCAGGGCGGTGGCGATAGCCAGGACAGAGGTAGAGAACTTCATGACCGAAAGGATTGACAGAGAACTGGTTTGTTGATGAAGAGAAAGCAGATGTTCAGCAAAACACTGCGGTTTATATACACTTGTTCGGACTGCCCAGCTTCACCTACTCTCATTGAAACAAGCCAAAAGTCCTGGGAAGCTATTCCGATATTTCCTTCAAATAAATTAAGTGGGTGGAACTTTCCATGCTGTCTTCAGTACTTTTGCACCTAGAGTTTACATGCTGAGGTCCGATCCTTCCGGCATCAGGGAATATATATATTGCTCCCCACCGCCCTTCCCGGGCAAAGGGAGGTAAAATGAAGTATATAAGGTTATAGTTAAGGTCTGCTATCGATATACGTGCAGGGTTGTGTCGGAGAATATGTGAATCCTTCACGGGGGAGGACTGGTGATTGGTACCAAGCATTCGGGGATCCACTTGGAGCAGGGAGTCGCACCCGCATCCCCGGCAGATCTTGTCGCGTGGGGCGACTCGTTCAGGCAGGTACGCAGGTAACCTTAAGTTCTCGGGGAATTAACGAGCCAATCCCATCGTGTTCCGAGTTATCGGGCCGAAATCCGACCTTGGTGTTGGAACGTGAAGAGCAACCACTCCGGTCTTAAGGGACATAGGCTCGCAAGACGAGACGGCTATCACGGCTCACCAGCAATTATAGACAATCTGCGGCGAGACGATATCTTCTTGTAAATATAAACTCGCTGAGAGGTGACGGTTGTCCGGCTCTAGAATGATTCGTTGGTCTAAGAAGGATACTCCTTCGGGTACGAGACCCTTTAGCTCTGTGACTGTAAGTCTAGATCCTGAAATCAGGTTTGTGTTCAATATATATGACTATCATCTGTCCAATATAGGCTCGACTGCAGGGGCCATGGAAAACACGGATCCCGGGCAAGGTATCTTGTCGCAGCGCCGTGCACCACGAGTAAGAGGAGTATATACCCGAATAACCGCAAGCCAAACCTATGGGAAGCCTGGAGCTACTTACTTTACCCGTTTCCCCATATCCAGTTGATACCCGGAGCAAAGAAACAATATCTATTACATCTAAATGAATCAATGATAACCGAACCTCAGGTTGCGTGTATTATGTACATACGCAAGAATGGAAGACATGATTGAGAAGTGTATAGCGCCTAGGCCTACGTGCCTAAAAGGGCTCTACCGTCGCTGCTCTCATATGGGCGGTACTGAACGATCGTGTCGAGTGATCCTTGATGACTTCTAATCATGTATTATCACTCGTGCTTGGTCAGTTTTGAGCCCTTGCGTCATCAAGTCGGAATGTAGTGCCGGAAACCGCAAAGAACAGTAATATTTTATCTTGAGACTTTTTAACCCTCTGTAGGCTTTCGAACGGGTATGTCGGTGGTCGCCTCTATCACATTCAATAGGTACATGTATGGGTGTCTCTTTCATTCATGGTAACATATACCCCGCGGCTATTAGGGCCTAGATGCAATGACATGAATCGTGTGTTTTCTGTCCGAGAAATTTTCAAACTCCCATCTCTGAATATGTGAGTACATCTCACCCACAGAAATTTTGATAGGCCTGGTGTTATACGTACTAGCCAGGACCTTGGCCTGTTGGGGGGTTCGATTCTCGCTCAGGTAATTCCTTTTGTCACACCCCTCAATCCCCCTTTTTTTTTAACTTTTTGAGGAGACCTTATTTTGAAGTTTCGTGTTTATAAGTACCCCTTCGTTCGTGCCCAGGTTTCGCACGAAAAAGCGGGGATATTCAAAAATACTACTAACTGCTGGATACCCTCTAGGACCGGAAGGATCTGTTGAAAAAGAGGTCACAATTGTGAATCCAACACTAAAAAGGTTCGTGGAGTATTTTTTTCTTCTCTTTTTTTTTTTTTTTTTCTTCGATTCATTCATAGGTTCGCGGAGTGTGGGTTAGGTGTACTAGAGATAAAATTCGCTGGAGTATCTTAGCACCGATATATTTGTAGGAAAATATTTTTTTTCTTATGTCCATATAAATCAAAGAAAAGTCTCGGGCTTAAGCCAGCATATAACCATAGTACAACCTGTCCCGGGTTCCACTTCATGGGCTTGGGCGGGCTCAGGTCGGTTTTGACAGGCCCGGGTCGACCTATATATAAAAACCTCTGCTCGAGCAGCCATCCAGGTCTCCAGTTTTTTTTACCAAGTTTAATCCTATCTCGTAGAACTTAATCCTGGGACTGAATCCTATATTACTGCAGACTCATTGCATTTACTTCGGACTGTTTTTAGTATCATATATTCAAATTATGCAACACCTATTTAGCCAGAGTAATAGTAATAGCTATTATTTTTGACAATACGTATTTTCTTTGTTTCTTTACTTTGCTAAACTTATTCATACTAAACGTCTTTGTCACGACAGTATGAGTGTCTTCTTTGACAACATACACCTGTTAAACATCCCTCTTCGTCTTCCTATAAATAGAGGACCTCATCTCTCTTACGTTCGATAGGACAATACAATCAATCATCGTCTCACTTGATCCTCTTCTCGCTGAACTTACTTCAACAATAGCTAGTGGATAGGTGCTCGTGTCATACGATTCGGTTATATGTAGCTTCGAGATTCATCAAGGAAACTCTTGGACTACTATCTTTCTCTTACCATTACGCACACACTAGTAGACACTTATTTTCTATCAATCACCCGGTGTTCCTTCATTGTTCAATGCGCATAGCGCTACAAGGAGATCTAGCCAGAGGTATGTACGATTCAATGTCAATCCACGAAACATGAATTGTTATAAAGTAGACCGACCACCCCCTAACCATTGGTCTGAATACCTTAAAATATTTAAACCTTGACTTTACCTTCCTAGAGCTACAATCTACTGGTTATTCCACGGACTCGTCCCTTCCATGCAGTTGATGAAATAGGCATCGCATTCACCACGTTCGAGGTACGCCGAGATAATATAGCGAACCGAGGTTTATGAATTAAGTATACCATGCATGACCAGCTCATTGGAAAGTTTCTACTTGGCGTACCAAATACAAATGACACTTACTAATAAGAGAAGCAGACTACCTGCATGATGGGTAGGTGACGGCTAGCTTGTTGATTGGATAGATGACGCCGGAATTGAGGCAAATATAATGGCCTCCCATCGCCGATTGTGAACGAAAACGTATACGAGGATGGAATAGCCCAGACGACGGTAAAAATTTATGGTTAGTAGTACTGCTGCCATGGTTACATGAGACAACCACCTTTCATTTTTTTTCACCCACTATAGTAGATCCTTCCGGCTTACTGTTTTGAAGATCCACCTTAGATCCGCGAAGGTTTATTCACGCTGTAAACATTGCATTCCTAATAGGATTTTGTATTTTCTGGTTTATTGCAGACTCTTTAAGGTCGTCAATATACTGCACTGATAATCTAGTATTCCTTCGGACCGGGAGAACATTCCATTCCCTAATATCCTCTATGCTCTATGAGATATAAAATACGAATAAGAATATGGTTAATTCAATATGTTATGGTCATACGACTAAAGATCTAATATAACCTGCACCACGATCACCATTTCAAGCTTTAGGATAGGGAGACGAATAATCTGAGAGACTTTCAGCTGATCACTAGATTTATTACCAAAGGAGCCATATTATATCCCTCTTATTGGTGGATTATACAGAGTGGGGTAGCACTTCAGGCTAGGATAAACTCTCGCCTTATAACTCGCTGAGGACATACTTATCCGGCCCAAAATATAGTAATATCAAGAAGTTGATCGATAATCTTATCTGAACACTATCAGAAGTCTAGATTCACGTGCCTGACCTTAGGGAGCTCTTGGGTGCTGTCCCAAGAGTAGATACTTCGGAGACCCCCGAGCCCGTCGGTGATCTTGACTGGTACATCTCTTCATAACCTCACCTAATAAAAACCACACATATATATAACGCAACAATAGAAAGTCATATCAAAACCTATAGGGTTAGTACTCGAGATCATCAACCTAACTCAGAGTCTTATGCATATATGCCACCCCCGGAACCTCTAACGTACCCTGAACCTCCAATTCCAGAGCCAGGAGGCAATGTGAATTAATCTCCGCCGTCCTATCAATACCGAAAGGAACGGATATACGGCTGCATGGAGAAGCTAATATGTGCCAAAGCTTGTTCAATCGACCCGATCCAAAAAAAAATGGTTATTCTCACCTGCCCAGTTCAGCCAAAACCAGTCTCTCGCTACATGCCTAATCTCGAACATGGAAACAAACCGGCGGGGTGCTGACCTACTTTCTTAATTAGGCACCCCCACTTCCCCATGATCTCCAGGGCCAACTGTCGGTCGCTCTTGGCAACGGGCGAAATAGTAGGAAGCCACTTTCCCAATCTGATCCAGAAACAAGTTTGTTACTATCCCCTTCGGAATCGAGTATATGCACTTACTAAAAATATTAGAGTAGGTACTCTACTGTAGCCAGTTCCTCCAGCGATCATTACATCACCCAGCATAAACAAATCTTGAAGCACTTCGGTACTCGGTACTATTCCATCGGAGCCAACCCGAGCACCGGTACGGTCATGCTGATTCACCATATCGGGTCGACGTCGGCGACAATATTTAATCCTGGCTGTTTCTAACTTAGTAGGAGGAGTAGCTATAGCTGAGACGGGGAACGCGGGGGATTAGCCGTTTCTTGTATAGGTAGTAGTAGGTGTCCTCTTTGAGCGACAACACCCATTACTTTCAAGATGTCCGATATCCACCGCATCCCACACATGATGTGGGCTCCCGCCGCACTCCGCACATGCAGTAAAGGCCGTCAGCTGTTAGGATCTTAGTCACCTTTGTATTCTTACATTTATAATTTATCGGTGGTTATCACCTACTGGTAGGGACTTACCCCCACTCAAATAGCCATTTACAATGGCCTCTCCCCTGATCTACCATGTACGGGTACTAGAGTACTCGCGTATCTTGCTATTCAATCAGCTTCCAAGTCTCGGATCTCCTCAACTTGTAAAGCGGTTTCCAACCAGAACGTCATCGGGGTTCCGGCGGCGGATCTCCCCGTCAAAACACACACAACAGCAGGGAAAGGACTTCCATAGGGCGCAGTGCAACAAATAACGGTCTTACTACCACGTTTACTGGGGTTGATGCCCAACTTGGACGCTGGTTAATATGCAACTGCGAGGATGCGGGGGGGGTACCGAGTGCCGAGTCTCAATGCGGCTATAACAGCTGTTGTATATGGGGTGCGATTGCTTGTTTGATAGATATATGTTTAGTTGACCTGGGGCTGCTGCTCAACTTAAAACAACCGTGCAGGTGCACAAACACGTGCATACATGTACACATGCAAGTAAAGATCAAGATTATAGTTATCACCACTTCTTGGCAAATTGAGATCACTTCATGGGCGACCTAGCATTACGTAGCTATATAGTGCATATCTCATGTCGTTACAAGTACCTCGATATTGCCATGTTACTACCACGATGAGTAGTCCAGAGGTAGATGCATGTAAAGAAAAAAAGAAGAAACTGATAATATTTGTCATGAAAGGAAAAGTTCTGAAAGGAAAGTTTTGAAAAAGCATTTACAAATCAAATAGTCCCCCCATGCAACACCGTGCTCAGCACTTTCTAGATCCCCCTCCTTCTCTTCCCCATATCAACGCCTAACCCTGGATGCTTGGGCTAGTCGAGCGTTAGTTGCATCTCTTCCGCACAAGCATTGTATATCGCACGACAAGCATCAGAGTTAGTACAACCAGCAATCCTCATGCTAGAAAAAAGCAGAAGAAAAACCATTAGCCAAAAATCCGCAACTAGGTGGGAAAAAAAACTCTTGGAAAGTACTCACATGCAGGTCCTACACTGAGTCTGGACGTCTGCCTGCCTGGCAGCGGGAACCTTATAAAAGGCCATCCCCTGGTTGGGATCGTAAGCGATGGTCATGCATTGCTCATACTACTCTGCCTGTTAGCTCTGCCAGACTCGGTTCTAAAAGAAAAAGAATATAGGTGCACATACAGTAGCGAGATCAGAGCCACGCTTGTAGGCCGGGACAGCAGCGCTGGTAGCAGCCAAAGTCATGGCGACGAGGAAGTTGGTGATCTGCATTTTCTTGGATGATGGAGGTGATGAAGATGATATATACTGAAGAATTATGATGCGTGGAATTGGGGGGATGATATGATGCCGAATGAGTGTACCAGGAAGAAAAGAAGGAAGAGGAAAGGAAGGAGGAAGGCGGAGGAAGAAGAAGTGGTATTTAAGTATTCAAATTTAAACTTTGTGGATTTATACTTTAGCAGGAAATCAGGGGCGACGTCAACGCTACTTAAGCTGGTCGTCGAATCTCTCGAGCCCTGCCTGTGTTTTAATTCTATGGATTGAGCCCCAGTCAGTGTCCCTGATCGGGCTCGAGAAACAACCCATGTTTCAACGGGGATACGTAATTGTAGAATAATGGCTATGGGCGGCGTCTATCGCTGCTGCTGCACGTCCAATTATTCTTCTATTCACTATCCTTCTTAGAAGGTTACCCCGATCCCGGATCCCGGACAAATCTGGCTGGGCATATTAACAGGAATTAGTGTAGAGGTAAAGACTAGCAACTTCGATAAGAAAGCTTTAAGGTACCTCCTGTAATTGATGTTTGGATGGGGAATAACTGTTTGGGTGTGCCAGTTATGTGATGCATGTATGGTACTGCTGACCTCATATTGAATTTGTTACAATATTCCGGCCGATAGCGGAGCTGTGGGTGGGGAGATCACATGACTTGGCCCAAAGTGATAACCCTCAATATCACTTTCAGGATGTTCACTTACGCGTCCGCTACGCCGGGTGGATATGGCAGCATGCATCTGTCCAGTCGATTGATGGGGAACTGCGGTAGGCTATGCCATCCGGATATGCAAGGATGCTTTGGACGTGGGGGCCATAACGCATTGGATTGTTAATTGTTAGAAACGACATGTTAGCATCGCGACATATGGTATCCACCCTACTTTAATTTTTGCCGGGACGAATAAGCAATGGGTCAGCGGGAGCCTCAGCCGACTGAAATATTCAGCACCTATGACAAACTATTACCAACATGGGTATTAGCAGTCTATTCTTCCTTATGCGGGGTAGCCAGTGCTTAAACTCGATGTTTTGTGCAACCAGACAACGGTTATGAATCCGAGAGAATGATTGTGGGGACTATCGCAACCGCAAGGTGTTGGCTTAACACATAAGGGATTGAGCTGGCTATAGGGCTATAACTATTTTCCTTGATCAGAGGTGTATTTCCAGAGTTGACATCCTCACTCGAATACAAGCTATTCAGCGAATTTTATGCAGGTGCCTAGGCCTCGATTCATGGACCACACAAAGCCACGACACACATGCCAGATGAAAAGCCTCAAAGCCGGAGTTCGTTAGCGGTAATAATTGATGCCATTATAGATATAGTGAGGCTCTTTTGATAATCAACCTCCTACCCTTGAACTTACCTTCCCTTTTGCCTAGCTTAATATCCGATGTCCTGTATTAATCTAAAAGCATATATAGCAAAGCAGCACCTGCACTTTATTTTTCGGAAACATTCATGACATCACCGCAAGATCTGACCTTTATTCACATCTCTTCACACTCAAAAGCTGAGGGAGTTTGTTTGTGCTCTCCCCCGGGCCCCGCATTCACTTCCTTTCAGCATGTGTCTCGCGGAGAATCACATCAGGATTCAATATATGCTTCAAAATAAGGGAGCTTTCGGACCGGAGTACCGAGGAACAAAAGGCCGAAAGACGATCTTACGATCTTCATTAATCATGTACTAATAACGTTAGCTCCGGTAAGTATTCAATAGGAGTTTATGAGTATTTGGAAATACCGCGCTCGCGCCGCGCCGCTCAAGCGCTACAATTCTTAAAGCTTAACTACAATATTCAGTGATTGCTTATAGAACTGTTGGTGCTAGGATATTATCCATGGGGATCTTTGCATATCCCCAGGGATATATAAGTTTGGCAATAGACATGGAGACCCGAGGCCTATGAAGCATGAAGCGAGTATATGGCTGGCCATGGAGTGGCATGATCATGAGGGAAGGTTGAAGGTCCGCACTAGTACTCCGTCTTGGCACAATCAACGAGTGATTTATGATGAATTCGGAATTATGCAACCAATAAACTTGGATTTGCACCTTCTGGAGTGCTATACCCATGTCAGTACAGATATATATCTCTGAAAGCTCTATGGTACGTGGATTTGGATGCACGAACAAATGGTTCTCGACGCGGCGCCAATATAGATAATTTAAAAATACATGTACCTTGAGAGCATACAAGTAGCTTCTGTTAGCTACGGAAGCTGAAGTCCCGGCTCCGTTGCCTAAGTTATCAAATATTGCTGATCCCACTCGTTCACCCGTTTACCTACATATCGTTTATAATTTAATATTCGATAGATATTGTCACGTAGAGTAGATACCCTGAATCCTGCACTCAAAAAATTAGTAATCTGCACACAACCATCTGTCAGAAATTATATTGGGACCAACTCAAGCTTCATTATATGCTTCTGATAGCCCGGACAGGCCTGTGGATCCTACAAGGTACATATCGGGTAGCCGGGAAACGTATGATCCAGGTGTTGCAATTGGTTAACCGACAACCCCAACCCTCAAGTTAATTAAACATTCCGAGAGCAGAGAAAAGCATGTTGTTCCGAGCATCACTCAATTAGATTCATATGCTATAGAGTAGTTGAGTTTGATATAGTACTTAGGGCTGAGCGCATAGGTAGAAATTGATCTTCGGTGCCGCCGGCAGAAGTACCAGGGAGTTCCCTGGAATAAAAGCAGAGGAATTTCGTTCATTGCATTGTGCCATGAAATCCTTGGCAACGAAATTTTGTAGGTCATAAAATGCGAAGTTTTGGAATGACTAGCTAGCTTAGTTTCTATCTAGGCTCTTGTGATCGAATCTCGAGTCTAAGAGGACTATTAGTTGTTTCAGAAAGAACACAGAGGGATTAAAAATCGGTGCATGAACAACTTAAATTGGATACTAGATCAGTAGAAATGTCTTTGACTAGTTTATCGCCAGACAAATGAGGAATAGCCTTTCATTCTTTCACTCGAGCCCAGATATATCAAAGAAACTCGTTCTTGTTAGAATCCAGAACAGTAGAAGCAAGTTTAGCCTATTATCCACTGTGCCAAGTTTGAAAATCGGGATCTAGAGAACACAGAAAGTCCATCCCGAGATCTAAATGGCGTGTTTCTCGATCACTTTAGGATAAATTATATTCCACTTCCGCAACCCAGGTCTGTGGCGCTACAGGACTAACGGAAGAGCGAGTGTTATATTTTAATTGTATTGTCAGAGCAATTTGGATTTAGACAACTCTCGGCATTCATACGCGTCAGCTAGACTGTTGATAAAGTTAGCATAAGATGCACAAGTACGGTTCTTCAAATTCTCTCATCATACCATTATGAAGGATTATCATCAGATCAATCCCAATATCTGGATGTACACCGACGGCAATCTGTACTTTATATTGTTGTGCGCTCCGTCCTAAACCGTGAGACAGCGGAGCAACAGAAGAAAAAGGTCAGAATAGTGCCATTCCCCATCCATCGAATCAATATGCATGATCCATACATCGAAATCGAGGTGGTTATTCCGAAATCCCATGAGCCATATAATTAGGAAGAGTGATATTGAAAGTCCCGGGACGCAAGGAGATCGAGAGTCGGTAGTTCGCGCACGGAGAACCTGGGATGTGACGTCTCGACCAAGAACACACGTTCATAAGCCAATGTCGCTATCTAGCAATGAACGTTACATGTATACAGCTGAATTAAATACAAAGATGACACCACTTCGAAAGGCTACACTAGCGTCATCCGACGACTTACTTCCGTGTAAGCGCGTAGAAAGCGCGCATCCATCATCCAATCTCTCATCTCAAGCTGATGATCGATCATCGTTTTGAGAGCTATATGTGCAACACATGCAAAGTACATGATGTACATATTTACATAGTAAGCTTGTGGTTTTCGATTGAATTAAGATAGCCAAGCTTTTGACTGTGTGTATGGACATTCATTCCGGCCATATATATTACTGACCACTGCAGTCTTAATGTTTTCGTTGATTTTATGTTCTGGGTCCAATTGTTGCTGGTGTGTACAGCCGCATTTGAAAAGTATTGGCACCTCCGAGCCAAACTCACGAGGCAGTCCTTTCTGCTTTTCAATTCTCATATTCGAGACAATTGCCAGAGAGAGCTGCAATGTCTCTATTGCGGTCATACCTACCAATAAGTTGAGTATGCGCGAGTGCTATGGTTTTTGGTGGGCCACAATTCATGAACGACTCAATATAGTAGGGCGCCAGTACTTTTCGAATGCGGCTGTACATATACTTGTGATCGTAAGTACGAATACTTTCAAATCTAACATTTTATAGTTGTAATTCGACCTTCCCTAAAGATCTAGATGTTCCCTACGAGTATACTTAGGTATATGTGACTCCAAGATCGATTTACATATAACTTTCCTCACACTAAAATGTCGCGCTCCATACCGGCCCTGTAGCTAATAAAAACACTTTAGCCCTGAAGTTGACCTTTTAAGAAGTTGACCTTTTAAGATCTTTTCCTTCTCAAACACAGCTCGTGTCGGTGTCCCTATTTTCAATTATGTACTGGCAGAGCTGTAAAGATCTTGGATAAACATATATCTGTGTATAGAACTGGCTGAGGGTCCAAAGTATGCAGATCGGCAGTATCCGCCGTCGAGTGATAATTGAAGACGCGCCAAGGCTGTGCGACTGCCAAGACATTATTTCGAGCTCTCCTCGATCGTTTCCATCGCGACTCTCTCTCACCTCCTCAACCAACTGACCCGCCGTGCCAGACACCACTCCTGTCTGCCCTCTTCAAACTATTATATCCCAAAGCTCCCCTTTACGATATATCACATCTCGGTATTTAACAATGGCGGATCCAACACACACCGACCCCCTCTCACTCCTCCGCCTCTCCATCAGCACCAGCACCCCCCCCACGCTCTCGCACAGCCCCCAGCCCGCTGACCCCTCCTCCACAACCCCCATCAGCCTCTCCTCCGCCACTTACCTCATCTTTGCGCACCCCATTACGCGCGCCTTTCCTCTGTCCACTCCCACCCGCTTCCACAAGTCCGACAGCACTCCCGTCGACCTCCGCAGCATCTACTTCGCGTGGCAGCACCGCGAGGACACCATCCCCGACTATATCTCAAAGGCGCAGGCCCTCGGTGATGGTGCTGTAACCAATCTCGCCTTCTTGGAGCGCCTCGAGCTTGTCACATGGCTCGAGGGTGGCCAGGAGGACAGCGAGTTCATCAAGGCGCTTCCTGCGCCCGCGGCGGCAGTCGCGGCGGCGAACACAGCGCAGAGTGCCAGTGGGCAGGTGGTCCAGGGAAGATCACAGAGCTATACGAGCGGGGGTAGTGGAGCGCTGGCCGGGAAGGTGAGAGCGACGGACCCAAGACTCTTGGAGATCTACAGCTATGAAAGAGTCGTCACGAACCGGAATACGCTCCTCAGGGGGATCAAACCAACTGTGAGTCTAATTTCACCTGCGCCTGTCTGTTTCTTACTATGCTAATAGCTGTGTAGGACTTCTCCCACGTCCGCAAGCAAGCCGAAGACTTTATCACGCGCCTGCGCACGACCAAGCCTGCAACCGCCGCTGTCCCTGCGACCAAGTCTCTCCCTCACCGTGGTCCACCAACTACTATCCCCGCCTCCCTAACCCCCAAGCCACCAAAGTCCCGCTCCCGTATCGACCCCATCATCTTGCTCTCCCCCTCGGCCTCCTCTCTCCTCACAATGGCTAACATCAAACCCTTCCTCGAGTCGGGCGTCTTCTCGCCGTCCACGACCGCCTCTGGGCCACACCCCCAGATCCACCACGTTTCACGCCTCCTTCCAAGCATTCACGCTACAACTCCTTTCCGTTTCATCATTGTCGACTCCCCGGAGAAGTTCAAGCCTGACTACTGGGATCGAGTGGTGGCGGTTTTCACCACTGGGCAGAGCTGGCAATTCCGCGGGTACAAGTGGTCTAACCCCGTAGACCTCTTCCGTGAGGTCCGGGGCTACTACGTTGGTTGGGAGGGCGAGAAGACTCCAGATGTGGTGAAGGGATGGGGTGCTGGAGTGCGTTGCTATAATGTGGAGAGGGCAAGGCGGTTTAGGGACCGAGAGGTGTGTGAGAAGATTTGGGAGGGTGTAGAAGTGTGGATGAGGGGTAAAGGGTGGGGACAAAATGGCAGGTAGAGAGGCCATTATATGGTGAAAAAAATGTGTAGGTGTATGATAGTAATAGGCACCCTCATTCTTGACGCCCTGACTTGCTTGGGAGCGGATGAGGTGAGCGCGGTATTTTCTTAATACCTTTTTTTTCCTTCTCTTGAACCCCCTGGTTTCTACTGATATGAGCCTCTTCTTTTTCTGCTGCCATTTTATTCCGTGATGTTTATGCCTACTGTTCTGTCCTTTGTGTGGTGTAACGATGGGTTTTTTTTCTTTCTCTCTTTCTCTTTTCCTTTCTCTTTCTTTATGTAATGTAGCAATCTAGAGAAAAATTTAACATGGGAAGCTCGATTCAGACTTTGTCCTTGGACATTATTTGGGGATACATCTTTCATCTTGTTAGGACAAGCATCGACCCCTTGGCAGGCGATAGGGCTGATATGGTGGGGGATTGCGAGTGATGACTGGTGACATGAATTCCTTGACGGCCCTACTTTTCTCTTTGATTCATTCTTTGCGCAATTGCGGGTGTATCAGACAGAACTTTGCTAACCAATGGGTCCTGATACCAGGGCTTTGAGTCTAGTAGGTACACCTGCCCCCGTTACCGGTTCCCAGCTCAGTTGGCGATTCGTCTAGATCTGATCAATGAAATCTTGAAGTGTAGTGACACATAACTTCCATTGGTTGGCAGGCCGGGTCACACCTGCGGCTGAGCACTCTGGGGAACAACAAAGCATCGTGTACGTAAAACTTTAGAGCTCTATCTAAACTGACACAAGTACCTCCATCCTCTTATCACCCCCACCAGGAACTACGACCGCTACCCGCAATGGCAATGCCGCTTAGGCTTCTCTCTCTCCCCTCAGAGATACTTGTCCTCATCTTCGACTTCATCCCGCACACCTGCTTCTCGGAGGACCCATCCCTCCTCTGCGTCTCCAAAGCCTGGTACACCTACGCGCACGCAGCCTGGCTGCAGCACATCCGCCTCACATCCAAGAGCCTCCCCCGCTTCCCGCCCGACGACCCCGCCATCTCCGACTTCATCCAGGACCACACCACATCACTGAAACTCAAGCTCTATGGCGTGATCGACTTCAACACGCCTATCAAAGCGCGGCTCGATGAGTTTTCATCCGCAGTGGGACGGATGAGGAAGCTGAGCAACTTTGCGTTCATGGCGTGCTACTGCTCTGCCCCGTGGGAGAACTTACCCGCCGCTGGTGGTGGTGGTGGTGGTGCTGCAGTCGAGGGGGAGGACCGTGAAGATGTGTTTCCGTTGTGCTATCTATGGGTCGAGTCGGTCTATACGATGCTGTTGGAGCTGCCCAAGACTTTGACGAGGTTGAAGCTGGATACGATTGGATCGACTCTATTGACTGGGCACAGCGGTCCAAGGGTTAGTATCAAGCCGAAGCGGGGGTGGCATATCTGCGGGATGTTCAAAGACATGACTGCTCTTAGATATCTGAAAGTCAGGATGGACTTGGTGTGCGGAGACGTCTTTGAAGGGCCGCAGATAAAAAGGATAATCGTCAATCTGAGGAGAAAAGACAAGGATGGCATCAAGATGTTGAGGCTGTGTGGGGAATGTGAGGAGTCGAAGGAGCTGGCCCAGGGATCTGAGGAGGTGTTCATTGAGCGTCTATATGGTTCGGGGAGAGAAGCAGTGCTAGCCGTGCCAGAGGGGACCAAGGAATGTTTCATCCTGGGGGAGCGGACTGAAGGGGATCTGTATGAGATAATCTGTGGATCGGCGCTGCTGAAGACCTACGCTGATAAACCTGAGAGGAAATGGTGCATAAAAAGCGGCAAGTATAGGAGGGCATCGTGGAAAGATTTGAACCCCTCCTAAAAATTCTATCTAGCCAACCAAATTTAGGTAACGAAAAATGTTTTCCTCTTCTTCCCTCCCTATGAAAATTGAAACACATACGCTCTCTCAGAAAAAAATCACCCTAACTAACAATGTGGTATACTAGATCGCCTGTTTTGTTACTTTGATGTGGGGATCGACTTCAGCTTTCATCTTCTTGGATGCCTCTACTTTCCACTCAGACTCGGCTTTCACCCAGTCAAATTTCATGTCCATTCTAACACCAATCCTGTTCGAGCGTATTACAACTCTAACTTAACGGAGGGGTTACTTAACTTAATTACCTATATACAAATCAATATTTTCAACACACGTTTTTAGCACCTCTGTTTTTTCTTCATATGTAGGTAACGGCGTTTGTATCCTAAGCCACTTATTGAATAACGTGTAGCTCATCTTATTAGTAATAAAAAATTAGTAGAAGCTTAATCAAGTGTGCAAAAATCTTACTACGATCAGTTGGGTTTGGGTTCAATGATTGAAAAGACAGTGCTACTTTCGGACTTGGAATTCCATCTAAATACATGTACTAAACATTAACACAACGAACACTGGCCTCACATTGCTTAAATATTCCTGGAAATATTCATTTTGTAAAGACGAGAGTACTAACGCAGCTCAATTCTAAGAATACAAATTGTCAGTTGGAGAGCACAGCTGTCTGTCGAATTGGACCGGTTTCACATCTCAAGATTCAGTGCGGCGACATAAACGAAGAGTACATACCAAAGTACCAAAACGTACGAAACCCGAATAAGCCCAACTAACTGACTACAAAATAAGTGAGCACCTAGCGAAACCCCGGGGAAAAGAATTCATTAAATACATAGTAGCTATATCAGAGCATGCTTAGCACGTACGCACACGTTAGTAGCTGGTCATGATAGTGCAGTATTTGAGGCCAGAGCAAATTCATCGCGTGACTTAAATGGACATAAAATCAATAAACCTAGGTCAAGTTCTACATGCCAGTTCACAAGCATAGTGATGCCGTATCTCGCTTTTCTCCGCATTGCGACAACCCTATCGCCGAGTGATATTTCATGAACCCACCCACCCCACCAAAAAATCGAACCGCCACCTTTGCACCGTCGCCCCCAACACAACCGCCACCCGCCAGCCCTTTATACGCATATAAACTTTTATGGCGGCCCTCCGTTCGAGGTTGCCATGGTACCAGTACCACCCACCCTTGTCAATGATTACTAGTACGTAAATGGCGGTAGCGCCGCCAAGAAAACGTTTGGAAAAATTTGCATTTGCAACGACTCTAACCAATAGGGGATGTGGTTTAGTGGTATAATACCTCTTTAGCATTGAGTACTCTCTTCTGAGCAGTATCTTGAGTAGAGGTGGTCCGGGGTTCGATTCCCCGCGTCTCCATTTTAGCTTTTGCTCTCCTCCTCGTCGAGCAGGTTTGACTTCTTCTGTCCGCTGGGCCAAAAGGCAACTATAAAAAGCCAAAAACAACTTCCACATCTTCATATTCGAAGCACAGGATGCGGACTGAAAATAAAAGTTTACCTGCCATGTTTGTTGGTCGACCCTGGCAGAAAAAGTGGTGTCAGCACCTACACCCAGAGAGAGTAGGATACTGAGAGCCTATGATGGACGTACTGGGAATCGAACCCAGGACCATCTCAAGTCACGATGATGCGAATGAGATATTATACCCCTAAACCATGCGCCCATTGGTGATTATCCTAGAAAATTTGACAGTCATAAACAAATGGAGCACATCAAAATACTCAGACCTCCTCCTCACTTCCCGTCCCACCAAATACTTGTACTTAAACCTCAGGCCATTCACTACTTCCTCGCTGAGAATCCTGTTCTCAGTGAAATTCACTGGCGCTGTTGCTGGGGGTTTGTGCGGAGTGGTCTCCGAGCCCGTCGAGACCGCCGGGGTCCGGGCCGCTGCTTTAGCGCCAGAACGAGTTTTTATAAGCCGCACATAAACCTCACCAAATCAATTGCTTATCAAATCAACGCAGGAGTTTAAGAGACTTATTTGCCCTCGAAAATCAATTGCTAAAAAGGACCGATATATCGAAGAGATCCCTATAAAATTACAGCAAAACCGGCCTATCGTAATTCCACCCTCTCGAAATTCGGCCACCGCGGGGGTGGAATTATTATAGGTTTTGCTGTATAGGCTTGGTAAGGTCTAGGTACTACTTTTGTTTGGCCCATTCTAGCGGTAAAGGATGTACATATGTGTATAACCGTAGATTTATAAGGAGAATAATTATGGGATTGATCATGATATACTCATCAAATGAGGTGAACTGAGCGGACAGTAACCCTAACCCTATCCTCAGAAGCGAGCGAAGGGTTTAGGCAACAATAAAACATACGCACAATCTCCCCCAAACTTTCTCACACTATCTTCGTCGGAATTTATTCTTTCTGAAGAATATAAGTTGTAGCTTCTCTACTCACTTAACTGATTTATTTCGTTAATCAGTTTTAGCGAGAAGATAATAAATTTAGCGGCGCTGGGGATTTTCACAGGAGATCTAGATCACTCACTATGAGTGTCTGTTTAACGAAACGGTACCATCGCAATCAATTTATTTAGACAAGTTTGAACCTGAGATCATTGAGAGTGCTGATGCATGACTATCATATTATTTTCAAGATGGAACAAAACGATTCTTGATAACCAAAACAGCCCAAAGAACCCTCGCCACACAAAGATAACAGCCAAGGCTGTCCTCCGTGCCCCAGCTGCAGGAACAGTAAAGAGCGTATATACACATTTGATTTAGTATGCCTTTTTTTTAGAAATCTAATCGTCCAGACGTGCCTACATAAATCTAATCCCCACCTCCTGTTCTTCATAAAACCATAGCCACTTCGTGCATCTAAAACTCCTGTCTTCGCTGACCGAGGAACCACAGATTAATTATCCATACGATGAAAGGCGCAGTACTCATCTTTAATAGAAGTAGATCTGATCAATTTGGTCTGGATTCAGGTTGATGTGACTCTTATTGAGCATATTAAAGATTATATGTATTTCTCCAAGTGACAATATCGAGTGATACTCTATGTATTAAACTTTCTTTGACCGAAAAAATGCATATATGGCCACCACTTTTGATAGTACCAGCGGCTAGATCTATATGCACTGTTTCTAGTTATATAAGGACACCGTTTTCCCATCTATATCGAGTGTAATAGTAACGGGGACTACACCCGTCTGCATGAGCTGCACGGTGAAGCATAAGATTATCTGAGCTAAAGTGCAGTCCCTCTTGCACGGAACTAAAGATATGGCTTTGCAGGCTCCGGAGTTAGGAGTCCCCAGATAGCCTAGATTGCGCCTACCCCACACACCTACCTCTATTTATGTTTTTATATGGTACTCGAATGACCTATATTAGGCCATGTACAGGGTATTCACGGTATGTGTGAAGAACCCTCTTTTAGGAAATTTTATTATTGACCAGTCTGCGAGGGCCTGCCATTGGTCGAATTTTAAGAAAGGGGCAACTTGGCGGCCAAGCAAGTATTTGAGGGGTGTGTGCCCCACAACTTGACTCTTTTTCACTCCCGATCTTTTGGAACTCACCCAAAAACCCCTTTGAAAAATTCACAGTACTACTCACATCAAGCAGGGAGCCAGTTCTATCCTATGGTTATTTTTTTGTGTTTTTAGTTAAATACTTAAACTTTTTAAACAAATATGTGTGAAAGTTCTTCAGACTTCTTTCCAACATACAAATTGTGTGGCTAAGCCTGTTGTAATGCCTTGTAACTCTGAAAATTATTGGTCAATTTTGGCTGCCACATGTGGCACCCATAGAATTTCAAACCAATTAATCGATGTTCTCGGTATTTAACGTGCACACCCTGTACACCGGGGATTCGAATTCACTGAAAGATCGCGCTGTTTGCGAGACCGATCCATGTGCAGTGGCAAGAAACACAGCGTCTGTGGAATATATATACCCAAAACCAAACCTCGGACCTTCGCTTTGAAGCCACAGTCTACAGGCTTTCCTAGCACCTGGCGTGGATGGCTTGGTGTAACTTAGCGGGCGGTCCGGTCTCAGGGAAGAGAGAATTACCGGCTCCTCAAGGGTTCTGGCCTTATCGCATACACTTTTGCGATGCCCTTAAGACTGTAGAGGACCGATAGAGTGTAGTATGGCACCTGTAGGAGACCGTTTTAGAAGGTTATTGATAGTGGAGGATTCGGGAGCAAAGGAAAACAATGGAGCATGCAGGACAAGGTGTTGTTGGTAGAATAAACTGGTCAGTACCGGCACTTTTATTTTCCTTCAGTTATAAAGGGTCGGCTCCTACTAAACAGGACAGAGAATTAATAATTATCGATATCCTACCTAGCACCACATGAGATTAATGCATCAGGGCCTAGTCGGGTGCTTTGAACAACAATCAAATTTTTGGCCAATAATACCAATATACTCTCCAAGTCTAGCTGGTTGGAGTAGTATGCTAGTGTGTGCAGAATCAAAGCAAACACAGGCTAGGCACGAGACTATAGATGTAGTAGTATGCGTACTTCTGGGTGCTTATATGTGCCAAGATGTGCCAAGACATATGCGTTCTTGGCCAAGACGCGAGTAATACCTTGTGCCAAGGTGCCAAGGTGCCAAGACGCACCAAGGATGAGTTAGAGTCTTGATGCCATCGCCTCAACCTCATACACCACACCACACACCACCAACACCACCAACACCCCCATCAACACCCCTATCAACACCCAAAATCCATCATCCATCATCTATCATCCATCTCCGCCCTCCCGCGACAGTCCCCCCCCCTGCGATTCTCCCCCTTGCGACAGTTCCCCCCGCGACAGCTACCTCCCTCGCGACAGCTCCCCGCGACAGTCCCCCACTAACGCTAACCAAGCAATCTCAGGGCTGCTATGCACGCTGTTAGTATCTAATATTCTACAACAGTATCATGACGCGCACAGGAGCTTCGCCGGATGGATTCCCTGCCGACCGTTACTTGAAAACCAGAACGCCCGAGTCTTGGGACATGGTCGATTTCTTAAAGAGCTTCGACCCAGAGTTGGACACTGATGTTCGGCTGGATCAACGGAGACACTCGTGGAAGGAAGCATTGCTACGGGTCGCTGCCGCAGATGAGTCTTCTAAGGATAGGAAAGAGAAAGCCCAGTACCTGCTGGGAATCTACGAGGCGAGTGCATCCTCTTTGTACCTTGCAGGCCACACTTGACATCACGGCTGTCGGCTTCGCTATTCTACCTGCATTATGGGCATCATGTGACCTTCGTGGTCGACATGTTGTTAAGGGTTCGTCCCAGCCTAGCAGGGCTTCTAGAATAGCGTCGATAGCCTTCGTAAGACCGCTGACGAGAGTGTTGCCTGTACCAGTGTCTGGGGCATCATATGACCTTCGTGGTCTATATGGTGTTAAGGGTTCGTCCCAGCCCGGCACTGTCCCTATCAGATTGCGCTCGCTTGGGACTAACTGCATTTTTTTTATATCTTTAGCATGAAGACAAGAAACGATTTAGGGACTGGCGCGCCAACCTTAACCGTCAGGCCCAACCTGCATCAATTAGTATCACTCATTCCAAGAAGTTCTCAGTGAATGTTAATACACCCGGCGAAAGCAACAGAGTGCTTCTAGGTGAGAGTGCTGGAAGTGCAAGGGGTGGAATAAAGGCGAGGAAGAGCGGAAACTTGAAGGGAAAGAATCCTAAGCGTGCAAACACCGGCGAAGCTGAAAGTAAAGAGTCTACTCGTGCGAAGCGGGCTAAAGCCAACCGGGGGTACTTCTCATCTGCTCAAATTCCACTGTCCTTTCTCTTACATAAGATTTTTCAGTGACGACTTGGCGCTTAACCGTCTCAGGCTTTTCAAGCAGAGACTTGCCGACATTGACAATGCGTCCAAATGGTATTTTGATGATGCTAGTGTTGCTGTGGAGGACAGGCTTGCTGAATACGTCTATAATAATAATGAGAGCGAGACACCAGCGCACTCATTTGTTCTTGATACTGGCGACCCTGATGTTGAGAAATTGTTCACCCCTGAGGAATGGGTCAAGATTAAGGAGCAACTTCCACAGCCCTCAGATCCTGATACGGTTTTGAAAGATTATCTAGACTTCTTTCGGAACGTGAGTTCTCAATATATACTTAATTCCAATACCATTCACTTATTCTCGCATAATCATTTCGTAGAAAAAAACCGTAGATGAAATATACGACATTCTAGAACGTGGGGCTTACTTCACCGTCGCCGATGAGGGCTTAGATGGCCCCGCAAAGCGCCAGAAGTACATGAGCTTACAATGGGCACATCTCGTTTTACAATGGGTGTTTGTTCCCTGTATTCACTTCCTACGTGCCTCCAACTATTATACCTAACGCTTCTGAAGGATAAACGATTATAAGAGCGGCCACATCTCGCTCACTGACAATCGAGAAAAGTGGTACCAGGGCCACGTCTGGACTGCTCTTTTCGATCGAGCACTAGAAACCATCCCTGACCTCCGGATCATCAGGTAACTTGATCCTTCAGCACTCTTTTTATGCTTGTGCCTAAAGTTTCCACAAAGCGGCGAGTGTCCGACCGATGCTGCAGCTATTAGAAAGAACCCATCCAAAGCCCTGCCGGGAACCCGTAAGGCCCCCGGCCGTCTCCACGACGCTGTCATCAAATACACCCAGTTTGAACTGGGCGCGGTAGAAAATGGAAAGGAGTATACTATTCCAACCGCTACTAAGTGGACAGAGGATATAATGAAGCTGGTTAAAGTTAGCCGAGATATGATTGTTAGACTCTATTCCAGATTTGGAAAAGATACAAATAAGTTACCGGTACTCGGAATAGTAACGGGAGGTACGGTCTCCCAAGTTCCACCCTAATTGTACTGTTACTGATGGCGAGCACAGGGTTACACTTCAAGACCTATTTCACGGTATATGGTGGCGGCACTGTGTGTATCTTAGGCGCAAACCCGCGTAAATTCGAACTCCCTACAAAGATCCAGCATTTTGGGCCCTTTGCGGCAGCAATGATGCATGTGTGGGATGTTGTAGTCAGTGTTCCCTCATTACTCTATTTTAAAACCCAGCGCTGACTAGACTTCCTTAGACTATCATGCGCAAGTGCACAGACACCCTGACACAGCTTCAGAATTGCTTGGATGAAGGTCCCCCGTTGGAGCTTATGGGATCCATTGAAACCGATCCTCCAACGCCGAAGGACGATCAGAGTGTTGACCTAGAGGATGAGTAGCGGCACGCGCTGGTTGAAGCTTCATAACCTATTTTCTTTTCCCTCTCTTTTTTCTTCTCGAAAGGTCACGAGTGAGAGAAATGGCCTCGTGCTCCGTGGTACAATGCATGTCCCTACATCTATACCCAGCCTATAGCTTTGTATCTTCAGAAGATCTGATACTTTAATGCTCATCTTTAATGATTGTACTATAATAGTGTGTCTCTTGGTTTCAGTCATAATTTTCACGTATGCACTTCGATTATTGGCCTGTACAATATATCATGCAGGCATGATCATTGGCATATATCGCACATGAGAACCTAAAGTCTGAAGGGAGATTAAACAAAAATTTCTTTCATTTGTTGAAATAACTTGAGTGGAAGAGAACCTTATGCTCTAACTGAAAAATGGACTCTACACCTATATCCGATAACTTTGTAATAATATCCCATGTCAGCGTTGTAAACTACACAACCGACGCACATTTCCGTGTTTACCATTATTGCTCTTTACTAGATGATAGCGACTTTGTTCAATAAAAACTCTCCGTTAAAACCTACAAGCCTTCTGCGCCAAGCAGCGCAGCGGGCCCTTACACCTACCCCACCAACCCCACTACCCTAGCCCGCTAACACAAACCCTCCACTCCCCAAGTCTCTCAAGTCCCCCAAACGCCCACAATGACCTCTCCCCTCCCCCAATTCAAGCAGGACTTCCTACAGACCATCCTCTCAGCCAAAATTCTGACCTTTGGCTCCTTCACGCTCAAATCCGGCCGTGTCTCGCCCTACTTCTTCAACGCCGGCCTCTTCAACAATGCCTCTCTCCTCACCTCCCTCGCAAATGCCTACGCGCGCACGATAGACTCCCACCCAACGCTCAGCACGTCGTTCGATCTCCTCTTTGGGCCTGCATACAAGGGTATTCCGCTCGCGACCATCACAGCGACGCAACTGTTCTCGCTCAACAACGAGAAGTATGGCAGCACCGGGTACGCCTTCAACCGAAAGGAGAAGAAGGACCACGGCGAAGGCGGATCTATTGTTGGAATGGATATGCGCGGGAAGAAGGTTGTCATTGTGGATGATGTGATTACAGCGGGAACGGCGATCAGGGAGGCTGTGGAGATCATCAAGGCTGCCGGTGGGGAATTGGTCGGGATTGTGGTGGCGCTCGATAGGCAGGAGAGGAAGGTTGTGAAGGAAGGTGAGGTGGACACTGGGTTGAGTGCTATTCAGGAGGTCAAGAAAGAGCTGGGGGTTGAGGTCGTTGCCATTCTGGATCTTGCGGATTTGATTGCCGGGGTTGAGGGTGAAGAGAAGGTTAGAATGATGGACTATAGGAAGAAGTACGGTGCCGTTCAGGAGGTGTGACTACCGTATTATGTATGTCTCGTGGAGCCTTGTGGTTTTCAATATTTGGATGTTTGGCTTACTAGCTATAAATAGTAACGATTATTCTGGTGATTGGGGAATAGATAACCAGTTAGACTCGAGCAAGAACCCAAATGAAGTCCATTCTAACCCACCCCTTAAGCTACCGAAACACATCGAACCATTTTTATAGGGGTCAAAAGTGAGGTTTTTCCAAATTCTTATCATTCATTCTACCCTAGTCAATACCTCACCAACCACTCGTCTGAATTTACTGTGGCTTGTTGACTCCCGTAAAAAAAAAAAGGTCAGAAACAATGGCTTAAGGGATAAAATGAACAGCAAATCGTCACTGCTCCCCGTATTGTATTAAGGTATAAAGATGAAATTTGAAGTTTGTAGTGTGGGAGAAAATGACTTGAATGTGGTTTGAACACGTGACCTTGAGGGAGGATGTGTTTGTAGTGCGAAGAAGATACTATTGCGCTGCTGAAGTTCCAGCGACAATGTGGGCGTTTGAGCGCTCTATATATACAGATATTCTAATACCACGTGATCCCCTGATTACATAATCCCTGACACTAAGCCTTGTCTGAATCCCTGTTCCTTCTATGAGTCATCCCTTATACATGAGTAATTCCATACATAACCGATGTCGCAATGCCCTATTTCTACACTTCCCCTCACTTGCCATATCGTATCAATTCTGACAATTTTTGGTGAGCTGGTTTCGGTAGTCCTTTGGTCATTATGTCTGCAACATTGTCTTCGGTTGGGACATAGAGGAGTTTGAAGGTTTCGGCTTCGAGTTGTTCACGTGTGTAGTGATAGTGAACGTCGATGTGTTTGGACCGGTCGTGGATACGTGGGTTCCGACAGAGTTCGATGGACCCTGTGTTGTCGGCGTGGATGTTGTATTGGTATTGTTGTTGGAGTTCGCATAAGGCGTTGCGAATCCATACCAGTTGTCGAGCTGTTAGGGACAGAGCCATATATTCGGCTTCTGTTGTTGAGACTGCAACTGATTTCTGCTTCCGGCTTCTCCAGCTTATGGCTGATTTTCCTAGTCTAAACACGTATCCTGAGAACGATTTTCTGTCATCTAGGTCTGAAGCGTAGGAACTGTCTGAGAAACCATCGAGTGTTCTAGTGTTTCCTTTCGGGTAGAACAGGTTCCAGTCCTTGGTTCCGTTGAGGTATCGGAGAGTTCGTTTGGCTGCTCGTAGGTGGTCCTCAGTTGGGCATGAGGAGTACTGAGAGAGGGCGGTAACGGTATGGGTAATATCAGGTCTGGTTGCTATGCTAGCGTACATGAGTGATCCAATTATGGATTGATACTCAGTTGGTTTCTCGATTTGGTCTTCTGGTTTTCCTTTACGAAGACTCAGATTTGGTTCGAGTGGTGTCCCAACAGGTTTGCAGTTATTCATTCCAAATTTTTCTAGGATTTTGTTGATGTATGCTAGTTGTGACAGCGTGATACCGTTCTTTGTTACCGTTATTTCTATTCCCAGTAGGAATTTCGCATTACCGAGATCCGTACATTCGAAATCTGCCTTAAGTAGTTGTCTGATTTCGTTTCTGAATGGGGAGTCGGGTCCGAATATCATGATGTCGTCAACATACACCGATATGTATAGTTGGTGTTTCTTATGTATGAAGACACATGGGTCGAATTTGGCTGGGACAAATCCTTTCCGTTGAAGGGAGTCTGCTAGGCAAGCGTACCATTCACGGGGTGATTGTTTTAGTCCATATATGCATTTTCGAAGTTTACAAACCTTGTGGTCCTGCCTGTAGCCTTCAGGTAGTTCCATGTAGATTTCCTCCTTAAGTATACCATATAGGAAGGCTGACTTGACGTCCATTTGTTGTGGTATCCAACCGTTGTGTGCGGCTAGTGCAAGTAGGAGTCGTAGGGAATCGTATCGGGCAACGGGGGCGAAGGTTACATCATAGTCTTGATACTGTACTTGGGTGAAGCCTTCGGCGACGTATCTAGCTTTGTATCTTTCGATTGTTCCGTCCGCGTTGTGTTTTACCTTAAATACCCATTTTCCTCTGAGTACTGCTCGGTTGGTTGGTCTGTCGACAATGTCACAGGTGTGGGCCTTGTCGAGGGCGTCTTTTTCTGTCTGTATTGCCTTCTTCCATAGGTGTTGATCATCGCTTTTCATTGCTTGATTGAAGGTGGTAGGTTCAGTTACTAGGTGTACCCGATGTATGGTGGGATCCAGGTTGTCGTACTGGCTTTGGAGCTTTGCTTTGTCCTTTTTGTGGTCTAGACTGGCTGCTTCCATTGCTAGTTGCTTGGTTTGTTCGTCCATATCTTCATCGGCTAGTATCTCTGATACCTCCTTGTCATAGGTGGTTCCTAATTCCGATATTTTCTGTCGAATTTCCTTCCTTTTCCCTTCGATATCAACTGCTGCTTGTTTCTCCGTTCTTTCACGGATGCGATTCGATCTTCTTGTTGTGACAGGATGCGGGACTTCAGATTCTTTCTCCTTTTCGGTTGTTGGTTTCCAAGGTTTCGATTTCCTTGGTGGTTCCGGAGGAGGTGTTTCTGTGTTTTCCTGATTAGCTTCCTGTTTATTACTTTGTTCGAGGTGACGTCCAGGAGTGGGCCTCGTAAGCCCGGGCCCCCAGTCTACTTGCGTCTGTTTCAAGGTCTTCTTCGAGTGCTGACGATTCGGGTTCTTGATCAGGCCTCTCTTCTGATTCATATCCGTCGTCTGTTGGTGCAGGTGCCGCTTCTGGTTTCAGGATAGGGGTGTAGTCGAGTTCCACGGAGACTTCCCCTGATTCAGGAGGGGGGAATGTGACATCTCGACTTACAACTAACCTATTTTGTGATCCTATCCAGGTGCGGTAGTGTTTGGTACTGTCTGAGTATCCGACGATGATTCCTTCATGTGCTCGGGGTGCTAGTTTGCTTCCTGCTGGCCTAGAGTTTTCTGGGATGTGGACATAGCATTTCTTTCCGAATGGTTGAAGGTGTTGGATACTCGGCTTTGAACCTTTCAGGGCTTCGAAGGGGGTCTTTCCCTTTAGCGTACTGTGGGGTAGCCTATTTTTGAGGTAGACAGCTGTTGAGTATGCTTCACCCCATAACGATTTAGGATGGTCCATGATCATGCACCTGACCATTGTTGTTATCGTCCTGTTGAATCGTTCTGCAACTCCATTTGATTCAGGAGTGTATGGGGGAGTCTGTTCGTGGACTATTCCTTGTAGGTTGAAGTAATCCATTGTGTCCTTGTTGACGTATTCACCACCACCGTCCGTTCTAAATCTCAGTATTGTTGTATTGTACTGTTTCTCGATTTTCGTGACGTAGTCTTTGATGGCTTTTATCGCATCGTCTTTCTGTTTTAGCAGATATATCCAGGCGAAGCGGGTATAGTCGTCAATGAAGGACATATAGTACAGGGCTTTTCCTTGCGATTGTGTGCCGAATTTTCCAGATAGGTCAGAGTGGATTAGTTCGAATGCTCGCTGGGATCTTGTACTAATTGGTGCAGGTTTCTTGTGCACACTTTTTGATAGTGCGCATTGACTGCAATGGAATGTTTCTGGTTTGGGGGGTAGCTTATGGATGTCTTCGTACAAGTTTTCTAGTGTCGCAGGGTGGCCTAGTGCTTGATGCCATTCAGAGTAAGTGGTCAAGCGAACTGTATTGCTAACTACTTGTACATTCCAAAGTCCCTTATCCAATTTCGCCCAAATTATTCCTTTCTTTTCTTTCGTTACCAATTTGTTTCCTCCTCCTGACTCTGTTCTAAACCCCTTTTCGTCGAGTACGGTTTCTGAGACCAATCCCACATTTCCCATGGTTGGGACCAGCAGCACGTCGGTGAGGACAACGGTGGATCTATTTCCATTGGGAAGGTAGCATTCGAAACTAGCGCTTCCCAATCCGGTGACAGCGTGGATGGTGCCGTCGGCTGTTCGGACTGTGCTGGTGTGAGGGCGGATGTTGAAGAGTTGATCTTTGAACGGTGTTACGTGAGAAGTAGCTCCAGAATCAAGGATCCAGGTAAGGGGCAGAGAAGGTGAGGTGTCGGTGCGTACCATGCATACTGTTGTGGATGATTCGTTGATAACTACCGACGCTGAGTTATCTCTGCCTGGTCTCCTTCTGTTTGAATCCCTTGTCTTGTTCTGTTCTTTGAGCTTTCTACACTCCTTGTACTCGTGGCCCTGGTACGGGTTATTCCGTTTCTTACACCAGGTGCATTCCTTGCCGTTTGGTGTTGGGATACTCCTGGTATGAAGTACCCTGTTGTTGCCGGTGAGAGGGGTTTCCTCTTGTAGATTTTGTAGCCGTTGGCGTACATCTTCGTATGTAACATCCTGTTTGGTCTGGATGTTATCGACGACGTTGCTCATCGACTTCGGCAGTGAGGCAAGTAGGAATGCTGCCATTGCTTCGTTGGATTTGGTGAGGGGTAGCAGGGCCTGAGCGAGTTTGTGGTCGCCGCTCTGACACCTGGTCTTGAGAGTGTTCCAGTTCGTGTTGAAGGTCTCGAGATGCTCGGTTAAGTTTCCGTTGTCTTGCATCTTCGTGTCTAGAACACGGCTGAGGAGTGTGATCGTCGTGTTTGGTGATACGCGATCGTAGAGGTCTTTGAGCGCCTTCCATGCGTGGTATGCATTTTCGGCGGAGACGACTGTTGGTTGTATGTCTTCGGCTACAGCTCCGATGAGAAGGCTGTGCATTTGTTTTCGGGCCTTTTTGATTTCGGTCTTGGTGAGATCTGTGTCATCTTCTGTAGGGTTTTCGATGCTCAATGCTTCCCACCAGTCTGCTGCATCGAATGTAATCCTCCAAGCAGACGCCCAAGTTTGGTAGTTGGATTGTCCCTTTAATTTTGGGAGTCCATCAAACTTGATGCGAATGTTACTGGTGCTCGTGTTGTCTGAGGACTTAACCTCCACGGCTTTGGATGATTCTCCAGCGTCAGACATGATGTTGTATGAAGTGTAATTGAGTTAAGCGAGGTGGCGAGTGTTGTGCGGATTTTATTTGGCAAAACCCGGGCTCATAACCTGAAGTTTGTAGTGTGGGAGAAAATGACTTGAATGTGGTTTGAACACGTGACCTTGAGGGAGGATGTGTTTGTAGTGCGAAGAAGATACTATTGCGCCGCTGAAGTTCCAGCGACAATGTGGGTGTTTGAGCGCTCTATATATACAGATATTCTAATACCACGTGATCCCCTGATTACATAATCCCTGACACTAAGCCTTGTCTGAATCCCTGTTCCTTCTATGAGTCATCCCTTATACATGAGTAATTCCATACATAACCGATGTCGCAATGCCCTATTTCTACAAAATTGACTACCTTTATACCTCGAAACGGGAACTAAACTACCATTCAACTTTTGTGGACTTCCGCCCAGGTTCCATATGATCCGGAGGCAAAATCATCTGTCGAATTCCCGAAAATTTTATGAGTAGCGTAGTATACAAAATACCAGCAATAGAGATAGGATAAACCGCAGGAGAAGCATGATGATTGGTACATTATAGTATGGAACACCAGGGAATAAAAAGCTGCCCTCTCATCGAAGGTGCTTCGGATTAATACATGTGCGTGTAGAAGTTAATCTTCCAGGTATCCGCGAGATATGTGAGTACTACATATGTAAGTATCTATCTGAAGTAGAGTTCGGGGGCGTTTTCCTATGTCAGAAACATGTGAGAGGAGGCGGAGGAGAAGGGATAGTTCAGGGGTATTGCCATAACTGTAAAGTTGCATGCAATTAATGAATTAAACAAAAAAAAAAATATCTATCTGAAGTCAAAAGTCCGGGCGAAATAATTTAACCTAACCCTGAGCAACTGCGGCACATAACACGCACGAATCACATACCCTCACTCGCTTACGTCCTACATGTACGTCATATTCATCACTAATCAAACCCAGATTTTATATTCAAGGAGCCAGAACAGGTCCTTCGCTTCAACTCCCATTCCATCAGTGAATCATTTCATCTGCCAATCCTTCTCGGGTAATTGGAGTGGAGCGAGTTGACCTGTAAGGCTGACAATCAACTATATATATATCTCTAAATAGTTCAATACATATGCTCCTATTAATCTACTTTATGTCGGCCAACTTGAAGGAACCTAGAAAACTCTTTCGTTCCAACATCTGCACATGTAATTGTTCTATCCGACCCATAAAGTCGATAAAAACCATGGACTTGCCGCATTTACTTATGGTATAGTATGCAATAGTAGCCTGGTTTAAAAGGATCAGGACTTCACTTGCGGACTTGTATGCATGCAATAAAGAAAGAAAGGTAGAGTGGAGTAGTAGACTTAGCGTTTGTTTAAGTCGAAGCGCTAACCTAATGTAACAGCTTGACTATTCAAAATCGTAGAAGCACAGTAGATACCTGTTTCATTCTGATGGCGGAGGAGAGGAACAAATCATCTGCGAGTTTTGACTTGAAGCTTAAAAACGATGTCAGGGGGCTTGATAAATTGTGCCTCACACTTGCATTAACCGGCACTGTTCTAAATACCGTGAAGAGCCCAGCGGCAATTAGATAGCCCCTGCTTAACTAGTACCTATGTAGAGTACCCTCTGAATCTGCCTGCAGTGAGGCAGTTCCCGAGCGCCCATGATCACGAGCCCGAGCCTTCCCTTGCTAGTGGAGAGAAATTTATACTGGGGCCGGGGATCTTTTGTCTAATAAATTAATACTCTAGCTCTTTGAAATGTACCCTTGTGGACGATTCAAAAATCGAAGGGCTGAGGCGCATGAGAGTTCCCCCTCCCCCCCTGCAGTGCCCAGGTTGAATCAAGCATTTCAACCAAGCATTCATACTAGCTGCGCTGGAGTCTATCATATATAACTACTGCAGACTTACATCCATTCGACACCAGACATCTCAGCACCTGTTGCGCCACTTCAAAATCTAAAGGTCTTCAGTCCGCTCGAAGTACCTACATACTTAATACGCTTTCAAAAACGATTTTGGCCTAGCATTTCTAAACAGATTCCAAAGACATGGAAGATAAGGATCAGCAAAGTTTTCCGCTTATGCCACTAGCTGCCCAGAAAATACGCAGAAAAGAAGTGCCCGGAAGGTCATTAAAAGCAGGGGAGGAGGGCTTTAGCCACAGATTTCAGAGGTAGGACATGGTCTAGCTAATTTAGGAAATTCATTGGTACTTATGGAGTATAGTACTACTAGTAGCTTTAGTCGGAGACCCTCGAAATATGAATACAATTCTCTGCAGAGCCAGGAGCCTCTAGAAGACGACCCTGAGCAACGACCCACCCATTCACAGTCTAAGTTTGAAAGAACCCGCTTCCACCGACTATTGGTTGATCGCCTTGGTTTGTTCTCTGGAGGATGGCGAACCGGTTGTACCTGGTGCGCGATTTCCTCAACAGTGGTGTTTCTTGCGAACTCCATCCTCACAATTTGGGCGTCCAAAAAACCTACTGCGGAGCCTGGGATCGGAATTTTGTACGAAGGAAGCTGCGATACGACAAAGAACCTGAGCTTATTAGCTCATTTAATAATCAATGTTCTGTCAACACTTATGCTCAGCGCAAGCAATTATACCATGCAATGCTTAAGTGCTCCGACTCGGGCGGAGGTTGATAGAGCCCATGCAAAAAAGAAATGGCTGGATATAGGTGTCCCGAGTGTGAGAAACTTGGGAAAAATCAGCTTTACCAGGATTTGTTTGTGGTCGCTTCTGGCAATGAGTTCTGTACCGTTGCATTTCATGTGAGTCCAGTCTACGTGGATATAATCGATACAGGCGCCGGCAAACGCTGAATCTGATATTCGGGTCGTAGGTATAATTCGGCTATATTTTCCACAACTTCGACCTACAAATACAATCAGAGGGTAATGTCAGAAGGGAGGCTGACTCCCGATTATACTTCCTTTCCGTACGAAAGACTTAGTAATAGGGGCTGCATCCGAGAATACGGGAGGCAGTTTACAGATAATCGACGAGATCTTATACTTGTAGTCCCCGGGGATGGAGAGGAGCCTCTATATAATAGTCGTGGCATAAATTATGGTGTCAGGGAGCCATTCGCTTGGGTTTGCAATTCCTTCTACCATGACCCCTATGATTACCATCCATATGAGGACATTGATCCTCCTCCCTGCGATGTTAATAACTACATCAATCAAGCCGATTCATGGAAAATGAACGGTTCCACAGTTCAGTATTGTCTCAGCGAGCGGATGGATGAGAGATGCAGTCTACAGTTTAGCATGCACATCATGGTTGCGGTAATAATATGCAACGCTGTCAAATCGATCTGCATGTTTTATACGGTTTGTAAAAGCAAAGAAGACCCTCTTGTCACTGTCGGTGATGCAGTCTCATCATTTCTTAAGTCTCCAGACAAGACGACTGCAGGGATGTGCATTGTTTCCAAGAAGGATATCAAGAAAGGAATTTGGAAATATACCAGCGATGGAACCACTCACGGAAAGTGGAATATACAATTATGGAAGCCATGTAAACACTTCTGGCTTAGAGCAGCTAGTATTGGTCGATGGGCTATTTGCAATGCTCTGTAAGTTCTTAATTCGAAGTATTGGAATATTTTGATACTAGAGGCTGATTGATTCTCAGTGCCTTAACGGCTATCAGTGTTTCTGCTTGGCTCCTTTCGGTCGGTCTCCAGGCCCTTGGTGGTAATGGCACCCCGCGAGATCTTTCTTCGTTATGGAGCATGGGTCTCGGTGCTGTCGATGTTCAAACCTTGATGGGTCCAATCTTTGGGGGGGGGACGAAGGTGCCTACAAAGCTCTCATTTCTTGTGTCCTTACAGCGAACCTTCCTCAAGCAATTTTTTCATTTCTATACCTCCTATACAACTCTATTTTCACATGCATGCTACTAGGTGATGAATGGGACAGGTTCTCCACCAAACGGCGGACTCTCAGAGTGACTTCTCCAATTGGTGCGCAGAGAACAACTCACTTCCTCCAGTTACCATACAAATACAGTTTACCGCTCATGATAGCATCTGGTTCGATGCATTGGTTGATCTCGCAGGCCTTATTTCTTGCACGAATCAATAACCTTGATGCTGCGAACGGCCCCGGTCCTGGCTTCACATCGCAAGTTGGATGGTCCCCCATTGCCGTTGTGTTCGTTTTGATATTGGGGTCCCTTATGCTTCTCGTGGCTCTAGGAATTGGGTTCCGGAGGTATAACGGTCAAATCCCATTAGTGGGAAGCTGCAGTGCTGCCATCAGTGCTGCCTGTCATCCAAACCCAGACGAGACCTCAATATCGACCGAACCGTTACTCTGGGGGGTTGTGGGGAGGGATGGGGTAGTCGGGCATTGCTCGTTCAGCGGTCGGGATGTTTTAACGCCAGTTCCGTACCAGCATTATGCTGGTAATGCGTCGGCTAGAGATACGATACTGTAATTCACATGCAGATAAATGAAACCGGATTCGGGTCGGGAGTGGGGGTGGGGGTGGTGCTAGTGGGAATTTGCTGCTCGGAAGCTATAGGATGCACGAACAACACCTGGAAATACTTATAATCAATGACCTTCATGAATATTTTTCACCATCACATACAATAAAGTGATGACACGAAATGTCACTCGGCATCGCAAAGCGTCTGTACCACACGCTGGGCTCACACAGCGAAGACGATAACACCAATGAGCTGTACCTTCTACACGGCCCATGGCATCTCGTGATTGATTCCTTTTCCGTGAGTTTCTTTTTATATAAGACCACTATTCAACTACGCCACCAACTACTTTTATCGTATCTATTGCGCGTGTTGAAATCCAAACAGAACTCCATCCATGATACCCCTTTCCTGCCATCCAAAATCCAAATGTTGAATAAAAAACGCCTTGAATGCACCTAAAAACCAAACATGTTGAAGTTTGGCTCTACCTCACAACCCGTTTTTGCAACCCGGTGAAAATGAAGATACAATTGAAAACCTGCCAAACAAAAAACCAACTTCAATCTCTTCTCCCTCCCTTCTATCATCTTTAATTAAGTTTTGGGGGTTAGGGCTGTTTCCTAGGCGACTGCGGCAACAGTGGCAGCAGCCAACTTCTCAACGAGTTCATCATCGAGAGTGTTATCAAGGCCATCGACCGATAAGCCATCAAAAAGTCTATAAATCCTTGTAGACTCGTGAAAATCATTGTCCACTATATCAAGTCAGCATCCAGCTTACTAGGAAATATTTAGAAAATTAAACTGACCAATATTCAAAAGCCACCATGAGTCCATGATTCCTTGGATCAAGTGCCTACTCACACTGTTATTCTCATAACAGTGCGCCCAGTCCTCTCCAAGTCTGTATGCCTCATCCTTCCATGCTAAGAATGAAACTGTTTCTACAACAGTGGGTTGAATGATTTCCTTTCCTGGGAATACACCCCAAGTGACCGCATTCGGTCCCTCCATGCTGTTCGTCTTCAGTGAGCCAGTCTTGTCGACAGCGTGGTATGAAAGGTTTGAATCTCTTTCAATTCGTGTGATTAATTCTGCGAGAAGCTCAGGGGTTACCAGAAGCTCTAGATAAGATTTTTGGTAAACGTATCCATTCTTAGGGCCCCAGCCGTAGGTGGGGTGGGTTGACTTGACTCCGTTAACAGCAGGCTGGGAGTTGATAGTCAAGAATCCACGACTATTCAAGTCCACAAGCTCTTTAGAGATGGAATCAGCTTCTGAGTTAATCTTTCCTTCTGACCATGGCAGAGATGGGAGATCGCCAGAGATGTATCGAGCAATAAGTTTACCCACATCCCGTACTGTCTTGGGGTGTCCGTAAATCTTGATGTTCGAATCATTGCTACCGCGGAGGCCGATACCATACGCATCTAGCTCTCCAAAAGCGGGTGAACGGGAATCACCCCAACGACCGTTAGGGAACTCGTCCCACTCTTGAGTGCGCTGAACATACGAGTGGTGACGGTTCTTCCAAAAGATGGGCCGCACATTTTCTTTGTCGCGTCTGAGTCCAAGGGAGGGACGGAAAGGAAGAGCTTTAGTTCGCTCTTCCAGTGAGGGGATAAGCCCAAGGCTCTCGAGGCACATACGTGTCGCAGTGGCCAAATTCATGGTATAACTGTCATATGTCAATAACCGCAAAGCCGAGCCTTGATACGGGAGCCATACAAGTGCAAATGCAAAATTCCAGCGTCTATAATCTTCCTACACATTTCAACAACAAGATCTCTACCGATGTCACGAACCGCAACATCATCACTCTTGACAGGCTCCAAGAGCTCAGTCCATTTTTCGGGAATATGGCATTTTGTCCATGTAGCTCTTCTCATGAAAGCAGCGTATGTGTGAATTGGCATAATTCCCGGGATAATGGGTACTGTGATACCGACAGCCCTACATTTCTTAACCCAATCCAAAAAAATATCGACGTCGTAGAACATCTGCGTAATGATTGAGCTTGCGCCAGCGTCGACTTTCTCCTTCAAATGCTGGATGAGTAAGTCAACGTCTTCCTGGTCCTCACAGCCCTCCGGATAACCAGCAACATGGATGTCGAAGTGGTCACCGTAGTTTTGCTTAATGTATTTGACAAGATCCTTTGCGTAATGGAACCCGTGAGGATCCGCCTCCCACTTCTCATTCTCTCTCGGGGGATCGCCACGAAGGGCGAGAATATTTGTGCAGCCAGATTTGTAGGCTTCCTTAAGCGCATTATCGACTTTCGATCTAGGCATTCCGGTACAAGTAAGATGCATGCAGGTCTCAATTCCGTAGACGGATTGTGCCACATTGACCATTTCACAGGTCAAATTTGACAGACGACCGCCAGCGTTCCATGTGACATCGATGAATTGCGGTCCCAGGGCATTCATGCGGTCCATACCTATTTTCAATTATCAGCTATCAACTGACTGCAAAAACGAGAAACGCTCCAGTGTAAGCGTACGGTCATAAAGATTTTGAACACCCTAAGTTACTTTTTGTTAGCAAGAATTGACTCAGCATTCGATTATAGCGGGGTAACGCGAACCTGTGCAGTCTTGGGCACAAAGTATTCGAATGAGAACGTTGGTTTCCCATCCTTATGCTTTTCCTGAAGCTTCTTCCCAATATGAACCATCTTGACGTCTTAATTTGAATAAAGCTGGGGAAAGTGGCGAGCAGGATCTAAGGGTGTGGTTGAGTTGACTGGTTGGATGACACACGGGAAAAAAAAAAAAAAAAAAAAAAAAAAAAAAAAAAAAATCAAATGACAACGGTCGTAGTTCGATTGCTGGCACTTAAGGATTAGAGTCGTAAAAAGCTAGTGACAACCGCCTCATATAACTATGAAAGACCAGGGGAAGGGAAGTGGATTGATCAAACATAGAAAATACGAATAAATGGGAAAACCAAATGTAGGTACATACCCGCAGTAGTAAGCGTTGAGGATCACGAACAGCAAAGCGGGATAAAACGACAAGAGCAAAGGTCTAAGTCTGGCGGTTGACTATACTAGTATAGCGCTATTTAACAGTTTTTGGATATATAATATCTCTTTCACCTTCTTCTCAATGGCGCCGAAATATTTTTTTGAAATGTTTCCCTCCCCTTATGAGATCCCTTCACAGCACAAACCAGCTGGTTTCTTAGAGCTGTGCATGCACCGAGATGAGGACTGGCGAATTGCTGTGGAGTCGACAGTCGACAGTCCTTGCTTGTGATGAGCGAGGCGTTCGAACGAGTAGAAGAGTAAGAAGTTTTGAGGGCTAGAAGACTTACAGTCGACTATGAAAAAACACTGGATTAGAGGGGTTCTATGTGAGACTTCGACGTCTTTCTATGAATTCCCCGCTTACCGGAAAGGTAGATCTTGGACTTGGCAGGGATTTGATTTTTTTTCTCGCAACACGTTGCGATTGTTACCCCTGGGAGGAACTCACTATAATATGGGTTGTGCATCATAAAACGTGATGCACTCAAACTTTGTCGCGCTTCATCTTTTCAATCCAACACACAGCTCCAATTGATCAAGAGCAAGAGGTGTATTTTCTCTCTCTTTTTTTTGAAGCCGACATAACACGTTTCAGGGTTTTCTAATTGATTTAGAGCATCATCATTTAGGCTGTGGTCTCCCTGTTGAAGCGGTGGTTCGACCATTCGCAGGCCCCCACACCCACATATCCCCTCATGCTATGTATTTGCTCAAGAAAGTCACCAGCACCGGAACAAACTGGTATGCCCCGACCCTCAGTCTTTGGCGCAGAGGTTGGAATTCTTTGGAAAGGAACATAAATATAAAATGCATTATTATTATATAGTGTTGCAGCCGGCATAGCTATTTCAGTCCCTGGGTCCTCTTAGCTTTAAGCTTTTGTCATTAAGCATTAGTTCGCCGCTATTTGTAGTTTGAAGAGCATAACTCAACGTGTTGATTGCAGCACCTGCGATGGGTAAATGAACCCAACCAAATTTCCATGGTGGTGGTGGCACCGGAGTGATGCATCACGGAATTCCCGCAAGTAGCAAGGCTCTATATCAGATGAGAACGAAACCGGACCATGGATAGATGCAGCTATGTTTGGCCTGGGAGTTTGGAGCACCAATAAAACATTCGATTTGCAGTCTGTCTGTTAATTTCTCTGCTGCAGACAGAGATTTTAAACTTTACATGTAGTAATCTTGTGCTAGCTGTGGCTCAATCCGATGGATGTAAATCAATGAAAGAAACGTAGACTTGTAGATCAAAGGCAAACGAAGGGTTAAGAGTGATGGAATATTGTCACATACATGGGATATCACTCGAAATATGTATTATCAGATGTGATTATCGTTCAATCAAGGTTTAAGGTATGATCAGCCGATTTTTTTTCAATTTAACAGTTTGCCAAAAGTCCTCCCGTATCGTATAGCTTCAGACTCATAAATCAAACCCAGCAACTCCCCAGGCCCGCCCTCTCCCACATGTTCCTCGCCTTTCTCCTTCTCATTCTCCTATCCTCTAACTTCTGCTCATCCCTCATGAATTTGGCCAAATTGCGCTTCACATTCCGCTGTCTCCGCTCCAACTCCTTTTCCTCCGTTGGCGTCGGTGTCGAAGCTCGCAGCGACGCGAGGCTCAACAAACGGGCTGTGAGTACCTCGGTCATGCGGTTTGTCTACATACAAGCCTGTGGTTAGTATGGATATAAGCCGTAGGTGCAATTGGGCTGGTTGGCATATTTCATACCGGCACGCCTTGGGTGGGGTTGCTGTCCTCGGGGATTACAGGGAGCATTTTGTAGGATTTAGAGGGACGTTTTGCTCGCATTGCTGGCTAGCTGGTATGATATCCTTTTCTTTCTGAGTAGGGTAACTAACGGTCTGTATCTATGTAATTTTGGGCTTGGGCTGGGCATGGGAGTTATATAAATATACGAGACGCAAAAAGTACTCGTACTCGCGATCGACGGTTGACTGTGATGTTTCGAAGCAACGCAACGTGGGATACCAAGGACCACTCATTTTAAGTGTTTCCATTTTTTATAATAGCTTCTATGACCCCCGAAGGGGTCATCCCCTACGGGCAGATGTGTCATGGGATTGTGCCTTGTGAAATGGGAATTTCGGGTTCGTGGCAGATACATATGGTACTAATATTGAGATTAGTCCAGTCTAAACTTCGGTAGCACTATAAGCCCATAAATTATTGAGCCCTTCGGAGATGACCATCTATCCTGATTTAAAATATGCCTCGGTTATTCATAGCGAGTTAGTAGGCATTGATTAATACCATGTAGGGTATTCTATCTCAGTAGAGTAAGGCCTAGAGTAACTAAATATGGCCCCTTCTGTTGATGTGATAAGTATCACGGGAAATATTCCCAATAGTTGAAACTACACATAGATACATGTATATAACACACAAGTAACCGACCTAAGACCATCTCACAAAAGCCCCCAGAGCTCCGGATGCATACTCACCTAAATACTCCAGAGTACATATAGTCACTCTAAAGAACTCGGAAGTCTTGAATCATTGATAAGGACAGAATAAAGGTGAGACAGCTGAGGGGGTTATAGAATCACTTGGCTTCGTAGCTAAGCCTCTAACCTTATGAAGGAAGGTGGATGGAAGTGAGTGAGTGACAGTGAGTGGTGGCAGTGAGATGGACAGCTATTACCGAAAAATTATGGGGAGGAGTATTTTGGAAGAGTAGAAAGACAACCCCCAGAGAGACAGTGGGAGGAAGAGGGATGTGATGGAGAGAGAGAGAGATAAAGGAAACAAAGAAACACCAAGAGCTATCATCATTAACGTTAACATTCGCGACAAAAGCGTCCATCATGTCTTCCTCTTTGGGTTTGGGTGGTTGGTAACCGCTGGTCACTTGGTGTCCCCTTGAGCCTCCTTTTTGCCGCTTTTCGCTTTTCGTACATCCCCTGTCAACAACTGTCTCGATTCCCTCGCTCGCACAACGCTCCCTTAACCTTAACCCCCCTATGAGGTGAACAAGATACACACTGCCAGAACATACAGTAGATACCCCTACTGAGGATAGTGAAGTGAGAGAGAGTGTGTGAACGATTCCCACAAACACCCGGACTCCGATTGTCCACAATCCTCTCCCCCCTCCACACCCCACACCCCCCGCCCATCTTGACCCAACAATGCGTCTCGTATCTCTATCGCTGGGGCTTCTGGCCTTCGGACTATCTTCTCTGGTCTCCGCAGATCCGAATCCTCTTCCTCTACCACCACCAGTTCAAGCCGATACTCTATCGAAAACAACTTCGCCGGCGAGGGATGTGAAAGCGCCAGAGCTTCCCGAGCTTACCGGCACGAACTTTTACGACAAGATAGCAAAGGGCTACTGGTAAGCATCCTCCCCGATAGATTCCGAGGCAAAAATGGTGCGAGTCGAGACGGCCGATAAAGGGATTATCTAATGGAATATCAAGAGCGAGTTAATTCATCGACCGAGACTGACCTTGACCTACCCTAGGTTCGTAAAACATTATTCCCCTACATGCGGCCATTGCATTGCCATCGCGCCTACCTGGAAAACTCTCCATGAGTTCTATTCTACATCAACGCTCGACAGCACAGCTCTCCCACCTCCCGGTGCCGAGTTTAAATCTCAGTCTGCATCACCTTCATTCACCGAAAATTATGACTTCCATTTTGCCAACCTAAACTGCAATGCCTACGGAGATATTTGTGTGGACGAGAAACTAAATATTCATGGATACCCTACGTTTAATTTGTACAAGGACGGAAAACTTATTGACCAGTTCAAGAAGACTACCCGCGACCTATCGAGCCTGAGTGAGTTTGTGGAGACATACCTGGAAGAAATCAAACCTGGAAGTAGACCAAAAACCATCACCCTCCCGAAAGTTCCTGACGACTCGGAGGAGGAAACCCCCAAGAAAGAGGAGAAGGAGGGCGAGGTTGGCAAGACAGAGGCGCAGGAGACTGAAGCGGATGCTACGGCGGAAAAGGCGACCAAAGTCCAGTCTCCCCGTCCTTCACCACCAAAGCAGACTGCAAATCTTCTCGGAGAGAGCATGAACCTCGATGCCGAAGCGTTCCTACGTCTTGTCACCACCACCCGTGATCCTTGGTTCATCAAATTCTATGCGCCCTGGTGTGGGCACTGTCAAGCAATGGCACCCGCCTGGTCCGAGCTTGGCCGCGAAATGAAGGGGTCCCTGAACATCGGTGAAGTCAACTGCGAGGTCGAGAAGCGCCTCTGTAGGGATGTTAATCTCCGGGGATACCCAACCATCTTGTTCTTTCAGGGCGGCGAGCGCGTTGAATATGATGGCCTCCGTGGCCTCGGTGATCTTGTTGCATATGCGCGGAAAGCTGTCAATTCCGGGGTGAATGAGGTTGATCTTGTGGAATTTGAGGAGATGGAAAAGGCCGGTATGGAGGTTGCATTTATCTATTTCTATGACCAGGCCACCACCAGCGAAGACTTCGCAGCCTTGGAGAGGATCACTCTTCCCCTTATCGGACACGCCCCATTACTCAAGACCAGCAGCGATCTAATGGCAAAGCGGTTCCGCGTAACTACATGGCCCCGCCTCATCGTTGTCCGTGATGGAAAACCAAGCTACTATCTTGCGCTATCCCCTAAGGATATGCGCGATACGAACAAAGTCCTCGACTGGATGAAGTCTGTATGGCTTCCAATTGTTCCGGAACTCTCTGCTGCCAATTCTCACGAGATCATGCACGGTAAGACCGTCGTTCTCGGGATATTATCGCGTAACCGCCCCAATGACTTTGGAACCGCCAAGGCCGAGCTCAAGAAGGCTGCTATGGAGTTCATGGACCAGCGCCAGATGGAGGAGAAGAACGAGAAGCAGGAACTCCGAGACCGGAAGCAGCTGCGCATAGAAGAGGCCGAGGACCGCGATGACGAGCGAGCGCTGAGAGCGGCAAAGAATATGCGCATCAACGTAGAGAAGAAGAAGGAGGTGGGTTTTGCATGGGTAGATGGCGTCTTCTGGGAACGATGGGTGCGCAGTACCTACGGCGTTAATGTCAACGAAGTTGGAGAGAGAATCATCATTAATGATGAAGACGTGAGCATCCCCCCGTTATTATTTTAAACTATATCGTACTAACTCATCCAAACAGACCAAGAGGTACTGGGATATCACGCTCGATGGCGCGCCAATCCGTCCTTCTCGCTCAGCCATCCTCGATACGCTCAAGGCTGTCATCGCCGATCCCCCCAAGATCCAAAGCAAGTCTTCTACCAATCGCCTTTACAGCGTGTTCTACAGGCTGCGTGCTGGCTTCGGACGCCACCCTGTACTCAGCACCTTTGGTGGCATTGTTTTCATCGTTGTGGCAGCTGTGTATGGGAAGGGTTTGATGAGGAGACGAGGAGCTGGTGGGTTTTTCAAACTGGATGGAAAGGAGGGCTTGCTCGGTGGAAATACAGGGACCAAAGCCGACTAGGCGGTAGGTTATTGATAGAGATGACTAGGTTAATGGGGGAGAGGGTTAGGTATGCAGAGGAAAAAGGTGTATGGAGGAGCGGCTTCTATTACCGGTAATTAGTGGTGAGTTGATGTGTGGGAAATGGCAGGTTCTTTTGGTTTCCTTCTTCTATTTCGCTGTTGAAAATTGAGGGTCTTTGAAAAATCTTATCAGATGAATTGTTTGGTCTACTAGACTACAGTATTTTGTGAGGCAAACCCAACTATTTGTCTCACAAAATTTTCCGATACTTGTTATTATTATTTTTCTCCCTTTTCTTTTTTCTTTTGTCCAATTTCTTATGTTCTGCATGTATTTTCAAGTTGAAAAAAACGATCTGCTCTATCTAGAATTCTTATGAGATTTTATGTTTATGTTCTTTTTTCATTTCTCTTTTTTTTTTTTGGAATTTTCATCTCATTCTGGCTGTGATTTGGTTTTTTCTTTATCGGCGTGGAGTGAAATAGGAACGCGGTGGTGTATCGAAATCTGCTGTCCCATTTGATTTCCACAGCTTGGCAAGATTTGAATATATGGCTGGCGGGAATTCAAAAGTGCACTTATATCTCCCTTTGATGCTTGGCCGGCATTCATATAAGTAGGGCCACTAGACGAGGTCATTGCTTCTCCTACAGGTATTAAGATGCGACTAGTACAATTCAACTGGTGACACTTTATCATGAATTTAAACTAGAAGAAAAATTATTGGCTCATTTAAACCAAATAAACTGGGCAGATGGTATATGCAGTTTATTAGACTACCCAATTTCCACAAGCTAACAGACCATTACAACCACGCGTGTCTAGTTCTCGTAATCGGCTTTCTTGCTCTCGTAAAGTTCGATGTACTTCTTTTGGGCCTCCTCTGGGGAAAGTTCGTCGGCTGCCTTAGCCCAAGCATCGTACTTGTAGCGGCCCTATTTATTTGATAATTTAGTATGCTTACTATTTTCTCTTTCTTTTCCGGAGTCGAGAAGAATAAGGAGCTAGTCAACCTTCATGTCAAACAGTCCGGGGCGACCGTCAGTGGGCTTTCCGAACTTAGCAGTCTTAAAGTAGGCGTAGAACTGTAGAGAGTTTCAGGTTAGCTAGCAAACTCATTATCAGTCAGAGACGCGGGAGTACAGACAAGGAGAGCATCATCCTGGCTAGGCATCTTCTTGAAGCTGTTGACCGCGGTGACAGCGGCATCGAATTCGGCGGAAGTCATGATGATGGTTTGTGTAATGTGATTTTGAGGTGATGGAGGATGTAAGTGGTGGAGATGTCAGGATTGTAGGGGATGAGGATGAGGATGAGGATGAGGATGAAGAGGGGTTGCGGGTGGGGCAGTAAATACTAGCTTGGCGTTTTAAGTGTTAAGAGCTAAGGGTCAGAGCTTGACATATGCATGTCTGCTACTCTTAAACGTCCTTCACCTTGTTACTTTGCAACTATGTAACTACATAGAGTACATACAACACATCCTGATTTTTAAAGTGATCGAAACCTTCTAACACAGCCGGTACGAAGCCCGGAACATCTGTGCCCTCAAGCCAACACATTCCATCACATGGCTCGAGTGAAGCTAGGGTTTATCACATTAATAACGATACAGCCTATTCTACACCTTTTTCAGGAAAACCTTCAAGGTTGTGTAGAGTGAATCGAGTGATAGTATGTGAGGACAATATTATGCTATGTATTATTTCTCAGTAAACACGTAGAAAAAGCTCTTCATGTAGAACAGTAGATATTCATTTGTCTGAAGCGACTGAGCCCTACAGCATCTATACATATTCATTTTTGTCCATCTAAAATGCTTAACGCGTCTCCCAGAGCTCAACCCCCACGTACTACTGAGCATTCATAGTGAGATCCGTCGCAAACATGGCAAGAACATCGCCAAACCTTCGACCTCATTCAACAAAAAATCTCCCGGAGAGATTTCGAAATGGCTACACAACCATCGGGAAAGCGCCCCTTAGCCTCGGACACCCCCGAACCACAAGTCAAACGACAGCGGATGGATAACATAAATAATAACGGAGGTCTCACATCGCTTGATCGGGCTATATCACCTCCACCTCTCCGCCGAGAGCCTTCTTCAATGGCTTTGCAGGTTCCGGCAATCGATGAGACTAACGGTGATATCTTCGTGAGGGCATACCTTAAAGATAGACAAAATCAAACAATAAAGCACGTAGATACCATCGACCTTACTTGCGAAGAACAGGCGCCCCCCGATGGTTCTATTATAAACGCTCATGTTGATCACGAGCAGAAGCAAGAGGAAGAGAGATTGAAGCCAGAATCCCATGAAAAGAAAGTAAATAATGGATTTATGACTGGGCAGGGCCAAACAAAACGATTGGCATCTCCTTTTCAGTTGACATGGATTAGAGACCTCCCGGACTCCGATAATGTCGATGCTATTAGCATTCATGACATCCTAGGTGATGTTATGATTAAGGAGGCATGGATATTCAACTTTCTGATTGATGTCGATTGGGTGATGTAAGATTTCGCTATCTCTCTTGAAAATCTCATTTATAGAGATGGGTGATTGCCGGTTTGATATGTTAGGAGCTGCGTATGCCGATATACTGCTTTACAACTGGAATAGTAATAACAGATTTCTGATTATTATTTTAGCTAATGATTTCTTGCGTGTCTTAGGAATCAGTTTGACCCGGATATAAAAGATATCGTAGATGTCAAAATTGTTCATGGGAGCTGGCGGAAACAAGACGGTAATCGAATCAGGCTCGAGGTTTGTGGGTACGAATAGAGCCGTTAACTCATTCAACTAATAGCAATGCAGGAACAGGCTAGTAGATATCGTAATGCTAAAATTATCTCCGCCTATACGCCAGAGCCTTTTGGAACCCACCACACAAAGATGATCATTTTGTTCCGACATGACCAACTTGCACAGTGAGTGTTAAATATTTTATAATGGTCAAGAATTTTCGTGTGACTCACCGGTAATATCTTAAGGGTTATTATTCATACCTCAAATATGATTGAGTTTGACTGGACGAATATGACACAAGCAGTATGGCGCTCACCACTCCTGCCACTCATATCAATTCAAAACCCGTTAGATGTCTCAGTACCAAAACCAAGGCCGATTGGAGAGTCGTTCAAGAACGGCCTGCTGGCATACCTCAGAGCGTATGGTAAAAGTCGTGTTGGTAGTCTATACGACAAGCTGGGGAAATACTCATTTAATGAAGTTAGGGCTGTATTTGTTGCCAGTGTTCCTGGGAAGTATCAATTGAACGGCCGGGGAGCAGGGGAGCGGTGGGGATGGATGGGTCTGAAAAGAGCTCTGAGTAATATTCCATTGAGTAATAACCTCCATGACAAAGATGGCGACAAAGGGAGAATAGTATTGCAGGTATCCTCTATTGCGACATTAGGATCGATGGACACTTGGCTATCTCCAGTTCTTTACAAAGCTTTATCGGCGGCTAGAAACATCACGATGCCACCATCAGGTTCTATACTGGCGGAAAAACCTAAGCTCTCGATCATTTTCCCGACAGCCCAAGAGATCCGCAATTCCCTAAATGGTTATGCTTCCGGCCAAGCAATTCATATTAGAATTCAAACAAAGCCGCAGGAATCACAACTCAAATACCTGCGCCCTTTTTTGTGTCATTGGGATCCATCTTCGGACTCATCATTCGTGCAGTCACCCTCTCTCACAAATCAAACTAATAGTACTCACTCTGGACGTACTCGGGCTGCGCCACATATTAAATCATATATACGTTTCACCGATCAGACATGTAGGAGTGTTGAGTGGGCCATGTTGACATCGGCGAATCTCTCCACTCAAGCATGGGGCACTGCTCTGAAAAATCCGAGCGGTGGTTTTCTTGGACCAGGACAGGGCGAAGTCAAGATCAGTAGTTACGAGGTTGGCGTGCTTATTTACCCGGAGCTCTTTGAAGACAGCAATGAGGATAAAGTTGAGATTATCCCTGTGTTTAAGAAGGATACTCCAGATGTGAGCATAGATAATTCTAAGAGTGCCAAGGTTATGGGTTTGAGGATGCCTTATGATTTACCAATCAGGCCTTACGGAAAAGATGATGTACCGTGGTGTGGAAGTAAGAGTTATGCGGAATTAGATTGGAGAGGAAAAAGCTGGGAGATATAGTCTAGTAGTTTTGATGCTTTTTCTTTTTGCTATTAATTGGGACTTATCATCTTGTAGGAGTTACTTAGAGCCTCGAGTGCGGTTTATAGTTTAGTACACAGTGCATAAAATACATGTACTTATCATCACATTCACACTCATCATCCCGAACCAGATTGGGCTGGGGGAAAGAACATTTTTCTTGGAGAGGCTCTTTCAAGTTTACGAACACATGGTTGTAGCCTAGCCTTGATCTCCAGAAGTAGTCGAGTCAGATATTCTATGCATACTCTCTCGGCGAGTACCAGGTGTTGTTTGTTATTTCGATTCCCGGCGAGGTTGTAACGGAGCCACATGTGCCGGTAGTTGATCAAGTATAAAACACTGCACTCAGAATCATATCTGCACCACTCCATGGCCAGATTTGTACCAGGGTATATACGTCATGATACGATACCCTGGTTCTTGTAACCAACGGCGGCCATTCCGAACTTCGATTCGTTGCCGCCGTTCATCCGAAATACAGTATGCAGCGTACCTATGCGCATATCAACGCCTGAGGATAAGTGTCCTCGACATGTGTGGATTACTATCGAATTCGAGCGCTAGTTTTCGGTTCGGGCGGGCTTGTTATTCGGCGCTGATAAAGGTGTAGCTGAGCTAGAGTAGCTGGGCATACCTACAGTTACGCTCCACTACATAGAGTATGCTAGCTAGGTAAATATGCGTTTAGGCCTAAATATATAGAATCCTTTTAGGCAAGGGGCTGGGGCTGATTAGTAAACTGAAGAGGGTAGGTATTCGGAAGATAATGCAGGACGAACTAGAGATGCAGTAGAATATTCTCACAATCAGGTACCATGCATGTATTATCCAACCTGGCCCTTACATGAGGATTTGAGGTAGTCCAGATACAGAAAATTCAACGATCACTATATGTATGCGTGATTGGGTCACCTATGGACGGCCTAGTAAACTCAATAATCTCATATGGATTTTGAGCTTTACGCCCTTAATGGATATCTAGCCAGCTACATACACATCACATCACACCTATTCCTTTTTCCAGTTCTCTTCAACCCATTTTTGGGCAGCAGCCTTAACATAAGCCTCGTCATGCTCCTCAAACATATCGAAACCCCACTCAACAGGGTCGTTGTATCTCTGGTTCTTGTCCAATGCATTGAGTTTCGCGAATGCCTCGTCCGAAAGTTCGAATTCTTTGAAATGTCAGTATTACACTCACTCAAAAAAGTATTAAAATACGAAGCAGGAGAGGGACACGAACGTTGGAAGTTTGATTCGATACGTGATTTGGTCACACTCTTGGGGACAACACTGGTTCCTCTCTTCACGGCCCATGCAATAAGTACCTGAGCGGTATCTTTGCCAGTCTCCTTTGCAACCTGCTGTACGGCCTCGTCATCGATAACTCTGGCCTTTCCATAAATGTTGTTTCCGAGTGGGCTGTAGGCGGTGATGTGAATGCCCTTCGAATCCAAGAATTCCTTCAGCTTTGGCTGTTGGAGGAATGGGTGTGCTTCGATCTGGTTGACTGCGGGGACGACCTTGGCGGTCTTGAGGAGTTCAGTGAGGCGGCGGATGTTGAAGTTTGAGACTCCGATGGCCTTGACTTTGCCGGTGTCGAGGAGCTTCTCCATAGCTGCCCAGGTGTCTGCGATGGGGACATTGCCTAGTGCAAACTCTCCGGTTTCGGTGTGGGGGAACTGCTCGTCGCCGGATTTGAAGACAATCGGCCAGTGGATCTATAACAGATGATTAGTTTCATGGGTTTGAATATAGGCTACTTTTGGCTTACAAGGTAGAGGTCTAGATAGTCTGTTTGGAGCTCCTTCAATGTCTGGTCAAGAGCGCTTTCTACATCCTCTGGCGCGCGCTTGTGGTTCCATAGCTTGCTTGTCAAGAAGAACTCGGACCGGGGGACACCGGATTTCTTAATTCCTCGACCAACTTCCTCCTCGTTGTTGTAGATGGCAGCGGCATCACTAAGAGGCAACCATCAGAAACCATATATAAGATAGATAGAACTGCTGGTTCCTTACATATGACGGTACCCAGCCCTCAAAGCAATTTCAACAGCTTGCTCAACTTCATTTGGCTTTGAGAGCCAAGTTCCCAAACCAACCAAAGGGATCTTTGCTCCCGTGTTCAAGGTGGCAGTCTTTCCGAGCGACATGACTGTTTGTGTAAAAGTTCTGGTTCTTTGAAGTTGAAATAATGACCTTTGAGGCAGAGAGATCGAAGGACGTAGGATACGATAGAAAACTGACATCAACTCACTTCAATTGTATTCTAATATGTACTTTGAATCACTACGTGGGGTATTCAACGACGTTGATATAACCGCGGGCCATTTGTGACATTAGCCGCCTCGGTCTAAGTCATCCCCGAACGGTTGCCCATTGAAACAACGCCATTGCGGGGGCATCTGATCTTTTAACGGCGGGGCACAACCAAAAGAGGAGAGAGAAGAGATGTGGCCAGGATGAAGGACGGCTTTAAGCCGGGGATTTCTCACGATATGTCCTGGTGACGTTATCGCGGCTCAGTCTTCTCGGACGCTTGTGGCATAACAGCACCGAGGTGGCTTTCATCCGACATTTTTGAGGTAAATAAAGTTTTAGATATATCCGAAAATACGCCGGTCAATACTCAAAGCTGGTAGAGCTTCGGGTTTTCGATGGTATGCTCATCGTGGTACCTGTACGTGGCATTTTTGGAGACTATTATAACGGCTGGGCGCATTTAGTGTTTAGAGTATGTAGAGATACATTTAGAATGACTATCGTAGGATTATTGGTGAACAAACCTGAACAATCATATGAAGAATGCTGGCTTAATTAATCGATCAAAAGCGTCCGTAATTATTATACGTACCCAGATAGGTTTAGCTTGCCATAAACCGCACAAGACGTCGAAATAAAGCGTGCTCAATCAGGCTAGGCAACCACAGGTACATACTATATCTCAGCCTTCCAGAACGTTTGGTACATGTATGTTTCAGGTACCGGGAGCCTATTGCATACATTGCGAATACTGTGAGTTTCTATGCCCTGCTTGCCCGCTGCTCTGCTCGGGTTAATTGTGTTTTGCATCTAGCTATACATGTGTCTAATTCCGCATGCCCAGAACACTCTTGAAAGAAAATAAAAGAAAGCAGAGCTCTCAGTTAACTGAAGACCCCCACGGATATGCACAAGGTTCTAGGGCGATCCATCATCCAATCAGTGGCTTGGTTATTTCGGTTCTCGAGAGAGGGTAGAAGGTGTGGCTGATTTGTCGACTGCACCACAAATAATGGATAGTCCTAGCCTGTACATACCAATGATCTTCATCAAATTGCAAAGGATACTGCTAGCCGGCCATCGTCGATCAGCAGTGTAGTCAGAGTATGTATTTCATAATCAGAATCCAAATCTTCAAAAGAAGTGGCCTTCAGTAGAAATTATAAGCGAGGCAGGCGTAAGTGGTGGTGAAACTAGGGCAACTCGACGAAGAGCAAAATTAGATAATAAAGCACAATGATATGCTTCACAGGTTTTGAAATTCAGCCTTTATTATTGGTGCCACTTTGAGTCGAATCGGGTTCGTGTTATAAAGTGCTGGCCCTGTGCGCCTAGCTATTTCACAACACTCCACTGAACGGCTAAGTATAGATAGGGATAAGTAAGCATATAGATATCTATTCAGAGCAACAGGAGGGGAGATACGTGCATATTGTAGTTTATATTTGGGAAGGGAGATCCCGATCACGAAGGCCAACATTGGGTCTATTCATGTGGCTTTTAAGGCAGTCCATGTTTCTAAGCTCATGATGCATCATGTTCCTCTTGTACTCTTGTCTGCCGCCGTGCTGGGTTATCAGAATTTATATACATAGTTGGCATGAATCATGCAATTAAGAAACGTCGTAGATGTATCTATGGTAGGACAAATTTTTCAAGTCCTTACACAAACTATACGATCAGGGGAACGATTCATATCCAGGGGCGCTATATTCGCGCGCGTCCCTTCAACACAATCTCAAATAAAACTGCGCTTTTACGAATAGAGAAATCACTATATCTCAAGAGCACTCTACGTAAACGAGTTAGCCAAGATGCCTAGCTATCCGTGATCGATAAAATGATTAGGGAGCACAGCTAGTATTTAACCAAGATGAGCACATGAGAGTCAGATGGGTGTCATATAGTCACTATACCTGGGGCGTGACTTACGGACCTGACGCCGGCACTATATAACGAGCTAGTATAATTTATCATAAATGTGAGCTTATTTGCCCAAGTGTTTTTCTAGAACACCCGTCCGCGTAGCTAGTGTTGCAATGATTATCCGCGTAGTATCCTTATACCGTATCATGTTTGGGTGTGTACAATACGTACGCAGTACATGCCTGGGCCCAGTGACTTCCACAACGCAACGTGCGACAGAACCAAAAATTGTGTGGGTGCACATCATCACATCTAATATTTGGCGTCGAAACGTACCTAACTTAGCCAAGATCGAAGGAATGTCAATAGATTATGTATGTCCATACTCATAAATCATACCATGTTACTCCATTTCAAATCTGTTCCCCCGATAGTCAACGGCAAGGCTGACAGGAAAACCGGCGTATGAGCGTTCCGCTATGTGAGTCAACAAATATTCGCCGTGACACAGTGTTACACCGTTGCACAAAAGCATATTTGCGGTGTAATCTAAAAGCTGATGGGCTCTAACTTACGCCAACACTGTGAATCTGTGATGCACGTGCGACAAGGCTGATAGCTTGATGTTCAATAGCTAGTACGTATGTACCTACAAGCAACTTGGCATTTCAAATTCACCCAACGGCTTTGTCGTTGCCGATTTATCAAGACTTGTAACACTAAGCCTGAATGGGTCGGGTTCGAGACAAGCTCAAAAGTTTTCATTCGCATGGCATACGAGTGACAGGTTGTTCCAGTATCCTAGGAACTTACCTACTTCATTCGCCTTTCTAAAAGCTCGAAATCGCGGGTCGAGGGCGCCTCACTTTCTCTTTTTCTCAAATTGATAGAGAATCAATAAATGTATTACGTATATGTACAAGAAATAAGTGCCACATAAACAACAACATGTAGAGTGGCTAACAAAATTACATTAGGTCATATCATTCATTAGTTCGAGATCTCGTCTTCATCTGCATATTGAAACCTGGATCCCCCTCATGACTTTCCACATCATCATCATCTATATCCAAATCCGACGTCACCTGATCAATCATTGCATGTCAGTAAACTATCGCTGGCTTGGGATGAAAGGAGGTGTGGAATACCCAGTTAAAAAATACGGCCTCATAAATCTGCACTCCATCCCTAATGATTGGGTATCTCTTAACGTCCAAGACCCTCTTCGAGTACCTTGGATACAGATGCGCAAATCCCACCCAATACAGCACGCCAAACCCTATAAGAGCAAAAACTACTATTGGGTAGACATTGTATTTGATTTGGTCCAGTATCAACGTCTTGAACCTGCTTGGTGGTGGGAGCCACGCAACACATATCAAGAACGCATTTACAACTGCATATAAAAGTGCCCAAATCCATCCCCCAAGAGGCTTGAAACCGCTTTCCTGGCGCCATGTCGAATTCTTTTGAAAATAGAGGTAAAGCATTCCTATGGCTAGTAAGAAGCCGGCACAGACATGGAGGGCATATGAGTGGAGGAGAAGGAGGAAAAGATAAGCATCCGTGGTTCCGGGGGCGATAACGAGGATGAAAGAGAATATCCAATGGAGAAAGAGGGCCGCAACAGGGGTGTTCTCGGATTTGTAGTCATCAGAAGAGCGGAAGATCGCATTTCGAAACCAGCTGAAAGGGGTTTGCATGTCGCTGGCAATGAGACGGGAAAAGGGGAGGACACCTTCTTTGGCTATCTCTTGTTTGACTAGTAGAGTGTCAGCACAAATTTAAAAGATATTCACACATCCTCTCTACCCCACTAACCTCTGGAGCCAACAAAAGTTACTACAATGATATTGCCAAAGCTAGAGAAGGCAATGAACGAGGCTATCGCAGCATCAACATGTGCGGAATGCTTGCTACCGACAATCTATCACCGCGTTAGCCTCCCGCCTGCTCCCATCTCAAAGAATATTGTATACCGTCTTGAAGAATTCCAGCGCTAACTGAGTATTCTCGTTTAAGAATTCCTCTCTTGGTATAACCAGAAACTGTTGTTTGTCTATTAGAATCTCTTAAAACCTGAGTGAGCTGAGATTAAGCGATTCTCACATATATTATGTTGACGAGCATATACAGGAAGGTAACCAGGCCCAATGACAAAATTGAAGCTAACTTATAGGTACGTTTTGGTCTGTCTATCTCGCTAAGAATCTATTGCCTAGCATTAGCCATCGGAAACGAGCAAGGTTGGTTATCTACTCACATAATTCGCGTTCTCAAACCCGCCATAGGCAAATATAACCAACAAGAAGGACTGTGAAAACCCGTACATCTGCCATTGATGATCTTGCATGTCTCGATTTTGTGGGCACTTTGACATCGCCGTCGCATTCTCTGAACTGTTCACAAAGGAACAGTCAAGGTCTAGGTTATGAGTGTTTCGATTCCCTCCCTTCCCACTGTGTACAGCTCCTGCAATGATGAATACCACAAGTATTAGACACTTTATGGTCGCGAATAAATTATTCACGTATATACCGCCTGCTCTCCAAGATCCATGTAGCAGGCAAGCTCCCGTGATTGCTGCTATAGCGATCCCCTTGATCTGCCATTCGCAGTTATCGATTTCCTCCTCTGAGACGCCTCTGGCGCGGAGAGCATGCTGGCCGAAAGAGATTGCATTTCCTGAGGTGTTTCCCAGTACAATAAACAGAACACCATATACACAAGTGACTAAGTAACGGGGACGGCGGAAAACGTATTCAAGCTGGGAAGTGTTTAGTTGGATAGTAGAAGAATAAATAAATGCCTGGGAGATTTACGTAATTCTTCTCACCACCGGAACGTGGAACGGCTTTGGATTGCCCATCTTGTGTATACCGTGGGATGGAAAGACCGAATTCCATGTAGACCATGAGGCCGGCAAAACTAACAAACGCTCCAGCGGCCCATAGGAGGAGCGAGGCGCCAGGGCTTCCGGTGGCCTTGAATCAAGGTTAGCATGGAGTCATAGAGGACCCGATTCTACCCAGGGGCTTTCAGAAAACCAAAAACCTTCAAATTGTTGGCTAGGTTCTTGGAAGTTTATAATATCCCTTACCTTTAATATGGTAGCCGGTGTTGAAAAGATACCGGTCCCTGAATTCACAGTCAACATCATTCCCTCAAATTGTTATGTATGTACAAGTGACTTACCAATGATCCTATTGATAATCATACAACACGTCGAAAATAGCCCTAGCTTCTGGGCAATCGTAGTACTTGTGGTGACGGCATTAGGATCCTTCTCCGCTTCCTCCAAAATCTCTCTATCTTCTTGGTCAAGAGGTTCAAGCTCGAGCTCCCAGATGTGTCGTGACTGCGACATGGTGTGTCTTTGATTTTTGAACCGTACTTTGGGAGGGTTCTTACTCTATTAATTGGGGCGGGCCGGCACTAGTTGTACTCTACATTTGCCAGGAGTTGGTTTGATGTTGGGTTACACAATACTGGGTGTGACACATGCACAACAATCTTTCAGACATACACAGCCGCCTTGATAATTGTGGAGTAGAGTACCATGTATCTATCTATCGGGTGAGCGTCGTTTTCCCTCCCATCTATTATTGCCTCACGTTTTTTCCCGAATTGTGTGAGCCAAGCAGGATGGAGTCGATCGTTTTGGTAAAATGCTGTGCTTCTGTGTTTGGAGAGAGTGTTAACTGGCAAGTAGAGTAAACGTTCTCGCTTACAGAATTCAATCATACTCATTTCGCAAGGGCAATGCGGGATGGCTAATTCCGTCTTGTATATTTTCTTATTGTATCTCGAGCTCTAAGACTCGGTACACCCAATATTTATTTTCAGCCTCAAAAACAGGCACCTCAATAGTGGTTTTATATAATTTCTCTTTCTAGAACCTAGATGTTTGGGGAGGGGTGGGGAAGAAGAGGGGTGTGATTTTATTCCAGTCCGGAGTGATTAGACGAGAACCAACTGATTGCTTTTTCCTCCGGATATGTGTAGGTTACAGCCATACAAACATAGAGTACAAGTTCACTCAATGTAACACCCTCCTTGTAACGAATTCTTACTACCTACTTCCTTTTCTCCCAGGTCAATGTCACCAACTACATACCGGCACCAGATTTTGATATCTATCCATCAGTTATATCCGTAAAGGGATGAGGCGAAGCCCCTGGTAGTCGCTTTGCTATCTTGAAGCATATATGTACAGGGCTCTATCATACATCCATTCCCTTTATCTCTTGCGCATTTGCACACATACATGCGCCAGACTGTTCACAGACCGAGTACATTGGCTACATACGTACAAAGTGACACAATACGCCCCCGCGAAACCTCTCTAATTCTCATTACTTAACTCCCCGCCATCGGCAATCACTAAAGGAAGGAAGTAGGGAAGCAAGTAAGGGAGGATCGGAGGAAGGTCTGCCCTGCTAGCTCTGGCATTTTCCCGAAGAATTAATCCATCCTGGCCAACATCATGTCTTTCGGCTTTGGTGATTTTATAGCTGGCGTAAACCTCTGCGACAGTATCATCAAAGCCTGCGGCGAAATTAATAATGCTTCCAGCTCTCACAAAGATTTCGCAGCGTCCGCCCGTGCTCTCCGTGATGGTTTGAACAGTCTTATGAGCGCCATACGAGATCGCAATACAACAGCTAAAACCGAATCTTTCCGGCACCGGAACGATGAAACGACATGGCAATCGTTGCGAGAAATTACGCTGGATTTCAGAGCGACGTTAGAGACGATTCAGGCACGTTTGAGACAGTATCCGGTTGGGGAGAGGGCAGGCTTAGAAAGGCGGATGAGCTATTGGTTTAATGCGAAAGGCGAGGTACAGGAGCTTTTAGAGAGATGCAGGTATCATGTTACGATCATTAATTTTGTGCTAGAACCCTTCAAAATGTAGGCATTTATATTCCTAGCTTCGTTGTTAAAGTGATGTTGACTTTGGGGAGCAGAAAGGTTATGACAGATATCCGGGAAAGCATCCAAAACCTCACAGGCGAGGTGCTGGATGTTAAGAAGGAAGTTTTGAAGGTTGGAACCCGCATGGAAGAGGGTTTCGATGATATGAGGGAGTTATTGCAACGATTCAACTGCCAACCTGGGCCGTCAATGCCAGTAGAGCCACTTGAAAGACGCCCACGCGCGGTACCACCGCCGCCGCCGCCGCCGCCGCCAGCCCTCGAGATTACTACGGACAGTTTGGACATTAGGTTCAAAAATCAAATGAGAGACGATGGAGAGGATACTGTGTCCGAGTTGACGGATGTGACGGTGGGCGAACTGACGAAAAGTGCTGTGATATGGCTCGAGAAGGTAGGTATTGTTCCGGTAGCAAGAGGTGATAAAGAACAATTAGTGACTTCGATTTAGGGAAGACATACTGTTGATGACGCTACCGATATGGCGAAACTGACGCCGACTCAGTACTTGTGGCTAAGAAAAGCGAAGTGGATTGTGACATCCTTCAATGGGCATCCAGAGCTACAGAAATTAGCTTTAACGGACAAAGATTCACTGCTACATAAGCTTTGTCGAAAATTGGAGAACGTATGACCGAATCCATTTTTACCAATAAACTATGAATATACTGACTTTCAAATTAGGAGATTAAAGAGGTCTTTAATGATATGAAAATAAAGGGACTACAGATCCCTAGCATGGACTCAATTCACTCGCTTGATCCACACGAGTTCTCACCTTTGGTAGAACCTCTAGTTGAGCCTGATACCACCATGGAAGGTTATGGCGAAGACCTTATACTTAATATGTGTGTCTCCCTCGCCGGCATATATTTAACCATTTATTAACGACATGCTAGACAACTCTCGGGAGCTCATTACCAGACACAACCCATCACATTTTTAGTGTTCCGACAAGGAGGTGGTAGTCTGAGGTGTGTAGAGAGAGTACGTAGTACTAGTCGTAGAGGAAATGTAGTGAAGGATATAATCAAAGGTAATATTTCAATTTGCCTGCCAGTGGGTGGGGATCCGGTACTTATGCTAACTTATTATTAGAGTACATAATAGATAAGAACATATGGCATATGCGGCCACTTTACATGTTTCACCCTCAAGAGGGATGTTGGAACATAATTCTATACCAGCCCTTAGAGGCGAAGTCTTTCACCTTCAGTAATCACAAAGGTAATTTCTTCCGCCAAGGTTGCAAAAGATACAAATATTTACTGAAATGAGTATGAAAGACCTCTTTGCATTCCAGCACGCGTTTCTAGACGCCAACGCCAGATTCATCAGCTCCCATTTCAAGGGCATCAGATACCAAGAACCCGCGTTAACGCGAAGCTCCCGCGAATTTACCTCAGGTCTCATACAACTCTGGCTCGAAAAGCCACGCCCTCGTCTTGACCCAGAAGGGAATACACCTTCAACAGAAGCTTCACTCTCTCCAACAACTACACAGACTCAATCGATGTCCTCGTGGTCTGCGGCACCAAGTGTTGCATTATCAACCACCACCACCACCCACCGACAGCAAGATGGAACAACGGTGTTTGAGGTCAAAAAGGTGGAAAGTTCGAGATTTTTTGCATGTCTCAATGATACCAGTTCCAGCGATAAGCGGCGCGTATTTATAACATTTGTCCTCGATGATACTATTAGCTTCTCCAACACAAGCTGTTGCAGTAAAAACCTACATCCTGGTGGGGGCGGAAAATCTAAAAGACTTCCGGAGTTAGAAAGCGATGTCTGCTGCAAGAAACTCGTTATCGAGACAGTGATCAAAGGTGGTGACTTTTCTGCAAAAGTTCTAGAAGCTAAGGGTGAGGGGATGGTTGATGATATGAGTATCGCACTGGGTGAGGAGCACCTGCCAAAAGGGAAGAAGATTAAATTGTCTTATTTTAATATAATCTTCGAGTCTAAGGGTGGTAAGTTTTATGCAAATTAGATATCAGATAGCCTCTTGGTGTGAGCTAACACTATTCCATTTTAGAAAAACTACGGTTCATGAATCAATATCATGAATTAGAAAAATTACGGATCACACGGGAACGGATCACCAGAGCCTTGATGACTGATATGAAGGAACGTGAGAGACATGGAGATCAGTTAAGAATGGATGGTAAGCTATTCATATATGTCTAACGCAAGAATGAGAGACGGTTACTAACATCTAGGCCGTGCCATAAAGAACTACCGAAATCACCGAGGCGTAGTTCGACTTTTTCGGCATTCTCATTCAAGAGCGCGCGGAGGGGGAGTAATTTATCGTGATTCCAAACCTCCATATGTCGGCATAGCTACGACCTATATAGTTCTTTTTTTGGGGGGGATCAAGGATTTTGGAGATATTTTATCATACGGTATCACTCGTTTTAGTTTTTCTTTTGGGGTGGATTTTTTTGTTATTGGTCATAAGTTTCTGTGCGGAGTCGGCGTATTGAGAGGGGTGAGTTATTGGGAGGTAATGGTTTAATCAAATGAATTAACTAGAGGTGGTTTAGAATAAGAATGTTCACTGAAGAAGTATGAGCGGTAGTGTCATGGTTAATAGTTGGAGGTAGGAACGAGGCGATAGCTGGACGGGTCCGTCCTGCATTAGTTCTTATATAAGTCATGTATATATTTATCAAGGCTGGATTAGGATTGAGTATGTAGTTTCGACCATAGATCCTTGATTCATTTCATATTTTACTACACAAATATTAAATCATTGATCCGAAGGTTTCAAGTTTCGGCTAATGTTAGTCCAATGAGACCTTCCTCACCCTAGTAGAGACATCCTTTAGACATCTTGGAATTCTTATAGGCATCCAGATGGAAGTTTCTGATCTTTATATATGTACCGGGGGTTAAGGGTAAGTACTGAGAACCCCTTTTGGGCTGTGAGGGCCAGCGGGGGCCTACTATTGGCTGATGCAAATAAAAATGACACTTGGCGGCCAAGAGGGTATTTGAATTGTGTGTGCTAGTTTTTGCAACGCAACCTCCATCCCCTCTTTTCCACCGATGCTTTTTTCCACGAAAACATGTTTGAAGGCCCAGAATTGCGATTAAGGTGATGGTCAGAGAAAGGGCTATCATTTTGTTAATTTTTTGTAATTTTAGTGAAGATATATGAAGTGTCTTCGTACTTTTTCCCCCCATACAATGTAAGCAACCAAGGCCCAAACTGATTGGTTGGCTTTGGTTGCTATGGGCGGTTTCTATACAAAATCAACCATCCTTGATCAAGGCCTCTCGGTATTTAACGTGTACACCCCGGTACAGCTCCGTTTTATACTAAGCCACGTAAGCATGTCATAGAGATCGGTACTTCGCTATTTGCCGGATCATCTTACAAGGTTTTATTTATCTTTCCTTTTGGATATGGGGGTTATGTGCTTTGGGCTGGTTTACAGTGTGTGAAGCAGTGGATCGTTGTACAATCGGCAGTATCGCAGGATGTAAAGTATTCCAGGACTAGAACTAATCATGCTATATACAAATTTGTAGTTTCATGGTTCAGCTCGCCTTTTTAAAGGGTAAGAATAGAGGGAGTTATGGAGTTAAGGGTTCTAGTTCTGAGCTAGGCGCGTGGGGTTATTTTAATAACTTTCCACCACTACTCCACTAATTATAAAGCATAAATAGTAGGATATAATAATAGGCAGTTCGATATAACCACACTCATTATTGCAGAGCCTCCATCATATTTCAGATAACGCCGAGTCTTTCGTATAGCTATGTTATTATATATATTATAGTACCATTATATAGTATAAGAGGTGAGGAAGTGAAAATAAGTTATGAATCAATAATAAACCAACGCCAACCAAAGCATTACGCGAGAACAGGAGGCTACCTTGTCTAGGGTTGATTCTCATTGAATTAACTTCTCGTAGCGGTAATATTGTCCTCAATTCTCTTGACCCCCGTGAAGGTTTCCTTGCCCCACAAAACCCAATACGCAATTGCATACACAAATATAATCGCCATAACCACAGAAACATAATCTACCAGCAAATTCGTCAGAGCATACTCCAAAGAAGGGAGAAGGATACGTACTCATATTCCCACCTGTGACAGGCATCACAAACGGAAAGTTATAAAATACGAGCGTAAATAACGCCCATCCAACCAGTATCCCGTTCGCTAACCACCCCCATCTTCCAAGCCGAAATGGACCGGGATTTGAAAGCTTTCGGTTCTGTAGCATCAGAAGTACGACCGGTATTGAGTAGGATACGTACTGCATCAATATACAGCCGGTGACGAGGGATCCAAAAGCGCTGGTGGAGATGAGATATAGAAATCCGAGGACGGCTATCCAAAATGTAGAGAATATGTGTGCCCAGAGGGGGACATTGTATGGGGCAGGAGCGACACGAGAAAGGTAGGAGGAGAAGGGGAAGCCGTTGTCGCGCGAAAAACTCCACATCTGTACATTCGAGTTAGAAACGAGGTGGGCTGACTTCCGAGAATATAATAGGTAGGTAGTTATTTACCAAACGGCATTGCCATGTGTGGATGCTCATTAAGCATCCGATACCAGTTAGTAGAACGAGAACCTCTAATACAATCGTTCCAGCTATACTTCCCCTCAAAGCCTGCCTGAAGAGCTCTAAATTGGGCACAAAGGTCGGGGTTGCAATGACAGCGTCAAGGTCCTGTATCGAAAATAAAATCGCAATACTATACACCCAGCTGGTCACAAACCCAATTGCTACTGTACCCAGTATTGCTTTCGGCACATTTCTATCGGGCTTGGGAAGCTCCTCGGCCATATGTGTACAGGCGTCCAAACAAGAGAAACCCCAGTTTACCCCCAATAAACCAGTGAAGAAGCAGATCGCGTTAGAATCCCATCCGGAGAAATTGCTGAATCCACGGAAAACAGAATCGACGGATGCCTTTTGTGGAGAGGCTATGAGGATACTTAGGGTAATTACGAAGAAGGAGAAGAGTGATATATAGAAGCTCGCCTTGCTGAGATTAGGGAGTATCCGAGAATAGCAATTGAGGAAGAAAACGAGCATATTGACCATTTGATAGCCGATGACAGCCATCCAGGGATGGTAGGTTATCTCGAAGGCGGTAAGTGTTTGTTTACAGTGGAAAAGGGGAGCGTATTTGTGTATATATAGATACCTCTGGTCTACAAAGAATTATTATGCCGACTACGCCTTGTCCAACTACCAGCGATACTGATGCACCGGTGATCATTGCGCCAGCCCAGGAGACAACACCTGTGAAGTATGACTTGGAGAGTCTCAGTATAAAATATCTTTAAATCCGATAGATACGTACCAAAAATCGTTTGTAACTTCTGGGCGCTAACATGATTACCCAATAGTACTGTCCACCTATTAAGTATTCGTGATCAATAGCTGAATTGAGTAATAGAAAAAGTAAGTGGATTAGGCGAAATACCAGCGTTAGGATAGGCACTAGCTAGCTCTCCAAGACTCGCCCCAATAGCAACATGAACCAGCGCAACAAGGATCGTCCCATAGATGTATATCGCTGCTCCACCATTCATAATACCGGTTACAAGAGCTCCGGTAACAGCCCACCAGCTGTTAGAGATCTAAGAGATGCCGCAAAAAAATCCGTCAGACAAATAAATTGGTATAGTAGCGAGAGAGTGTGTACCTACGCTAAACCCAACAGACAATATCGAGAGTAATGAGAATTTGCGACCTAACTCAGAGCTATATCCCATCTCACTTAGGCGGACGTCATCTTGATCCGCTGTGGAGGTGTAGCCTGCTTCCGTAGATTTTGCAGTAGGCAAGCCTGTAGTGTTAATATTGGAAGACATGTCGGCGGTGGGCAGAGGTATCGCTGGACCTAGAGCAATCTGCGTGTGGGTTCAAGAAGGTGGAGCTTGTTATTATAGAGCGCGCTATAATGGTGGAGAATGTCAGCTTTTAAAGCCCCTTCATTCTTAGGAAAGCTATCCTTTGACAAGACCGTTAACCCCCTTGCCCTTGGGTGGTACAAAAGAATAGGCATGATTATATACCTCAAGACCCTTCCGTTTTTAGAGTTTGTTTGAGCGAGTGATGAACTTTGTCGGATTAGTCTCGCCCTATTGCATGAGAACTGAGGTAACAAGGTCAGCTCCATAACTCTCGAGATCTTGCTATAGTGCTTCAGGAGCTTCCAAAGTTGAGGGAAGAGCCTACTTAGAGTGTATCCTAGTCAGATTTAGACCTATGAGATGTTGCAGGGCCGCGTAAGTGTACTGTAGTTGAACAAGCTCGAGAAGAAAGTAGGTAAGTACATGTATCTCTGGATGTTAATTATTCGAGGGTGCAGTCCCAATCGTACTAGGTAGGGCCTTCAGATCTGATCCATAGATTAAACCGCATTCAGCCCGGGTGATGAAAGGCGCGCGAGAACGAGGGAGAAGAAGGTTCCCCCATAAAGGGATGAAGCAAACACTTGTGGGAAGAAAGATCACTCAAAATTCCCGGGGCTGTCTTGTCCCGTAACATTTTCCGACCCGTCGAGTTGAGGCAGATCCTGGTTATTGTAGACATGTGTATTCTATCCGATGGTCCGCCATTGCAACAGTGATTATCTATGAATCTCTACAAGCACGGACATGAACTTGACACGTGACTGAGTCTTGTGTCGTTGTCTTATCGCAACCCGCCTCGTTACCGGGAGTGTGGTCGAAATTCCCCAATGGTAATTACCAGTACAGTCGTCCACAGGGTGAGGACGAACACTGGGTGTAGACGAACAAGGATTTTTGGACAAATAGAAAGATCACTTGGGCAGCTTGGCTGTTTCTTGCCATATTGAGAACCCTGGTTCGTCTTCACCCAGTGTTCGTCCTCACCCTGTGGACGACTGTATTGTGATGTTGAGAGTGAGACTTTTGTAGACCCATGATCCATGGATAGGTACACATAAATAGACGGCTGTAAAGTGTATGTATGTGATATATGACATGATCGCTGACAACCTATGCCTTGGGATATCTACCACTGGCTTTGTTAAGATTAATTGACTAATAATTGTGCGCAATTATTTGCGAGATGTGGCTTTCATTATACAGTACCTACTCTAATACATACATGTATATATATGTTCAAGGATTAGGTATCGATATATCTCATGGAGAAATAGGGGCGAGGCGCTGTAGCTGGCGTTATGATAGAATACCACCACACATGCAATCATGAATTCAACCTATCAAAAACATGCATTTCATCAAATACTTGTATATATGTGTAACTTGCATTAGAGACTTTCAGTGCATCCTGAAGTTGGAGAAACTTATGCGGCCAATAGTCTGCCAGAAAGACATAAGACAATGTCTTGGGGAGTGAGTCTGAAGATAAAAAGTTGGATGTGCCAAAAGACTAGGTACATGTAGATACATGTATTCGTGTAACATGGACCCTGGCCGGAATTTCCCATGCGCAACGTTATATTAACCTCTATATCTAGATGTAGTTAGAAAGGCGAGATTAAGCATTAAGAGAATTTTAGGCCCCGCAAAAAGATCTATAGTGAATAATAGGTATATGAGCGCAATTCAGCGGTTTACAATGCCTTTCTTAACACGCGTATGTAGTTTCCGAATTCCTGGCATTTGTAAACTGGACCGTTATACATACCATATTACCAGATATCAATCCCTTTGTTTAGCGATTTGGGCATCTCATAATTGCTTTGTGAGGGTCTCACAGACGAACCTTCGGTTATTCGTTGCCCCCACGGTCCGTGCAATGCCGATCTATTAACAAATAAGTAAATATAGTGGATTGTCAAAAATAACCTCGCAACCAAGCAAATGGCCTACAACAACCAAATTTTGAAAGTACCACCCTTGGCCCCGTATTAAAATTCTAGATAATATAACTATAAAGAATCACAGAACTTCAATCTCTTGTCCTATTCCTCTTATGGTTCTGGTGTAAAGTGACGTTGAAGTTGCATTCCCATACAGATTTTAGTTGCAACGCAAATTTCCGGTTATTTTTAACAACCCGCAATACCGCCAAAATTCGAAAAATTGGCTATCTCCGGCCAGGGATTATCGCTCGAGTGGTTGGTTGAATGGCATCGATCTGCATCAGAAGTTTCCCACACAAGTAATTTTGATCTCTGGAAGCTAGCCAATTTTTCGAGTTATGGCGGTATATTGATTACCCCCATTCGAACTTCAGCTTAATAGGGATAGCGTAGAGAGTTTGTGGCTAGCTCACTACCAGATGAAACAAGCTCAACTTCTCCGAGTATTTATAATTTGCAATTGTCTATCACCAGAAAGTCTCAACGCGTAAAGTATATTGTTACCATACTGGAAACTTCTAGTATACAATGTAATAAGAGTGATTTCGTTCTTGTTGGGTGGTGCGCCAAGGTAAATAGTTCACGATCATTGGAATTTTTTGCCATGCAGATGCTGTTAATTCCTCCGCACCGAGCCAGTGGTGTGTATGAAATGGTCCAATTGGAGTCGCTTAATTAATTGCTCGTTTTTCGTATTGTAGAATTGTTATGAAGTAACATGGTATGACCGAGGCCCTGGTATTCAATCAATGCAGATGTATATGATATTGTGAAGGCCTATGTATCAGCTGAGTTCACTAACCAGTTGCAAAACGTTTTTCGCCCCAGAATTTCTCACTCTCTCTTCCAAAACTACATGAGAGCCTCATTTCCCCTACATAAGCATACGCATATATACATATACGTCCAGAATAATCTCTCTAGGTATAGGAATAAAACTATTTCGATTTCTAGGAGCAAAAAACATACATGATAAAGATGATGGTGGTTCTGCTACATGAAGAATACCTGACACAAGTATATTTCTTAGGTGGTGTTATGTGACATTGTATCTGGCCTCATGATCCATTGTCCAGAAGGTCGATCGAGATGTCTCTATAGATCTAGATCTACAAGTAGTGGGAACATTAAGTTAAGGTTACAAGACGTTGACCCGAATCCCGGTAAGAGCGATAGGACTTATCTCGAGATCCCTGTTGGAACGACGATTAGGGGGCAAAATTCGATTTGTATACTCAACACAGATCAGCGATCAAATTACTAGCACTGGCAGATTTTTGTTTCCTATATCTTAGAAGTCAGGACTAGAATCAGTTAAAGAGTAAGAAAGATGTTTTGAAAGTCATTTCTGTCCCTAATCCCGAGTCCACAATTGGGATCGAGAAATATGGGTGAGAGGAAAACAAATCTAGATATAGCTAGAGTCTATAAGCCAGCTGGCCAGTCGGGCCTATTCCGTCGCTAGATGTAAGGGGTAGTTGGGGTTTTACTAGGATTAATTTCCGAGTGATATTGTATGATTCCTGAGATATTTTTTTTTTTTTGTTTAATTCATTAATTGATTCCTGGGATCTCTTTGGCATCGGTGCCAAATTTATCACGGACTACCTGTATCTTTATTTGGTAGGACCGATCTAAATAAGCTCCGTTGGGATTTCGGAGCGAGCTCCGCGGATGCGGGACGACAAATAAGGTTCTTGGGAAACGACACTCATACCGCCTTCGGGCCGAACATACTTTATTACACTGCAGAACCTTTTCTCTTGGTAGCAGGGGTAGCGTACACCTGTATGGACAGATTTATTTGATGGTGCATTCTACCCCCTTGGAAAGGCTGGAATGAGCGGGATTGAGCATGTTTATCTACCTGGTTCGCTGGCTTGGCGACATTGCAAAGAGATAATACCTCGAACTTCATTATCAAGAAGCCCATATCTCGAGGATTTATCATAGTGAAAAGGCAATTATTTATGTGGGCTGACTCTGGATGTGTTATATTCTTTTGAGAAATCCTCGTAATAATATATCTGGCCACTAGGTTGGTCATTTAGTTGATCATGCAATTTGTCATGTGCGGTTAGAAGGACCAAATTGAGCATGTTTCCGATGAGTTGATTATGTATCCCGTAAGTACAAACCCGCTCACAAAATCACGAGGGAGTTAATAATTTCTCTGCCCCGCTCATAGAAAGAAAAAAACCAATCTGTTCTAAACTCTATGAAAGCTGTTCTTCGTCCTGTCTCTGGTCCAGTTTGTCTTCACTAAAGACACGCACCTACTATCAGGACACGATTCATCAAGATGGAGAAACTAGCAGTAATCAAACGAGAGCATGCTCATGCCACATCCGTACCAACAAATGGATACTGGGAAGGTCCAAGAGCAAAACCATACGGAAATATGGGGATGGGTATTTGCGAAGGGAAAGACAATTGTGACTATTGGGATCATTATTACCAACAGCACAACAGCCATATCTTGGGAATGTGAGTAGCCTGGCAGAGTGATCAAATGACAGCTAGTTGAAAGAGAAGCTTATGGAAGATGTTAGGTTTATCACCTGGGGTTTCATTGCATCAATCGTTGTTGTGGCAGGTGTAATCAATATTTCAGGCCGTCATCGCAAGAAACTATCTCAGAAAGATGAAGAAGGAAAGAAAACTGCTTCCGGTGGACGAAGTATCCACGGCGTACTTTCTGCATTCTTCAGAAAGTATTTACTCCCCCAATCACTGTGGGGGCTCTTCTCACATGTTACTCGTTTTCAAGCAATGATGGTGGTACTCCTAACACTGTATTGTACCCTCTTCACCTTTATCGGGATTTCCTATGAGGTGTGGGTGAACCCTACTAAACCTCCCGGCCGACGAATCGGATTCCTCGAGTTTAGCGGAGATCGTACGGGATGTCTTGCTTTTGCGTTTGTACCACTTGTTTTTATCCTATCTTCGAGAGACAACATCTTTTCGTTGATCACAGGGGTGTCATACCAGCACTTCAACTTCCTACATCGGTGGATTGGGAGGTTCATTTTCATCATGACTTGGGTACACACGGTCCTGTGGTCAATCGAGCTGGGCATTATGTACCAACCACAGCCGACCAAGTATAAGACAACCTGGGCGAAGCGGTACTGGAAGTACGGAGTTGGAGCTACTGCGTTGTTGACATTCTTGTTTTTGCATTCGTTTAGAACGGTGCAAAAGTGGACGGGATATGAGTTCTTCAGGAAGAGCCATGAGGTTGTGGCGGTTTTGTTCCTGGGAGCTTGTTGGGGCCATTGGCCAGATATGAAAGAATGTGAGTATCTCTTATTATCATAGGCTTAGGAGTATTATACTAACAATCTATTGTGATGAAGGGATTATTGCCGGTATCGCCATCGTGTTCTTTGATAGATGTGTTAGATACGTTCGAATGTTTTTAATTCACATGAACTGGACATCTGGCACAAGCGGCGGTTTGTAAACACCCAGAAAAGTACATATACTATAGAGAGTTTTCTGACAGATACGCAGCATTTGGTCTACATGCATTTGATGGAACTATCTCCCGCCACCACGATACTGATGGAATCGACGTTCTCGTCCTCCGTGTAAAAAGCAACATCACTTGGAAAGCGGGCCAACATTTTTTCCTCACTTTTCCCACCCTTAGCTTTCTCGAATCCCACCCATTCACTACATCCAATACCCCCACACCAGGTGCAAAGACCCAAGACCAACTCTACATCATCCGTGTGCTCAAGGGCCAAACTAAACGTCTTGCGGATCTCTGCATCGAGCCAGATACAGAGTACCCTCTGCCGACGATTGTCTGTGGTCCTTATGGCACATCGGTCATTGATCAAAGTGCATCAAACTATCAACTCATTGCAGGAGGGACCGGAGCATCATTTACTCTGCCCCTAGCCCAGACAATCATTGCCTCTACATCTGCATCGGATGAGAAGCGTATCATTGACTTTGTCTGGATTCTGCGCCGTGCCGAGAACTTGAGGTGGCTCCAGAATGAGCTCCTAGAGCTTCGAAGGCAAGCTACAGAGACCCCTGGTGTTGATCTCCATATTCGAGTATTTGTCACTCGCGACGGGGAAGTCCCCTCCGCATCCTCCACTTCACCTGCTCCCTCAACCCCCACTGCTTCCAAAGAGGTCTGTGATCCAAAGGATAAAGAGACATTGGGAGTAAATATATCAACGGAGGCTAAAACACCAGAGCATGATGTTACAAGTTGGCTACAGGACCACCACCCCAGCTGTAAGGACATTGTCATGGCCTTCCGTGACGAGTGTGTGGGCAAGATCCAGGTGCTGGCCTCAGGACCGGCAGGACTTGGAAGAGATCTTGGAGAAGCTGTTGCGGGATGCAATGATAGTTGTAAGGTCTGGGGGGGAGATGAAGGAGGTGAGGTAGGGCTATACTGGGATAGTAGGTAGTTCTAGGAGTTGATTGACAATTCATTCATGAGTTCTTGGAGTTGGTTTCTGTAGCTTGCAGTTATTTTCTGCTTTTTCTTGTGTAGTTTTTCTTTCCATGTGGATATTTTCTGCAGATTGCACATAACTTTTCAATACTTTTTTTTGTTTTTGTTTAATTCATACTTTTCAATACTTGCTCTAGAGCTCTAGAGGGGCTAAAATAAATGAACGTATTCAAATGCGGGTTGCAGCTGCGGTGCGAGTGATATCCAATGATCGTGCCTCGGTGCATCGGTGTCTGGTAGCTGTTCGCGGTAACCGTAAATGGAAGTCTCCGACCAATCATTGCCCACTGGTGAGCATTTCTTTCTAGCTGCCTTGCTGTCTGCCACGAATACTAATCTAGAAGCTATCAGTCAGTTGCTGTTGCACACGAAATGGAGGACGCGAGTCAGACCTCTACAATCGGAACTCATTGCAATACCTTCATCATGAGGCTCATCCCGACAGAGTATACTTCCATTCTTAGAGGCTGAGAGGATATAGTACTCTAGCTTCCGTGTGTGGCTACATACATACATGTAGTTTGGGCTTGTAAGGCTTTGCCCGTATTCTGATACTTTAACCAAGTCCTAGCTAGGTTCTACAATTCTGCACATGCATAAGGGGCGGGCCCGTACTCCCCATAGTCCTTGGGCGAATAATGATACATTTCGAATAAGCCCGGTTTGTCTTTTTTCTTTTTTTTTTTAAGCGAAAATGATGGCCCAATCAATGCTGCCCCAATAGGTGTCCCTCCCGTTACATACACTTTTCTGCGGCTGATATTTGGGGTTAGGGTTTAATTGGAGGTGGGTATAATGTTCGGAAGATGAGGCATAGACAGCTTATAGCCCTAATATGAACGTTTGGCAATTTCTAGTTTGTGAAGTGAATCCTCGGGGGTCTTTCATGTAAGTTTCAAAGTCTGAGTACGGGCCGGAGTTCGGGTAGGAAGACTTTTGATATTTCAAACGCCTCGAGTTTTCGTTTCCGCGGGATTTGCGGTATACCTGTATTCGAAGCCAGCTCTCGAATATGTACATAGAAAAGCACCATGAACCTTTCAGATGTTTTTACAGCCGCTCAGTAGGTACTGCTGCTGGTAAAATATACTCCGGCGGTGAAAACCAGCCTTAAAACCTCATGATATGCTTATGATACTTCGTCAAAGGTTTACTATGTAGTCAATATGATCAATTCCGGGCCCGGGACTCTCTGTACACTGAAATCTTTATTTGCTTCTGTTTTGATCTTAGGCTCTGAGTGTGGGGGGGGGGGGGGGGTTAGGGTTCCCAACTGCCGGTCTCCAATCAACTGCTTGGGTGCCAACCTTTCACATTTTGCCACTAATGGGATAGATCGACCCCACGGATCAAACAAGGAAATGGAGAGGTTAGATTAACTGTAGACCAAAATCTCTAGATTCACCCAGTCCCAAATGTGTGGGCCCTCTGTGTCTAGGCCTAGCTAGGCACAGTCAAAGAAGAGTAACCCAGAATATTCTACTTAGATACAGTGCTTCAATTGGTAAGATACATGTCAACGAGGGAGGCAACACTAGCACCAAAACCCAAGCAATCATGGTTGAATATCTCTAGGCAGGTTTCATGACATGGTCAACTTAAAACATGGCTTTTGGCATAAGGCCCAATGCTGTGGTTTTGTTGGCTTTTGAGCTGTCGGTACGTACCCGGCCGTACTCTGATGGATACTTTGAGATTCATCGTCGAGTAGGAGGCTTTCTACGGACGATCGAGCGGGAATCGGTTTGAGTTCCTGCCATATATGCCATATATTACTTATAAGGCTTTGTCAATACTGCCGGCCGAGAGATATCGTATTTGACTCCAATAACCCCCATAAAAACATAATATAATATATCCATATATGAATATTCACATTGAGATTGAGAAATATCTTGAGTAAAGAGTTGCTAGATATAGAGTGATTGGCTTAAGCTACCAATCACGAATTCAATTTTGGCTATGGCTACTTGTCTACCGTCACGCATTCTAGTCAAACGATTGTAATTTCTAAGTGAGGGTTTAGCAATAAAATTCTCTTGCATGCATGCAATGGGGTTATGGGCATGCGCAGCTTTCTAGGGCTGGGCACCTGTCGGAGATCTAATCCAATAACCTCCAAAGAGTGACGTTTCAGAGTGAAACCCTACAAAACCTATCGGGGAGCTCCCATGCAGTGTTAAGCTGTGAAGACAGTCCTCATTAACCTCAGTTACTTAAAAGTAACTAGGTACCTCGCTCTCGGCCGTCGATCTGTGTGCATGTGGGGGAAGACTAATTCAGAAAGTTAACTACCTATGTATGTGCGGCAATACGCAGTTGATTCCAGTCGCATGAGGTCGCAAGTGATACCCTTGCAATCGGGACTCATTATTCTCCGTGGTGAGCTTGATGAAAAACTCGGTTCTTGATGCTGCACATAGCTGCTCATCGTTCAATCTTTGATGTTCTGTTGAGATCGATATACCTAGGTCAGTAGTCTAGCACTAGACTCATAAAACCTTCTCTGTATTGGCCTGGGATTATTCCAAGCCAACCGCGGGGAATCCAAACACAAGATGAACTTTCCACGGTTCGTTCGTGGCATTTGCCAGTTAAACGTTCTGCCTACATGTAGGCTTGCATATTCTCGAAAGAGGTGTTACGTATTATTCTATTTAGAACCAAGATAGGGAGCCCCGTCCGCCCAGTCGCCAGGTATTTGCAACGGAATCTTTATGTTTTCAGCCCTCAGAACGTCTGAATATGTTGCACTTTCCCCCTGCCAAATCATCCTGCTCCTGAGGGTTAGGGTTAGGTTCCATATGTTTCCACCTTGGCACCGCTACTAGTACCGTAGGGGCATATCTAACCTCAAAAGCAGGATTTCCCAATCTATTACCCCATATGCCCGGTTCGGGACTCGAATAGTTGATAATTAAGCTGTAAATGGAATCTCCCCCGAAAGCCTCAGTGAAGCATCATTGATTGGTGAAAACCATCGTATGTAGTTGATTACTTATGTCAGTACCTTGTTTTCTACATAGATCTGTTAGCTAGTATGAGAAGACTATCGACGATTCAATTCTTGCCCAGGAAGACTAATCCAGGAAACCGTACCACATAGGTACTCCTTCCCCACGTTGAGCAAAGTACTCTGCCGCTGCATAGAATGGAGGACGCGAGTAACACCTCAGCAATCAGTTCGATCTTTGAGCTTGAATAAAAGACTTTCCTGTCTTTTGATGTTTGACCGGTTCGGCCGGCGATACTTCCAGTTCTAGGGGGTTGGCAGCCTGATTCATGAATCGTCACTCTTGCAGCAAATTATAAGCTTCCTTCGCTTAAACCGCCAGCCCGGTTGGTACTTTATTAGAGTAGGCGGTTCTTAGAAGGTCGGATAATGCAGATGAGACAAAGTACATACATGTATGCATGCAGAGAGGTTGATTGGTGGGGTACATACATACACATATGCATTCGCATCGCCTCTCGATTTGAAGGTATGTATGTACTTCTTGGAGTAGGTACTCTAGGTACTCTACACACATGCCTCGTGTTGGAATGAAGCCGCCCAAACAAAAAAGACAATTGCAAAATAGCACTAATAGGCTACCAGAATGATCGTCACCCACCACAGTTTTCTTCGGCGCCCGTGCGAGTAGGTACATACGTATGTACATAGGTCGATGGGTGACGTTCAAAGAGTACTTAATGCTTTGTGTTAAGCCAAGCCTATCAACATCAGCGGATTTTCCACCTCGTATTCGTCCGTACAGTAGAGGCTCGCAGTACGTACGTACGTACGTATTTTGATGAAGAAAACAGCTGGCAGGGTACAAGAATCGTGTTTATCGTCAACAGAGGTTGGGCTTAATACCTACCTAGCCCAGTCTGCCTCTCGTTTCTCAGCCGTAGAGCGTGCGTACGTACTGGCTCCTCTCGTCCGCACTAATCGTCATCGGAAAAGCAAATAACGCTTGAAAGGCTGGGCATTGGGCCTATCACTCAACTGCCTTGAGGTGCGTTTTGCGTGTCTTGTTCAGAAGTGCAATATTTTTTTCTTTTCTTTTCTAATGGTGGGCAATTGTGCCTACTCCAGAGTATGTAGATCGTCTGCATTAGAATCGGGAGGTGAGTATCGTAGGTATCTATCATTTATCATTAGCACCCCACCTTGGAGAAATAGATAAATAGCTCCATTCCTCCCCCCACAAAATCAAAGCTAAATCACCATCAGATATCACAACATCACAACACGCTAGCACTTTCAAACAACAATTGAAATCACCAACATGAGATACTCCACACTCATCTCTGCTGTTACAGCACTCTCGCTCTTTGGTCTCACCACCGCCCAAGAGGATTGCGATACTTACCCCAATGCAGAGGCATATGTGGGTGACCTCCCCGAATGCACGGTTATATGCTGGGAGTGGCTTGTGTCTTACTATGAGACCAGCAGTGCTTGCGGGTAATCTTTGGTTCCCTTATATCGCCCTAAACACTCCCATAATATGCTGACCTAGTTTGATACTCTAGTGACACAGTGGACTTAGAGTGCCTATGCGCTACCCCAGAGCCTGATGTCACCAATTCTACCGTGATGGGAGAGTACGAAGCCTCGTACGAATGCATGAAGAATAGCTGTGTGGAAACGGATATCACCCAGTTCGCTGTTGCTGTTTCGAGATTTGCAAACACTTGTGCACAGATGAAGGCTAACGGTGGGAAATTCTGATCTACTCCATCCACATTCTGAATCGTTGTTCTGATATTTCTTTTCTTACAGTTACCGAAGAGGCGGCCTCTTCTGCTTCTGGGGATGCTACAGCTGAGCAGGCTATTGATGCTACTGATGCACCTGCTGCCACTGATGAACCTGCTGCCACGGATGCTCCTGCTGCCACGGATGCTCCTGCTGCTACTGATGCTCCTGCTGCCACTGATGCACCCGCTGCCACTGATGCACCTACCGCTACCGACTCTCCCGCTGCTATCGATTCACCTGTCTTTACTGATGGTGCCTCTGGCTTCGTTACCTCCCCTGTACCCACGGGCACGGCCGTCGACGTCAATGCCTCCGGAACCCCAGCTGATGCCGCAGTCGTGGCCCAGCAAACAGTGAATGCTGCTGGCAAGAGTGGAATCTCCAACTGGGAGATGACCGTTGGGCTACCCCTTGTGGCCGGGTTGATGGTTATGCAGTTCTTGTAGAGCGGGTATAATGATGCGATGATATGTCTGATGATTATGCGGGGGGTTCATATTCCCTATATTTCTTTCCTTTTCCCCCGGGGTTTCGGTGTTTACATTCCTTTTTTCTTTTTATTTTGTAGTTAGTGATTGAATTGTATCGTGTCGAATTGAATATATGCAATTCCTCAGTCAAGATATTACAGTCCATCTGGAAAATTCCTTCCGCAGCCAACCGGCACATCCCGCGGTAAAGATGCATATAACTCCGAATGTACTCGTATTTCTCTGACGTTTGTGGACGCGACTGATATTGCATGCCATACAAAAATACGCCAAGCTCATGGTTTTGGGTGTATGCAATAATGGCCCAGTTCAAAAACGTCAGCGAAATACTAGTAGTACATCAAGATGTGCAGAAAGCGTACGTACGGTATGGGCCGCCCGGACTATTGATTTCATGCAGTCTCAACTGGAGTACATACTTCCTCAATGGTAACGGTAGGGGATTTTATTACGCCATGGGTCTCGATCCAAGTATTGACACCAAAAGCTGTAGACGTGATCAATTGAAATGGGGAGGCTTAATAGGAAAAGTGTATGTACTCTATGTACGAACATTTCCCGATGCCCCGATCAGCTGAGTCGTACCCAATTGCACTTCCTCGTGGTTGTCACTACTAGATATAATTAGAACAGATGATCGTCCAAATGCAGGTGACATGTCAACTTATAGCACTGCCCTGGAAGTGTCCATTGGATGAATGCATGTGCGGGAACCAAGGCTGGGATGGCTGTTCGAGCCAGCGTACGGTGCCAAGGGCAACCCTAACCCTACACGGCAGAGAATGCATGGAAAGTGCCACCCGTAGGATTTCTGTTTTGTGTTTGTGGGGCCTCAAGTGTTTAGATCTTGCCTTTGAGTACCTGGTCGGATTGAGGCCTGGGTTCGTTGTGTAAGGCTTGGGCATTGAGCTCTCTAAGTGGCTTTGATAATCTAACCCTTTGAGAAGTGACACAAGTAAACTCTTGCTGGGGACTGGACCTATGCATATTGGGCTGAGTTATTTGGTGTTTTTTTTTTTTTTTTTTTAGGTGAGTTATTTGGTGTCTACCGTCGGATAATATATCGTTATAATGTTATAATACAACCATAAGGCTCGACGGGACCAAATGAACGCGCGAGTAGGCTCAATCCATAAGTCCATTGCCATGATTTAGATATTTATGCACGTACATAGCTGGTTGGATTGACTTCGCGAATTCGGTCTATTGGAGTAGCCTGCACTAGACACATATATAATCAGTTTTCGCGTTGGTGGCCAAACGAGAAGAGAAGAGTGCAGAGTTCCATCGAAAGCCTTCGAACTCCTGCAGATTCAGAATCAGAAAAAAAGTGCACGCTCAGCCCTGAACATGTGATTACTGACTTGAGACTAACCTGTAGCACGGACGGGTCTTCCCACCAAGGGGAGGAAATGGTGGGGAGGTACATACATAAGCTTGATGTGTAGAGCAGAGGTATTTAGGTTACTTGGTAAGGAATTAATTCGAATTCGAAGAATTCATGGACTCACTCGAGGGGCGGGTGCATATTGGAAAGAGGGGTACCGGGGGAAATCAATTCTTCTTCAGGTTGTATACCCGACCAGTTCAGAATTCTGCGATTCCAGTCGTCTTTGTACCCAGATGTTACATTGCAATTGCTGTTGTTGAATAAGGAAGCATTATGTGTTACCATGTCAGGTGAATAATTGTATGTGTTCCGACTGCGCTAGTTGCCGATGACGTACACCTGCATACACCTATGCAATTGAATTGTACTACTCGAGTTTAATAAATTTTCTTAGACTATGAATTCAGTTCTGACGAAAATTGAAAGATGCTACTTGGAGATCCGTATAGATTCTTCGGGCTTCCATGGTGTGAATGTAACTATTGTTCTTGGTCACCTTCATATTCGGTCCTTTTAGAATGATATACTACTTGTGTATAATAATAACCTTAGGTAGTCGTAAAAATCCAAGCAGTTATGTTCTGGCAGCTAATTGTATTCGTATACAAACTCGTACAAAACACAACCATAAGGCGCCTACGTACATGCATACTAATACGGAAAAAGAAAGCGGAGATTAAAAGGAATTGAGCATGTGTATATAATAAAAGGTGGAAATATCTAGTAAACTCAAACCCAGGTCGGCCTGTATTCCCTCTCAACCTTCTTCTGACTAACATTAACCAGCGAACCCAAGTAAGGTCCCAAGAGGTTTGGAGAACCCTCCTTCTCGTCATAGACCCTATGGGCCGAACCCGAGCGCTGCTCACCCCCAAGATCGATATTCTCAAACATCCCACCGTCCTCCTCACCCTCCAGCAGCATCCCATCCCTCAGCAGCATCTCCTCCTCCATCTTCATCCCCCTGTGTAACGCCCTCACCTCCATAATCCTCTCCTTCATATCCTGCACACTCCTCTCACCCACCATCTGACTCGGCAGTCTCACACACTTACACACCCTCGACCTCATCTCCGTGCTCTTCAAACTCCACTGCCCCTCCGTCGCCCACACAAGCACATGCATCACCATCACGTCCACCGCCCACGCCAGATTCGTCACCGATGCCGTCTCCCTCCCTCCCTTCCCGATGAAGCAGGCGCAGCTGACGAACGGGATGATGGCGCTGAGGAGCGCGGCCGTGCCCGCGGCGGGCGAGCCCGGGTGGTTGCGGATGTTGCGCGAGAAGAGTGGCGAGGAGCAGAGGAAGGAGGTGGCGAAGGTGGTGACGGTGCCGAGGGTGAGCAGTGCGAGGAGGGGCACGAGCATGAACGAGTGGGAAATGGTGAAGACGCAGTAGGTCTTTTTGCCGGGGTGGGGGATGTCGCGTAGCTTGAGGTGGGTTTCGATACTGGGGTGTGGTTGGTTAGCCTTTGAAGGTGGGGCGGGGGGAGTGTGTGTTTTGGGGGGGGGGGGGGGTACCCCGAGACTGAGAAGAGGCTGCAGGCTATGAAGACTACGAGTATGGGTGGGAAGACGTAGTAGAAGGAGCCCTTTACACTAATTTGTTTGCTCGTGCGGGTGTAGCCTTTTGACACCATATTTACGATCTCACGGAGCTGGTCCGAGAGTTTTAGCACCTCCATGTCTTGAGGGGAAGGAGGAGGAGCTAACCTTCTTGAAAAAGAAAAACCCCATGTACACCTTTATCGCGAAGTAGGCACTCATCATCGTCTTGGAGATAGCAGTACACATCACTGCATCTTTATTCATCCCAAGCCCGCCATTGATCAGCACATTCCCCATGATGAAGTACAGCACCGTTAGTAGACTCATCCCGATAGCCACTGTGTGTCTTGTTAGTGGTAGAACCCGCCAGGCATCAGGGTTGCATGGGGAACTTACAGGTGCAGCAGGTTGTCACCTCTCTGAAGTTGTGGATTCCGCGGGTCATCCAGACGTTTAAGAAGATTGTGCCAACGATTGCAAGGATAAACAGGATGTTCCCGGTGGAGTGGTTGAGGTGCTCTTGCTTGGTCTTTACTTTCCCTGTGCCGAGGATGGCAAGGCTTTGTGCGATTGCGGTGGTATTCATGGTTTTTATATATCTTGCGCCGTCCTGTAACTGTAGTAGGTGTTGACGATAGGATTGAGATTGTAGCGGAATTTGAAGGTAGTAACAGAAAGAAGACTGGTAGCTGAGATAGAGAGAGTGGATGGAGTAGTGGAAATAGTGTAGTGATGGTGGGGTAGTGGGAAGATTACAGCGACGAAGTTTAAGATTGTGGTAGTCGTTATGAAGCTACATGTAGTTGACCCCGGGCTTGGCCATAATATTCGTTTTTCAGATATGGCTAGCGTGGAATTAGTAGGCAAGCTGCATCATGAATTAGCACTCGGCAATATGTCACGTGGCTAGCGAAATTTGAGGTGGAGGATCACATTTACGCAGGGCAAATCAAAAAAGACGTGGACCATATCTAGTAACAATTCTACTTCTACGGCAAAGAAATGATCCCACTCCGTGCAACGAACCACGGGCACTTGTTACAAACGGTTATCAAAGAGCTATGCAGTATATCCCTTCGCTCGTCACAGCAAAATCGGAGACATATTAGGCCCGCGACGGCGTGGTGATATTCTAAAAATCTAGCTACCTACAGACTGTGGAGACACCTGAAAAGGGTATATGAGGGGTCACATAAGGCAACTCTACAGCAAAAGGTACACGGAATGAGGGTTGGGTTTATTACCGAGTAAAAGCTGCCCATTAGCGTCTAGTCATGGAAACACACGAAGAGATGTGTCCTAACTCCCTTAGCGACGTGTTCCGAGTCTACTGTGTCTCCAACGAGTCACATATAAAATTGCACCCCCGGGCTCCATTCCCTTTACAACTTACACGAAGGACGAGAACACCAAGACGATCCCTTCGTTCGTTTTGACGAGAAACGCTATTGGGGGTGTTTAACTTGTTCCAGCGACTTTCATCTCTAGTACACCTAATCCATACTCCATGAACCTCCTTAGGCTCGAAGTCACAGTTTGTGACCTCTTTTTCAACTGATCTTTCCACTCCTAGAGGATATTCACTCCCTGTAGCAGTTGGTATTTTGAATATCAACTCGGCTTTTTCTTGCGAAAACCGGGCACGAACGAAGAGATCCTGAACCATTAACCATCAAGTGATACGATAGTATCCACACTTGCGACAACATCACTACAGAACGCTATGAGTTTTCAAAGTATGTTATCGTCTTTATTTATCGTGATGAAGGTTTGCTTACAAAATAATTTGTTGCTATTAGGATTAGCTCTCCATTATGGAAGAGCCACGGCTACTGTCTTTGCTGCTCTCCTAATAATCTGGGAGTCACGAACCGGCCGCAACCACGAGCTTAAAAAGCTCGACTCGGGGTTGAGGCACGTCGGATCGGACGGTGACCGCTGCGAGTCGGGGGTTGGCCGCTGCGGATCGAAGATTGACCGCTGCGAGTCGAGATCCAACACGTCAAGTCCATCGTTGTTGAAACCGCTTTTCTCACCATGAGAGCGATTGATAGACTGAAAATCCCTGCGGCGATGGGTGCAAATCGTTGAGCAATGCATGAAGAGCGGTGGCAAAGAATGTGGCTTAGTCAAGAGAAAACGAGGAAGTGGTTGCTTGGTTTGTGAACGGAGTTTGGGTACGTTTATGCTGCACGGTGTTGCAGGCGGGTATGGTATGTCCGCAAGGTTTTCATTTTTTTCTGTTGTTGCTTGGTTTTGCTTGGATTTATTTCGTGAGAGAAAAAACGAACACATTAGGCCACGACGGCGTGGTGATATTCGAAAAATCTAGCTATCTACAGACTATAGAGACACTAGAAAAAGATATAGGGAAGATCACAGAAATTAACTTTACAGAAAGAGATTCAGAGAATAAGGGTTAGGTTTATTATCGAGTAAAAGCTCCCATTAGCGCCTGGTCGTGAAAACACACGAAGAGAGGGATATGTAAGAAATCATTGCCACCACTGTGCAGATGATGATATTAGCTAAGATACGGAGTAAGGACTCAATAAATAGGGTTAGAAATACCATGGAATACTGTATATTTCTATGGGTCTGGGGCAATGTAGACATCCCCGGTGATCCATCATCGAGCTTCACATTATTTTCCATGTGCAAGCGGGCACGTTCACAGGCGAGGCGTGCATAATAAACCGGCGGAACTAGAGAGATATTTAACGATTGGCCAATATTCACCAGATAAAAGAGGAGGCTATCAATACATACCCATGCTCACTGCCATAGTAGCTCTACCATACCCGTAGCAGAGGTTGTGACAGAGCTCTTGGAACTGGCCGGCACTGAGCTTATTGTCATCATACACTGCCACATAGCGAGTAGGGCGAACGGTCCCCTTGAGGGCAATATGGGCAACAAGAAAGATATCCTTCCCATTCCCGTTCTCGACAACCGTGCCTGGGAAGATGTTCCCCATCCTGTCGCCGTTCTCGCCGGGGCCCGGGAAGAAACGTGTGTGGTGGCGCTTAATGCAGAGCACGACGGTGATGGGGGCATTGGTGAGTTTCTTAAGCTCCTCGAGTTCGGTCCGTAGTTCTGACCCATACCCGCCCTCGGAAAGCCCGTCGCGGAAATAGATGACCCGTTCTGGCTCACGGGAGGTCTGTTTCTTGTAGCGGGTAAAGAGCTCCTGTGCCATTGGGCTGAAGTGCACGATCTTTTGGTCCAAAGGATCTTGCGAATCAGTCACCGCACTGAACTGCGCGCAGTGTAAATCATAATTTGCGGAAAGCGCGACAAACGCCGGTGGTGGCGGGACCAGGCGGAGTTGGGAGGGGTTTGGGTATGATGCCTCGCAGCCGATTACGAGGGTGGGCCTGCCGTTGAGGATTGGGTCTTCGATCATGGCGTTTATGCCGCCGAGTTTGATGTTGACTTTCATTGCGATGTTGCCAAAGTATTGGCCTGCGCTTTTGTCGCGGTTGTCTTTGATGGCGGAGTTGGCGAGCATGCATTGCGATGCGATGCCGAGCTTTGTGTCGCAGATGCGCTTTATTTGGGCGTAGAGATCTTTCTGTTCACACTCGAGTAGGAAAACTAGTAGGTTTGGCCGGGCCTTTGTCTGTGTCTGGATTTTTAGAAGGAGTTCGAGAATATGTCTGGATATGTCCCCCTGCGGGTCGCAGACACTGGTTATGGTTGGGCCTGGGGGCATCTGGAGTCCGTATTTTCGGAATTCAGTGCAGCACATTCTGGTAAGTCTCTTAAGCTCATTATCGCTCCTGCGGGTGCGTGGAGCACCGGGAAAGTACATTAGACCCCATTGAGTGACCGATTGTGCCTAACGTTTCCCATCTGGTGAGCTTGATTCATGGTTTTTTTGTTGCATTCGGGAGTCTTACTTTGCAGAATGTTTTAAAACCTAAATTCCAACGTCCTGGAACCTTTAGTCCTTGGTATTCGGTTCCGGTTTGGTAGATGGGAATCACAGGTTTCAGAACGTTCGCCTCGACTTGCATGAACGCCGGGTTGACCGATACTCCAAACTCCTTGAGTACACGCTGCTTGTTCCAACCAATTGCTTTCACGTTCTCCGCGATCTGGTCTTTGCGGACACATGGTGGTGCAGTTGCGAATTTGGTGAAATCTGAGGTATGTTTACCCTTGAGGGCCTCGGTCCACCGCTCACCATCCGCAACATAACATAGCTCCAATGGATACTTTCCCTCCTTTCTGCATACAACCATGGGTAGTTGTGGGAATCTGAGGATGATGTTATACTGCTGTCTGTAGTAGTCTTCAACACTTATTGTCTCCATCGTCACTGTTTCCTCGCCGGTAACTGGATCTTTGTCAAATCTCCTCTTGCTAAACGTCTCTCGAGAGGCGCCATGCTGGGTTAGTCTCATAACGCGCCTCACCAAGTCCTTTTTTGGACCTTCCTGTATGTGTTTGACTTGGAATCCCACTCCAATAAACTTCCTCATAATCTCCCGCAGTCTCTGGGGATCTGCGTGGTATACGTCTCCAGGTTGCAGTACGTTTATATTCGCCAAACCACAAATCGCATCGAGAAAGATGATACCAGGCTTGATGAATGCTGCAGTTATGGTATCCACATTGACAGTGAGTTTCCCAAAGCGTACAGCGATGTTCTGATAGAAGCCGCGCCAGGCTTCGAGAACCCGGTTAGAGGATGTGAGGCCTGATGTTGTTTCTGGCGTACGGTGGAAATAAGCTGTTGATTTGTTGCCATGGCCACTCATAAATCTTTTGCTGGATCGGCACGTAGAAGAGCATTTAGGAATTTCAAGCAGATTTCAATCTGCTCCTCCTTGCTGAAGTCAGCGACGTCGTCCAGTGAAGTGGTTCGACAGCTCTCGTTGCGGAGCCATTTGATGAATGGGTCTGTGCTAAGTTTTCCAGTGCAGCTGATATCGATGTTGCAGCCAAACTTTCTCCCAGGGCGAGATCCTGGGAGTTCAAGGCGGTATCTAAAGGGGTCAACGGGGAATGGTAGCTTTTCTGTTGACCACCCAATGGAGACGCCGTCAAAGACAAAGCCGTTTCCAAGAATGCTTTTTATCTCGGGATTCTCCATGACCTTTCGTACCATACTCGGAGAGCACTGCTTAATCTCGGATTCGTCCAGATATCCGCCAGACCTCCTTGGATCGCCAGTAACCCGGATCTATTTGCACTTGTGAGTCTTGCCAATATCTATTGAAAGAGCTGGTTTTAAAAAACTTACATCATATTGGAAAATGTCAATGCATGGAAGAGATTGAACTTCAAAGTGGTTTGTGAACACTGTTATTCTTGAATAACAACTGTTGTTCTCGGATGTACGAGTTGACTGGTATTTCGATCAGTCATTTAGGCCGGTATCAAGAATATCGAGACTTACTAGCTTAAGGATCTTTCCATTTACAGCATTCGAAGATTGTTCTGGAGGTTCTACATCTACCCCAACTGCCCTTGGGGCCAGATTGTTATTGCCACGGGAGTCCCTGGAGTGGTCGCCACGGTTGCCCCTGTTGTTTCTCTGATCCTGAGCTCCGCCATCTCTATGACGTCTCATATCATGAGCCCTGCCGTCCATACGGTTATCTAAAATTATCAATTAGATTAGTTTTTGCAACCTCTGAAGCTTAACTTGCCAAAACCCACTGCCGGGCCATTTCTATTGTATGAACCACGGTCATATGCACCTCGACTCTCTCTAACAACACTCTGTGGTTGATTTCGTTGAATATTATGACTACTCCCTCGCCCGCTCCTTTGGCCGTTCCTTTGACCGTTAAACCTATTTCCAGCAAAATCCCGAGCCCGGGCCCGAGCGTCATTCGCCTCATCCTCGACACTCAGGGTCTGGAAACTATGGGCAGCATTAATGCCGTTTCCGCCATGCGGATCGTGTGAACCATGAGCAGAAATATAACCGCTATCAGCAGGAATAGATTGAGCACGATAGTGCGGATTATGGGTGCTGTCTGCAATAGATGATGTGGAAACGTTGCTGGGGACTGAAGACACTGCTCTAGGACGTTGCGGTAGTGTTGCGGTTGTCGGGGCATTGATACCCGCATTTGGGGGGTTGAAAGTACTCTGGTGTGGTAATACTACTCGTGGTCTTGTTTGCAGCCTGTTTATACCTGTATTAGGAGGGTTGTAAGTGCTTTGGTGGGGCAACATCCCTCGCGGGGCAGTTGGTGGTGCATCGAAACTAGGCATCGTTCGTGGGACAGTTCGCGGTCCATTGATACCTGCGTTCGGGGGGTTGTATGCACTTTGTACTGCTCGCGGGCCAGCTGGTGGTCCATTAATACCCGCATTAGGAGGGCTATAAGCACGTTCCTGAGGCGGCACCCCCCGCGGGGAAACTGATGGCACATCCACAGCCACCGTAGAAGAGCCATAAAACCCTCTAAACGGTGCCGTCTGCGGGGCAGCCGGTGGTGGTACAGCAACATTGTAGTGGCCTCCTGCCTGTCGGGGTGCGTAGGACTCTTCGGGCTCGTGCTGCCAGTTCACATCTGGTGGGTCCCGGGACTTTGCGCTGCGCTCCGAGGCGGCGGTTTCGTCGGAGGATGAGCGCGCGCCAGAGGAGCTGGGGGGGGGGGGGGGGGGGTTAGTGCGGGGTGTGGTGAGATGGGATGGGATGAAAGAGTGTGATGGGTAGGCGGGAAGAGGAGAAAGAAGAAGCTATGGCCATAGATGCCATGGTATTGTATTCATCCATCCCCCACGAGCAGCTGGGTACGAACTACAGCCGCCCATGCAGGAGCTAATGAAGCGGGAAAAAGGGGGGGTAGGAGATGGAGGATGAAAAAGCAGAGGAATACGAACCGGTCACTTTCAGTATAGTACGCATTTTCCGCTATGCCGTGGTCCTCGCGGTTTCGGACCTTGGAGTTCACGTCGCGGGCAGGCGATTCGCTGCGGGTGCGCGGCTTGCGGCGTGGGCGTAGGCGTGGGCGTAGGCGTGTCTGGGTGGACATGGTAGTAGTATTGGGGGGGGGGGAGGGGGGTTGAGTTGGGATGTGTTGGGGTGGGTGGGGTGGGTGGGTGGGTTTGGATGGAAGGGGGACTGTGGCTTGGTGGGGTGTGGAGGTTGGAGGTGGAGTAGATGGGATGGAGGGGTTGGAAGGTAAGATTAGATGAAGGCAGAGTGGAGGGGTTGTGGGTGGGAAGATTGTGTGGGTGTGGGCGGTGTGGAGGCACACAGCATAGAATGGGCTTTGGGGGGGCGGGGGCGGGGGCGGGCTGAATGGACGCTAGGAGACTAGACTACATGCTACTTCATGCTGAGTACATGTAGGGTCAATGCTCTGCCATTGATGTAGAAGTTTATCAGATATTCCGTCTTAGAGCTCTAGAGTCACTTCTTTTAGTCAGTCCCCCAAAGAGTCTAACACCCGAACCTGGTGACTAAGCAAAAAAAACCATCGAGTGATCCCCCATGACCGACCACCAATCCACCAACACACCCACTACCTCCCCAGCCTACGACCAAGTTTCTTCAAATCCCTCTTCCCATCCCGTTTCGCCTTCTTACGCTCTTCAGCCTCAGCTGCAACACAACACACATTAGCGCCACCAATGGCATGGTGCCAGCCAGGATATGAACTAAACTCACCATCATAATCCACCTTCGGATCCGCGTCATAGGCGTCCAGGTGCGCACATCGTCAAACGCAATCTTTAGCAGCCGCTTCTCCTCCCTCTCGGAGGCGAGGCGCGCGGCTCTGCTGGCGGGGCTGTGCGGCGTGTGGGTTTCTTCTTCTTGGGGGTGCCAGGGTGTGGCTTCTGCTTCGTCGTCGTCGTCGTCGTCTTCGGGGTCGTCGTCGGCGGTGGGGCTTCTTCTTTCTGTTTTGGGTCCTTGCTTGGCTGTGTTGTGGTGCGGCTCTGCTGATGCTTCTGAGGAGGGGCTCTCTTCTTTTGGCACTGGGGAGTCTTCTGGTGGTTCGGCTTTGATGGCGGGGATGCCTGCTTCGGCTTCTTGCGGCTCGGGTTTTATGGCAATGGTATCTTGCTGCTTAGTATCCTTCTCCTTCTTGATACCCTTTCCCTTCTTAATACCCCCCCCTCCTCTTCCTCCTCCCCCTCCTCCTCACCATCCCCATCATCATCATCCCCCTCCTCCTCCTCAGCCAGCCTCCGCCGTTCCCTAGATCTTATCCCATACCGCCACAGATACCGCAGCATCGCCGCGCGCGCCGCCTTGTGCGTGCTCCGGTGGAAGTCCTTCTGGCAGCTTAGGCTGGCGGCGGTGCAGCGGACTGTAGATTTGTGCATTAGTGCGCGGGGGCGGGGGCGGGGGCGGGGTTTCGTGGGTTTAGTAGTATTACGGGGATCAGTAGTAGTGCGGGGTCTGGTTGTGGAGGTGGAGGAGATGGAGGAGTTGGATTTGCGTTTGGATTTGGGCGGCGGGTACGGGGGTGAGGTGAAAGAGGTCGGGGTGGCTTTTGTGCTTTGGCGGGTTGCGCGCGGCATTGTGGGGTGTTTTGAGGGATGGTGCTGGAGGTGGTGGGAATGGAATGGGCGGGGGATTAGTTGGGGAGACGCGACGTGACGGGTGCGGTGCCAAGACAGTGTGGGTGGTGGCGTGACAACGCGGCGTGAAACTGAAGCTTTGTTTGCGGTGGGGAAATGGGGCGGAAAGGGACAGATGGAAATGGGGTTGGCTAGAAGCTGCTTCTTATCAGACTCCCTGGATTGGTTATTTTAACGCCTTAAAGAGGGGTTTTGGGAATGGGGGAGTGGAATGGAATGGTTGTGCTGCTGTGCAAAGAGGCTCTTTCGGACTGGTTTGGTGGGACGGTGATTGAGGTGCCAATGATCATGCTGCGTTAAAACTAGACTACCTATCTAAACCACAGAAACAAAAAACGAGACCAAAATAACAGAACAACAGAAAAACCTCGCACCGTGATGCAATCCAATTACGACTATACCATTAACCACCCCCATCTCCCCAAGTCCCCTCCCCTCCCCCCCCCCCCCCCTCTCTCAACATCCTCCTAAACCTCCCTACACCACTTCCCCAACACCGCCCTCCCCCCGCCCGTGCCCCCCCTCTCCACAACCCCCCCAATCTCCCCCAACCCAACCTCAACCCTCCACATCCCCTCCGCCCCCCCACCCCCCTTGCCCACCGCCGTCAACAACCCCCACCCCGCCAACCGCTCCCACGCCCCCCTTGCCACCTCCCTCCCCCACACCCGCCCCGCAACAACCCCCGCCGCAGCAGCAGCAACCTTAACCCCCCCAACAAGCCCCGCATACTCACTATACGCCATGCTGAAATTACACGTGTCTGTATCACTCACGATATCCAACCGCGCCGCAGCAATCAGCAGCGACAGCTCTAGGTCGCTGAGGCCGGAGAGGACGCACAGCACATTATCTGGCTCGCCGAGCGCGGGCGCGAACGCGTCTGCCCCCGGAAACACACCGCCCAAGGAGGGCAGTGCGGACACGGCCATGACGCACTCGTTGAGGAACGCGCGGACTGACGCGGAGCGCGCGAACGCGCGGCGCAGGTGTGTCTGGAAGGCGGGGGTGTCGTGGAGGGCGTCGAGGTGGGTGTTCCAGTGCTTGTAGATGGCGGGGGGGTCGTATGTAGTGGTTGTGTCTGCGGCGAGGGAGGGGCGGATGCGCGCCCAGAAGGCGGCGAGGGTGGGTGGTGGGTGGAGGTGGACTGTGCGTTGTGAGAAGCGGGACTTGACGCGTTTTTCGAGGGAGTGGGTTATTGTGAGGTGGGTTGTTGTGCCGATGACGGCGATGGGGGCGCTGCGCGATTGGGCAATGTCGAAGAGGTTGTAGAGCAGGGTTTGGCGCGGGTGCGTGGTGAAGAGGTCGAATTCGTCGAGGAGGAAGATGACGCTGAGGGAGGTTTTTGGGGCGGGGGAGGCGTGCGGGGAGGTGGGGGGGTGCTGGTGGCGAGGTCGTCCGGGTGCGAGAGCATGGCGAGGATGGTGGTGAGGGTGTCAGCGAAGGAGGTCTTGGGCGTGTCGGAGGCGGGAAGCGCCATTTCGTGGCCGAGTTGGCGCAGGATCTCGCGCAGGGCGAGGCGGTCGTCGGTTTGGTGGAACCCGGTGAGGCGGACGGTGTGGAAGTCGTGCGGGTGCTGGAGTTTGAGGTCGGCGATGGCGCTTTCGACGAGCTGTGCGGGGGCAATGTGTTAGCTTTTTTGTATATGATAATAATAGTAATGATATTGGTAGTCAATGATTGAGATGTGCTGGAAATGATCAGATGAACGGGGTTTTTTTTGTGTGTGTGTGTGTGCTTACTGTAGTTTTGCCACTGCCGCGCGCGCCAATGATCAACATCGAGTTTCCCTCTCCCGCAGTGACAGTCTGCTCCAGCAGATTCCGCACATGCGCCTCCTCCTCCTCCACGCCCACGAGCTTGACACGCTCCCGCCCCATCAGCTTGGGCAGCAGGTGCTTCTTCAGCGCCTTCATCGCCGCCTGGTCAAACTTCTTTGCCGGCGCACCACCGTTCTGCTTCTTCTTCTCAGCCGTCTTCCTCGGCTCATCGTCGATCGCAAACGGATCCTTCATCCCGTCCAGCTCCACCGTCTTCTTCGCCGGCGTCGGCATCGAGCGCCGCCGAGCAGCCTTCTCCTTCTCCCGGTCCTTCTGCGCGGTTGCTAGTGCCGGTGCTGGCGCTGCAGCGATCCGACCATCCCCGCCGACAACGTCCTCGTCAGGGTCCACCTCCTCTTCCGCCTCGACCTCGACCGCGATGTCTTCATCCTCCCCCTCCGCATCCGTCTCATGCACACTCCCGTACCCGCCCCTCGCGGCGCGCACCGCCGCACTCGGCGTCCCGTCCTCCTCCCCCGGCAGCGCATCAGCGCGCGGCGCATCCTTCTTTCTTGCGCGCGGCGGCTTCGAGCGCGGCTTAATCGTCGTCGCGGGGGTGGTGGGCAGGTCAACGGCTTTGGCAGCGACCTTGATCGGCGAGGAGCGTGTGGTGTGTGGCGAGCGCGTGAGCGGGTCGTCGTCGGATTCGCCGACGGATGTGCGCCGCGACTTGTAGGTGATGCGTGGCTTGGGGCGGCGCTTGGGCGTGGGGTTGACGCGCTGTGATTGGGAGAGTTCGTCGGAGGAGGGGGCGTCGAAGACGTCGCCGGTGGGGAGGGGGAGGTCGGCGTCTTCTTGTTCTCCTTCTCTTTCTTCTCCTTCTTCTTCTACTGCTGCTGCTAGGGGGGGGTCCCCGGCCGGGACTGCTGCTGCTGCCGCTTGGGTTTCAGGGGCAGTGGCAGACCGGCTGTTCCGTGTCGTCGTGGCGGGGGTCTTGCGGCGGCCGCTGGCTCCTCCGGCTTTGGGCGTCGACGGGGCTGCTGTCTGTGTCGGCGCCTCCAGTGTGTTCCGCCGTGGTCTCCCGGGCGCCCTCTTACCGCTCACAGTCTCTTCACTCACTATCGCTCCGCCCCCAGCGTCAATCCCATCCCCGTTCTCGTCCTGGCGCCCCGTCTCCTTCTCCTCCGGCGATCGCGCACGCGTCGGGGGCGTGCCTGAGGCGATTCGCACACGCTTCGACGAGGCCGGCTGGGCGGCGGAACCGGGTGTTTTGCGCTTCGGTGGCATTGCTGTTTTGTATGTGTGTTCGGGCGTTGTGTGTGTTGTTGATGGTCGAATTCCGGGCTGCGGGTTGCAGTGTTGAGCTCTGGGAGCGATAAACAGCTGGCTGGTGAGACAGGGTTAGGGTTGGTTGGGGGCTTGGCGTGCGAGTGAGATTTGGAGATCGGAATTGCGCAGAGAGAAGGAGCGTGTTTCTGGGAACTTTTCTGGTCAGCGCGTATTTCTTCTTTGCACTGGAGTGTGGGGCAGACCTTCTGATGGCCGAATCGGCGAAGTCAAGGGACAATGCCGACTTTGGGGCGCTAAAGATCATGCATGCAGAGAATCAATTGGTGCAGAAGTACTGGAGGAATGTATCAAGCACATGTACTTACTAACAGCACAGCGTGTATCGAGATATTGTGGACAATCTCCAGTACAACCCAAGATGTTGTGAAAGGGAAAGTAAAGCTACTGAACGGGGATATATCCAGATGGACCTGATTGCTTATTACTGCTATTCTTGGTATACGTATACCGGCGGCGTAGTGGCCGTGAGATCCATCGATGGCAATTGTATGAACACAAGTGACCATGACGTGGAGCCATGGAGCGGAGGTGCCGTTTGATAGGCTGTGTTGGATTGATCCTTTGTTAACTTATTAATCCTCTGCGGTCCTGTATATTGAAACGTCTTGTAGCCGCAGATGTGTACATGTAGTTATAACTACATGTATATCGATATATCTTTTTTTGTTTGGCTATAAAATTGTCAATTAGAAACCCGATTTGCAATTAATTTGTCTTCCGGTTGCTCCGAGAAGGGTTTCAAGAGACGTTATCTTGTGTTTACCGGAAAAGACCAAGTTGTTGGTTGTGAACTGTCCTCCATCCTCGGTGGTGAGATCGAGAGACCAGATTTTGCACAAACATACATGTACGCATATGCAAACTCATCATATAAAAAGAGTATTTAACCGCTCATATCTCCCTTATCATCCATCTTCATCTCCATCATCGATGCATAAGCCCCCGCGAACGTTATATGGCTGTCATAAAAAGCTTAATCATGATCCCCGTTATCAATGATCAGCACTAAGCCCCCTTCACCGTCTTCCAGGCTATTCCCTGGCTCCCGTTATTGACTCCACTTCGTCAATTTAGAGATGCACCCGTGCCCCACAACCATTGATACCCTTCCCTTGGATGGGAACCGTGAAACATGAAACGGTTTCACCAAGCCAGGCCGTACCCGCTTGCATATGTGCCAGCAACTCCCCACAGGCCATTAGTGCATTGAAATTATACCGGGTAGGTGACAACGGCATTTCAAGGGTACAATCCTCCGTCCAATACCCTTATATGACAGGTGATATGACAGGTGACAAGAGAGACTTGGCCAAGCAGCCCCCCAGATAGCGGTGTCGGCCTCTCCGGCATTCCGTGGTCCCTGCATGGGGGGGGGATATAGACACATAAGATATAACATATGTAGTTTAGTAATCTAGCTCCACTATTATTACCGCAGAAACAAGAATTTCCCCATATCGGCTTGCAAAAAGTGACGCGGTGGGTGAGACCAATCGGAGAAGCTCAGTGGTCTTTACCTAATAAACTGACACATGAAAATCCCACTGTGCCACCAGGAAACCAGGCGTTCAGCTCCATATTCAACCTACACTGCATATGTGGTAGTTTTTTCTATTGATTCTTTGAATACTGGTCAGAAAATCGTTATCGTGGGCTTTTTGGTGGTGGTGCACATACCCCTATTTTCTTAACAGAGTACATCATGGACAATGACACTGCGTTGATAATCCTCTCGTTTGCGCTCCTCCGCTGACTTCAATTACCGAGGACCGTAAATACGAGTATTACTACTAGTATGGGCTACCAAGAGGCCTCCGGGATTACAGTCCGTGTACTAATGACTTGCAATGTAAACATGGATGGAAATATGGGTACTTGAGAGGATCTCTTGAGTCGACAGCGGGCCCCACTTGTCATTAGAAAAAACACCTCAAACGCACCGACATGAAAGAGCTCTGTGGACTAGTAACCAGGCCTCTCCCCAATTGGAGGCACAAGCGGTGTCAAAAAGCTATGGGCAGCCACAAAGATCTTTTCCTAGTGCTACTAATGCTGCTGCTTGAAAGGATAGGAATTAGGAAGTACATGTAGTTATCATGCACATGCTGCTCCTGGAATAGTGCCCGTGGAGATGCTTCAATATAATTCAGACTCGATAATTTTATAATTACGCAGTCCGGAGTCCGGAGATGCGACTCATGAGGAACGCTATTGAGTTAGTGCGAGTGAAGTCGCGAAGATCCCTCCTCACATCATGATCACTGACCGCTAGTTAGGGCGTGGCCCCCCCCCGGCCCCCCCAGCTTGGCCCCGCAAATGCATCGTCGGTTAGTATCAACACCGCTGGAGAGCCCAGACCAACTACTTCTACCCTAGCCCTACCTCTTTATTCCCGCAAGAAAAGAAAAAAAAAATCATAAAAAGAGGTTAAGGGGAGAGAGAGAGAGAGAGAGAAAGGGAAAATCTCACATAACGTACATATTTCACAAGCTGCGCATACAAGAGGCCAATGAATTGTAACGCCGATTTCTATGACAAATATTTATCCATGAAGGGGCATTGTTATTCTGAATCAGGGTCAAAATCACTCGAATTTCTTGATCACAAAAAATCAACCGATGATATGAAACCAATTTACATAAAGACTTACTCCTACAGCACAGCAAGCAACCAAACCCAATCCAACCCAAGCACCCAAGAACTTTTTTCTCACTACGCTACCTCGATCCGTTGAAAGGAATGCGCATACCCATACGTACATATATATAGGGTCCTAACTAATCAAAATCACGATTTCCAGCGTACGGCTAGTGTAGTCTCGTGGCTACCCAACATGGCAATCATGTCCAGAGGGAGAGGGAATAATAGGAGCCGGCGGGCGGGATCCGGGATCGAATGTCGAACGTGGAGGTCGAGCTTATTTCTTATGTTGCGTCTTGAGGATTCGATTCTTGGCCTACATTACATACTGCACACATGGCATGTAGGGCCGGGTACGTCTCTAAAACAGTCCCCAACTGCCCTAGCCGGAGAAATTCCCCGGAGTGAGTGCTGGGGGTACTGTTTCATGGGGGGAGGTACTTGGGTAGTTGGGTACATGTAGTTGATACATGGGACGGTTGGTCGGGAGGTATATAGTTGGGTATATTAATATGGGACCGACCGACTGAGAGTTAGTTAGTTAGTTGCGCATGGGACATCACGTGGTTTGTGATACGGATGTACTATGACGTTTTTTTATAGTTGGGATTTGGAATTTGAGGGTAGAGGTCTAGGTAGAGTCGATCTACTGTGGAATGTGGGAATGGCCCGTTGCGAGACAGTGCTTGGTACAGTAGTATCATAGAAGTGCAAGTTTTGGCGTGCAATACATTAGTGCAACGGGTTTTTCCCGGGATTTTGCGGTATATGTTTTGCGACGTAATATTATTCAAGTACGTACAGTAGCTATAGTACATGTATGTATTCTTTCAGAATAACATGCGGGAAGAGTTGGTGAAATTACAACGGGATTCATGAAGTACGATACTTGACTACGGTAAGTAATACCTCTTTTTGACAGTACGTGTGTGTAGAGTTGCCTCGGCATTCTCACACAATATCAGCACACCACTAACGGCGTAGACTACAGCTTACCCTCAACCAGGGATTATTTGTATGAGAGAACGACGCCATTCCATACAAATTATCCTTGCCCTGAGCAACTGCATTTTCTGGTTCTTACGCTGGTAAGCGTGTACATGTACTCTACAAGTACAGAACAGAAAATTAAGTAGACTTGTATACAGTACATGCCATGCCACAAACCAAGCATTCCTTTTCATCTAAATCACGTCACGTCACACATCACTATCAAACGCACCAAGTAGTACTAGTAAAATATCGTTGTGAAGGAGAAAAAAAAAATTATGTCCTCTATTATTAACCCCAACTTTCCCCAAACCCGTTGTTTTGCACATACATTTTTGAAAAATAAGAAAAAAGAAAATTTCATAACCCCTTCCCACGCTCTCCGTCACAAGCACTGAACCCCTTCCCACATTCCCCCAAGTCCTACTGTCTGCCTAGCGCCCCCCACCCCCCCTCCCCCCAAACACCGCCTTCTAATTTGATACACGCACGTACAACACACAGACACAAAAAACCAGAAAGACAACACAAACACAAAACCTCACGAGGGAGTAGAGTAAGCACAAGGTCGGAAAGCTCATTGATACATCATACAACAACCGCTCAAGAAGAAGTGAACAAAATGAGAATGGGGAAACCAAAGGAACGAAAATGAAAAAAGAGAGTGTGTGGGGGCAAAGGACTACGCCAAATACTCGTAAAGAAGATGGACGCGAAGCAAAAGTTTGATATGCTGCTGCTGCTACTGCACAAAAGGGGAGTCATGAGACATGAGACATAGGAGAATATGATAACCAACAACCAATGATGAATGATGATGATGATGATGAAGATGATGACGATGATGATGATGATGATAAATGATAAATGATGACCCAAGAACTCCTGAATGACCCTAAAATCCCAGGAGAGAATTGTTTCGAATGAAGATAAATAGAGGGGGGGGGAAAAGAAAAAACCTAAAAAATTCTCATCCCGAGAGACTAGAGAAAGAAAAAAAAATTTTTAATTAAAGCTCCCGCCTAAGCGGGTTTTCAAAATGGACAAAAGAAGCGGATAAAAGGAAAACAAAAATTCAATGTCTAGAGGGTCATCTTGGGACATCACCATTGGTGGCTGGGTATCTGGTTGATCGACTTAAAGTCCTCTCGGGAGCCCCACCTGAAAGGGCATTTCGCTCATCTTCGAGAATGTCGCCTGCAACCTCGATATATTTATGAGTGCGAATAAACTTGGGTACCGAGTCCTATTACCAGACAGTCAGTAAGATAGTCACATGCCATTTTTGTATGTTGTGGAACTTACTCCTGCCATAAGCTTGAACACTTGCTGTTGTGCCCTGTCGAACAGGGTCTGCACATCCTTCAAGCTGGTATACATCGCCTCATCGTCTTTTGCAACTGCCCTTGTCATGCGTGATGCCATGTCCTGGCGGAGGGTATGGTCGATGTTAAGCTCGCAGGGGGAGCCCGGTGCCAAGAAAGCGTTATAAAGACCTAAACAGAAGGTAATTAGCTAATTATTCCAAAATATAGAATAGAGTGCAGAATTGCATCGGGTATCATATAACTTGGGACTCAATGAGATAGTCACCAAGAGAGATTGCTGAAACGTGTGACCGGGGTAAAATGTAAAGGGGGTAAATCTCAACGGGATAGTGTAACATACCATAAGCAGCGGCTAATGTTTCACGTACAGCATCCGGCTTTGACAGGTCAATAGAATGGAAGTTGTGGTTGAAACCCTCAACATCCAGGTAAAAGGCCAGGTTCTCCTCGCAAAGAGTTTCCCGAAGGAATTCGCGGTACAATAATCGTAGCGCAGCGTCGTTCAGGATAGCAGTCAACCGAGTTGTGTTTGTTTCACGCTGATCTATGACACTATTAGAATCATGCATCCTCTTGGACATGGCACTGGGGATAGCCTACCTCTCGGGGACTGGTCATCTCTCACCCTCACGTTTGACCTCGCTCTTTGGGAGCCATCAGCATTCCTCTCTCCGCTCTGCAGGCTCAACCTGTCAGACTCAATCCACCCTGCAACCCTTCTACCTTTGTCTGTGAATACATAAATGGCGTTCTTGGTCGGCTGGAATTGGCTTGCTTCCGGGTTTTGATGAACGTAGACCTTGTCCTCTAGTACGGACTGGATAAGACCATGCTGAATGAAAAGCCTTGCAATCTCATTGGTTTCACGCGCCTCCACTGTGGTACAGCAATCCAGTAACCAATCCACCGCGCACTTCCCAGTAAACGAATTCTTAATCACTTTGTCATAAATCTTCCGCGTTTCGGCTAGCTTTACACCTGTGATTCCATCATGATACTCCGATACTGAGTCTGAGTCTGAGATGGACACGTTGGCCTTAATGTTTGGAGTAGATCCGGCAAACCGTCTGAAGATTACCTCTGTGGTGGTTTTGTCCTGCGATAACCTGTCGGTAACAGAGTCTCTCTCAAGAATAACCAGACGCATAGTATTGAAAGGTGACTGCAGCAGTCTAACAACATGCTCCTGCTGAATTCCATTCCGTTGGCAGAACCTTTCTAGAACGTGAATCCCTTTCGGGGTCAATTGCCATAGGGAGCCCTTTGGCGGAAAGTACTGGACTGGTTTTGAATCAGCAAGCTCGATAAAACGAGCATCCATGAACCTCTGACACACAGAGCGAGCCATTTCCTTAGCCATCGAGAACGTTGTTGTCGTTGTTGTGGTTACAATCCGAGATGGGTCCTTGGGATCCGGCATCCGGTTTGACTGCGAGAACTTCAGGGAACCGAGATTGTTGATGGCCTCCTCTGAGGTGAATGAGAATGTGTAGGTCTTGAAACGAACCCGGTGCGAGCTCAGCGGCAGACTGACCATGAGGGTGGAAAACAAATCCTTAAAATCCTGTTCTCGAAACGCCTTAATTAGCGTTGAATAGGGTTGTCAATGGTAAGGTGCATATAAAGAGCACACTGGAGGGGCAAGACTTACCCTTGTGAATGGCCGATCATCGCTCGTCATTCGGAGTAACCTGGAACTGGTTTGATGCATCTTGTTTGAGGGGTGAGTAATTGTTACTGCGTTAGATCCTTCACTTGAGGAGATCGGCTTTACGAGTTTCGCCAGGTTGGCGGATGAATCTCGCGATTCTAGGAGAGACTCTGTAGAAGAGTTCCTCAACTTTCTATGACCGGTATCGTTAAAGAAGTTGAACGAGAGTAGAGAGTCTCGAACAGAAAGCGAGGATCTGTGTCCGGCAGCTATGGTTGATATTGTTGGTGGGGGTGAGATGTTTAAATATGTATTGTTAGGTGTTTATAGAAGGGGTGTGAGTGAGTGAGTATGAGTGAATATACGACGTGATGAAAGGAGGCAGTGAATGAATGGGTTGATGATGTTGAGAAAGAGATGAGTTGTAGCGATGAGTGTGGGAGTGTGGGAGTGTGTGAGTGTAAGAGTGAGGTGAGGTGAGGTGTGTGTGGTAGTTATGATGGGCTGTAGTGGTTGGCGTCTGGGCTGATTAGTACTGTAGTGGTTGCGGTGGTGGTTTAACAGCTACAGGTTTCGAAGAACGATAACCAAGATGCTTCTGCTCGACGGGGGAAGACGAGGGTTTTTGTTGAGACTCACTTGGGATGCAAGTGTGAAGATAAACGATCAGAACCACGTGGCGATGGCGACGACTTGCGGGGGGTGGAGCAGTAGAAGTAGCAAAGGGAAAGGCGGGAGAAACCACCCCCTAAGCCTAGTGAGTTAAAGGACCTGCGCAGATGGACAATCCACAAGCGCACAAGGCTTTCTTCCTCCCCCCGGCGGTGGAGGGGCTACCGTTGGTGGGTCCCACATGCACTCTCACTCCTGGCCATGTCCCGGTCCTAGCCCTTGTCCTGGCCCCAGCCCTGCCCTGCCCCTGGTGGTTGTAGTTGTGGTTTTGTGATGGTGGGTTGAGAAGTATGCTATCTAGGCATGTAGGTACACATAGATGCTCTCCATAGGGTGTGTGTGTGTGTCGTTTTACTCGGCGGTGACGGTGATGGTGATTGTGACTACATACTTGGTAAGTGAATGATCCCAGAAATAGCTTCCTCTATTCTGTACTTCGTCATTCACCTGAATTATACTCATAAAACTGACAAAGCCAGCTTGAATATTTCCATACTGTTGTTGCCTGGCGTTTTCAAACTTAGTTGCAACGAGGGCGACCAGTAAACCCAATCACTAACCCCACTCCCCCATCAAAAAGCAACTAAATCCGCATCCACGTTATTGAGCGCTTCCTTGATTGGATCGGCTCGTTCCCTCAAAGCCCTTACTTCAAGTTCTGCTGGCCCCATTCCGCTGAACAAGCCGATTTGAGAGAGAGTCTCTTAGAGTAATACTTTCATGGCAGACCTATGTACTCTACACGTTATTATTATTCCCCTCCCGAGAACGGAGCCCGCTGCCGGGGACCGCTCTACAGGGGCCGGTGACCTCAATGCCCATTCCCAACTACTGAACGGCTCGCTCCGGATAATGCAAACAACCATCCATACGGGGTCTAGCAAGTTACTTCCCTTGCGGCGCGCATGGGATACCGGAATTGGTAATGGGATATCCAGTTTTGAATCAAGCAAGGTGCTCCGTTTTGAAAGATCCGATTTTCATGAGAGTGAAAGAACACCTTCCCGCTGATGGTGCGGCAAGCAAGGTCATGCAATTCTGAGCAGCTAAAATTGGGGTTAATCGAAGCTTGATCCAGTTACCAAGATTTCAGCCTCCAGTGGTTTACTTCTAGAAGAACCTACTTGTGCAGATGTGGTCATCTCAGTTCGATCGAAAAGGCTTGTAACTAAGCGTGTGGTTTGCCTATTATCAAAGCATAAAACAAGAAGGGGCAGTGGTTTCATTGACTCACTCACAAATCGCATATTCTCATCTCCCATGCCGAGAAACTGTAGAACAGGATGGAATGAAGTGAGTGGTTCAACAACCGCCCAATTCTTAACTTCAGCCCACCAGCTAACTCATCTCGCGAGACGTCTTTAGTCACAAAGCCTCAGATTCAGTCGCCAAATGATAATATGTCACCGGAAAGTCCCCGCCTCAGAATGCTTTCCCGTGATGAGATTTCCCCTACATGTCGCAAGCAAATTCATTTATCTATTTGTCTGTGCGCATACGGGGTTAAGTTTTGAAGTCGGTGATGCCCGGGGCAGTAAGGGTTTGGGTCGCCAAACACAATAAGACCTTTATTTGGAGCCCATATGAGACGCTTACTACTCTGTTACACATCTAAGGAAGGTAAGGGGATATTTGTCTTCTCAGAGATATCTGCCTACGTCAAATGTCTCGAACTCATAGTTGATTTCCAATAGAAATTGCACAGACAGCGTGAGAAATCGCCAAAAGGGCAATTGGTTCGTTCAGGAATTTCAGAACATGCGGCAACCACTTTCGAACAAGGCCCCAGCATAAAGGGGTGCGCAGAACCGCTACAAAGGATTAGTAGTTACCAAGATTAGACTTAACAAAGCATGGCAAAAAAAACATGGCAAGCACGCATCCATCCGCATAAGCATACACGTGCTAGGCGAGTCAAAGGCCTGTCTAAACCTGGCACAACATTATACGGGTTGAGAGCACACATAAACAAAAAAGAAAAAAAGAAAAAAAAATCAGACAAAAAATTTCAGACCGCCGCCCGCCCTCGGGGAAAAAAAAAAAAAAAAAAAAAAACAGGTAGGCCGAGCGGGAACAGACGCAGGCGGGAATTTATTCGACCGATTCACGATCGCGCACTCGGCAACGCTTTGCAGCTTCTCGTGTTCGACCACCCTCTCTTGTTTTTTTCACACACCTTCTTCACTCACCGGCTACAGTTGCAACCGTGTTCGTAGAACATGTCTTTAGATATACCATCGAGATACTCGACTACATAAAGCAGAAGTAGGCATGGTACATATGTTCCAGCCATCGGGGACGTCGGCGGAGTAGTCCCAATCCCTCTCGACATTCCGAATCTCCCCCTAATCAGTAGAATTGAACCGCTACCGAGGGAGAACTAATCAAGTAGCAGTAGGCTGTATATCAGGACCTGGGAGAACACCAAAAGTGACACCATCAGCCAGAATATAACTACAGACGCTGAGACTCATGTGGGATGGATGATGCAGTGCAGCAGACGGAAGGGTTGAGGATAAAATGGTTTATTCCCTTCAGTTCTTTTTTTATTCGTTTTACCCAATTATTTTCTTATTTTTATTTTCTTTATTTTCTTTTATTTTATTTTTCCTTTCCCACCACCTCCTCCTTCAGGCTTCAACCGGTTGAGAAAATGGGAAATTTGGCCCCACGTTCCGATGCTCGTCAAGGATCAACCCTGCAGCCATCTTCAAATGAAGGCCTTGAACAATCCTCTATGGGACATCGGAGAAGCAAATCCAACGTCTCACGGAAGATTTCAAGACGGGAGAGATCATACAAATGTGCACAAGAAAGCGTAAAATGAACCGTGTGGTTTGAACCTTGAACCTCTCTTTCACTCTCTCACCCTTTTTTCGACGAAGCTTGTCCACAACAAATTCGCAAACCTATCTCGGGAGTTCATCTAATAACGTAAGCATCTCATTCACTAGAGCCAATAGGGCTGCTGTGCTGTCCGCTTCCCGTCATATCCTTGCACCCACGCGATACGAAGCACGAGCAATTGATGAATCTTTTGTTTTTACAATTTTTTTTTGGTGGTTGTTTGAAACGCAGTCTCCATCTAAATTTTTATTCATGCTATGCTTAACGGTTCTCCGCTGGAACTCGGCAAGCAAGCAGTCAGTCATCGCTTTCCCACATGGTCCAATTTGGGGTACAGCAGCAGCAAGAAAATCACCAACTCCTGGTACACCGTTGTCACTCGAGATTGCTAAGCCGGTCATTACATCGGCCATCAGCCATATGGGTTATGCTCTACTACGGTATGGGTTATCCACTTTACACACTGCATACAACCTACATCAGCCTGCATAAGGAAACCCTATTGGCAAATTCCAATCCTCCCTACATACAGTTCTACCTACCATACCGACAATCACATACCAGTTGACCCCTCCCTCCTCACTCGAGCGGTGAGAATCTAATGACAGGGATAAGCTAGATGGGGTCATCAGGCAGGTCAATACGATGGGGGAAGGGGATGCTAAACTCAACCGGGAAAGATAAAACGGGAATTTATTTATTTATTTTCCACATGGAGAACCGAAAATTACCTGTTAACCGCTCCTCTCGCCCCGCCAATTCCCAGGAAACTGGTAGATGAGAAGAAAGGCTTAGAAAGCTAGCCATCAGAAGCAACAACCAGTACCTAACTCTCCTCTAGCATAAGGGAAAGAGGAGGAGCCTAGCCACATTTTGTATAGGGGAAAGGGGGGGTCCAGACCAGGTTTTGTGAAACACGAATATAAAGAAGGATAAAAAACCGAGCTAAATCCTGCCAAGCGGGGGGGGGGGGGGCAGGTCAACCCGCCAAATATCTGCTTCCCCGCTAAAGCGCTTTAATTAAATATTCTCCGAGAGAGCCCCCATTCTCAGGGAGGGGGGCGTGGAGAAAAGAAAGAGAGGGTCCAAGCAATTACTCTAGAAAGTCATTCAATCTCGAACGCTCTTGGAGATCATTCATTGAGGGTACTACAGCCTTCCCTACTTCCTTAGGCCTACAGACTCAATCCCCGGAAAAATTGCAAAAGATACAGTAGTGGGATGAGAGTCCGCGGCATTCGGATAAATATGGCTGGCTCGAGCGAAACTATGATGCTTTGTCCGCATCAGTCAATCAAGCCAGTCAGCCAGTCCTCTATAACCCGGGTACTATCAACAGAGATGAAATGGCCTGATCATAGAAAGCAAGCAATCATTGAGTTGCCATAGCTATACGGATGAGACTCTTAGATATCCCTTCCATGCAAGGATGAAGGAGCCGGGGCAGAGGAGGGCTGAAACCATATCTGGGTCTTTTGGAGTATTGTGATTGGGCTTTTGTTGTCTGGCCGACAGATTGATTCGATGACCCCTTCAACAATTCGCCTAACTATCCATTCACAGGAGCCTGCGGGTCTTAATCGATCGCGGTGTTGCTTACCTCGTAGAACACTCTACGGGGCAGACGTAAATTATGGGGGGCAAGGAACGTGGGGGTTCCTTCTAGAGATGCTGTCCGGCCTTAGTGAGGGTATTGTATGATACATGTCTCTAAACAGTCTGAGTACTCTAGTCCAAGTACCGAGAGTGTTCAATCCAGGTCGCGGAGTATTCAATTCAACTCAGCCTAGTTTATGAAAGATAGGTAACTTGACTGATAGATATGTGTGTGCTCACCATTATTTTTTACCTACACTTTACGTCTATTTCACCCGTTCTTTTGAGAAAGCCTCACCCTATACATACAACTCCTTAGCTAGCATCTATAGAGCAAGCTTTCTTTCCACTGTTTTTAGGTGATGCCATCCAAGATTCTCCCAAATATTATTCCCTACATACCCCATGGAAACGAACTGAGACACACCAAGCACCGGTAAAGGAAGAAGCAAACACAAAAAACGAGGTGCAGATCCCTGCTCTGTGCGCAACACGCGCGTGGCATATTAGATACTGTTTGATAAGCGACCTTGCGAGTCCATGATCTATCAAACCACGTTTTCCATCCCCATCCATCCATCCACTTTTTTTTTTTTTTTTTTTTTAGGCCTGCCTGCCCGCCTCCGCGCACCGGGGGTCGGGTCAGGAACATGCTGTGCTTCCTTGTGAATTTTTTCATCCCTCTTGCCTTACTTACATGGCCCTACATACCTTCTTGCCTTGTCACTCACAAGAGCGGAATAGAGCACTCCGCAGTGTAGGTAGAGTATTCTACCCCATCCACCTTGCTTGCCTTACCCCCGCTTTGTGACATGTCAAAAGAGAGAGATCGAGAGGGGGAGGGAGGAGACGGGGGTAAATCATTGCAGTGTTCTGCGGCCCTCTGCTGCTGTGTAATTGACTGTGATGTGCGTGTGCGGTCCTACCGGTGCTTTACATCCTCATCGATCATGCCTCCCCTCTCCATCTACTCCTTGTTTCCCAGGATATGGGCATGAGGTAGGTAGCTATCATACATA